GGTACCTACCGTATGTAACCTACATAAGGTTGATTTTTCATAAAAAACGTATCGTATGTGTCTCGGTTTGTTTTGGCTAATCTGTACAACGGCTTAAACGATCATAACAAGATTTTCAATAACCAATAAAAACTTCGCTAGGAAATAAATTAGTAGGTCATATTATCCCAGAACTATAACGGCGGCTTGCATATGATATTTTTAACTGGAAATTAAACTAATAATCGGTAATAATAATTACTTCATTTAAAAAAATTCAAAAATGTCCATGTTCAAGAAGATGTTTATTTAGAACGCATATACTTGCGGCAAGAATCGGTTAGTACGGTAGCAACGTGTTTAATGCTTTTTTTTTTGGTCAGGAGCAAATCGCCGGACTTCCGCCCTCCCCTGGGGATGAAGGGCGGGGCATGTCGGAGTCGTACTGACTAAAACCTCCTGTCGCTCAACAACCCGCGTCCGAACCTCGCATGAGACAGAACCCATGAAAAGGCAAAGGGGGGAAAGTGAAGCTTTTAGTGCGGAGCACATCTCTCCCATCACCCTCCCCCTCGGGACGCCGGACTGGCGGTCGTCGGCGCCACGACCACCAGCCCTCTCGGTCGGCAGGCTATCCGGAGCCCGCCTAGATGGCGCCGGTTAGAATGGATTATCCTACGGAATACCCCGCTGGGTCAGAACCAGCGTGGGTCGAGGATAGCCGGCCTTCCATCACCCGGATGCTCTTGCGTAAAACGCGTGCAGAGCAGCTTGCACGTCGTCTTCTAAGGCCCCCTTCGCCGGTCCCCAGCCCGACATGTGAAGGGGACCCGAAACACTTAGAGGGCCAGGGCTTGGGCGACATCCGCCTCCCTGGCCCCCGACCGACAGCGGCGGGCTTGCGCGTCTCTCACGCGCCCCGCCACCTCCTTCTGCGAGATGATGCACTCGCAGAAGTCGAGCATCGCCTTCCACGACTCGTCGTCGCCGAGCATCGATGCCACAACACTCGGCAACGACAAGTCGTTTCCTATTTTTGCGACGAGGACACGGCGCCACCCCTCCCATGCGGGGCAGGCGACGAGCGTATGCTTTGCCGTGTCCAAGTCGCAACCACAATGGTGGCACTCTGCCGTCGGCTCGGCTCCGATCCGGTGCAGGAACTCACCGAAACAACCATAATAAACTCACTGAGCCTTATTGTCCCCATTTTTTCCCCTATTTATTCTAGTAACCTCAAGGGGTTAAAGTAGATTCACCCGACGAGTAGGTGAGCTTACGGGGCTCTAGCCTGGCGAATTTGCTAACACTATCCCTAGCAAGAGCAGTGCCTCGCAGAATCTACCACTGGATCGGAAACGCGACCCACTGAGAAAATCCGGTGAGAAACTTAGTAGGCCGAAACCCCGAGTTAAAAACCTTATGCATTAACATACAGTAACAATTAATCAATAGCTAGGTGGCACTTAAGACCGCTCGGTCTCAAGGCGCCTGAGTAAGCTAATAAAAACCCTTTAGAACTCTCATATTCCGTTCAACAATACATCGTAAAACTTTGAGGGGCGCACTTATTACATTTATACTAGGAAAAGCTATCCTATAAAAGAGACGCTCTTGGTGAATTTTTTATAGCGCACATCCTAGTAAATAGCAAGTTTACATTTTATACGTGGTGCATCTTTAATTCTGTTATTACCATAGAATAAACCCAGACAATTACATATAAATGAAAATAAAAAAAAGAATATTTATGACAGATTTTAATTAAATCCAAACGATAATCCGATCACTAATTTTATGACAGTGTATGTGTATATACATACATAAGTGGGTGGTCAGTAGAAGCCAGTCATCCAGGTCACAAGGTAATTTCGTTGCGTGTTAAATTCTGTATAGTAAATCCAGTAATATACGCGTAATAATATAATATAATTGAGGCTTGAATTACATTATATACATAGGTCCCGCAGTAGTCGAAATTCGACTATAATTAATTGGAATTGTAAGTTTGTACACTATTATTTTTGTATTTTATACTTCTTTAATCACAAATTTTGCCAAGGCTAAGCTATAAAAAAAAATTAATAAAGACAAACAATATTTAATCTATTCTCAATTTGACCACAGACGTTAAGAACAAAAGTTTGACAATAAATAGTATGCATGCGTGTGTGCGTCAAATACACGGTATGTAGTGTGTGTAATGCTTTCTTTATTGATTTAATGTATCTTTTATTCATTATTTTTAAAAAAAATTAGCATTGTGCACTTCTTCTCTATATTCTCTATAAGTGTGGAAAATTTCATACTCCCCCGTCCGCGCAATTTTCGTAAAAAGGGATACAAAGTTTTTGCTTCACGTATTAATATATAGATAATCGAGACTTGAATTACATTATATACATAGTTGACATATATAGTATGTTACACGATTGAGACTTGAATGAATCATAGTTGAGAATTCATGTTTCATTGTCAAAGTTATGCCGGCAATTACGTTAATACATTCAATGTTTATTTAGCATCAAGGTATAGTCTCGTCGTGGTCATTAAGAGTGGTAAAAAAATACGTAAAACTACTATTTTAAATGGGTGAACGCTTAACACGCACTTATATTCTGCTTAGTTTTCAATACTTAACTGAAAATTGCTTTTTTTATTTTATTCTTTATATACATATACTTTTTCTATATAAAATACATAATATACTTTTTCTAAGAAAAACGTTAGCTAAAATAACATAAGTTGTTTGTGTTATTGAAATTTCATGAAAATAATCTTCATTAGTTTGATAGTCAGTCTTCAAGAATTTTTATGTACTTTTGACACAAAATAATTTCATTATAAAATACCTAAATTTCTATTGAAATTCGCAAACTTAATTTATAAATGTTTTGATTGTTTTCATTAAAATAATATAGTTTATAATTATCTATACTTAATATTATAAAGAGGAAAGATTTGTTTGTTTGTTTGTTTCGAATAGGCTCCGAAACTACTGGACCGATTTGAAAAAATCTTTTTCCATTAGAAGCCGACATTGTCCCTGATGAACATAGGCTACTTTTTTTAAATATTTTTTTATTTTATTTTTTTGGTTTCATGTGTGTTTTAATGTTTCCGAAGCGAAGCGAGGGCGGGTCGCTAGTTATAAAATATAACACTTATGTTTCGACTAATTCTAAAATTATAGTTAAGATCATGATGCTTTTATTACAATTTTACACGTATAATGAGCAACGTATGTCGATAATCACAGTTCGTATTCTTTTCCTCAACTAATAATGTATTTTAAAAAAAAATTGATTTCCTATTCCCACCCAACACAAACTTATTTCAGTTTCTTATTCAAATTCGCCTTTTGTCCGAGCTTAACATAATTAGACTGTCAAAAATTAATGAGGATTTCTGAGAAGGTACAGTCGCGCCAAAAAGGAGCCGCCCCACACCTTGTATAGTCGTGCTCGCAATGTAATGACTACATTGCATGTCGGCATACACACGTACGTCTACCGCAATATGACGCAGGACGAATTGAATGAGTATAGAATCCTACTAAATCTTATACCTTTAAACGAGCAATTCTTGTATATTAATATATATGTATATAATCTGAATCTCGGAAACGGCTCCAACGATTTTCATAAAATTTAGTATACAGGGGATTTCGGGGGCGATAAATCGATCTAGCTACGATTTATTTTCAGAAAATGTTGTTTTATTCGTGTTTTCAATGATCAACTCTTCCCGACATCTATCGGCGTATAATAATACTATTTTTCTTAATTGAGGGCAACTAATCGCTTTAAAGACACAACAAGATGGCGTTATCAAAAAAAAAATCTCTCAGTCGTCATCTAGTAATATTTTAAGAATGTATGGATGTATGTTTGTTACTATTTCACGCAAAAAATACTGTATGGATTTTGATGAAACTTTACAATAATATAGCTCACACATCAGAATATATGTGTTATTCTGATGTGCTATAATTTATAAAGATGTAGTGTGAATTACCTTAAATATAACGATAAATGTCAAGCAGGTAGGAAAAAAATCTGACATTTGCGTACCATTCTGGCGTGCGCTGAAAAACCGATGGAGTTAGTCGAATATAATTTATTATGGAAATGTTTATCTTAAATAGTTCTATAAAAAGGCTCGCAGCAGCATATAAAATATCTCTCTTTTATGTGTAAGCCATTATCGCCAAAATAGTGAATGATAAATGCAATAAATATTGATAATTTATTTCTAACGCATATTTTTGGTAGTTACAAACTGATCCTAATCTGAAAATGAATACTTTTATTGCATCTCGTATTTAAAGTAGACAAATTCTATCTCTTATACTACATCATTTTGACAAGTACTTGTATAGTTATGACTTTAAATAAAATAGTGCGCGATATTATGAAAGATGAAGAGAGAAAATTCAATTAGATCAATAATAAATTACAGTTCCCGAAGCGAAGCGAGGGCGGGTCGCTGGTTTGGATCAAATAAAAAAGACAAAATTTTATGTTTGAGTTTTTAAGCGCGTTCGATTATTACTATTGATTGATTATTTTTGATTTTTAAGAATTATCACATGGATATGTCTCATGAATCCACATGGATTATATTTATCTATAGTATACATCATAATATCGTAATATACTATAGATAATCCGCTGGATGCAAGTAGCCCAGGACCGATCTCTATGACGGGGCTTGGGAGGACCTATACAATAAAAATATGTTATTTTTTGTACGTTATTACAAAGTTAAGTCGTACACTGTGTGCATTACTAATATAAATCTTACGTTACGGACGTTTTTCCCGGTTAGGGTACCCCGCTGCATCGTCCCATAAGGAGCTTCGTTCCAAAAAAAAATTGTATTCAAAACATAGTGTTTATTATTATTATAATCAATTAACACAACATTATTTGTTTTATTTAGTAACATAAATTCTACAAATTTTTACTGAAGATACTGAAAAATATCAAGTACAATTTTCTGTTTTAATTTGTTCTCAGATACATATTCCTGGCGATCTACACGGCGGAGATGATAATCAAATGCATAGCCAAGGGCTTTATTCTGAACAAGTACACTTACCTTAGGAACCCGTGGAACTGGCTGGACTTCGTCGTGATCACATCAGGGTACGCCACAATCGGTATGGAAGTGGGAAATTTGGCCGGCCTTAGGACCTTCAGAGTGTTGAGAGCACTAAAGACTGTCTCTATTATGCCAGGTAAGAATATATAAACTTACTTTTTTTTTATTGCTCAGATGGGTGGATGAGCTCACAGCCCACCTGGTGTTAAGTGGTTATTTAAGCCCATAGACATATACAACGTAAATGCGCCACCTAACTTGCGATATAAATTCTAAGATCTCAAGTATAGTTACAACGACTGCCCCACCCTTCAAACCGAAACGCATTAATGCTTCACGGAAGAAATAGGCGGGGTGGTGGTACTTACCCGTGCGGACTCACAAGAGGTCCTACCACCAATAAATTACCACCAGTCTTACTTTTCGTATATACATATTATATTTATAAGTAGTGGTATTCGGTATTTGCTTAAAATATTAATAAAATTATGCGCTCTCTATTGGTTCGATTTCAGTGTAATTTGGTGTTACGAATGTATTGAAATCTTTCTATTAATTTTACTTAAACATATCTGTTATCTCAGCCCGAATATATCTGATGACAATAAAACATGGTACTCTGAATCTGGTCGGATGATTAACTTGGATGTATGGATCACAAAGCCCCTACATGACTACTAAACTCAGCGAGATTTAGTTTACTTAATATCTCTTAACATTTACGAATCGTGTTCTTGTTTGAACTAATATTTTTCAGTACAAAACGTATACTCTGAACAAAAGCATATTTAAACATTTATGTATCGCGTTAAATATTTACTGTTTGTATATAACACATTAGATCATTTATCTTTTATCTCTATATATTAAAACGAATTGCTGTTCGTTAGTCTCACTAAAACTCGAGAAAGGCTAGATCGATTTGGCTAATTTTGGTCTTGAATTATTTTTGGAAGTCCAGAGAAGGCTTAAAAGTTAGATAAATATGAAAATTCTCGGAATTAAATGAATATAACAATTTTGTTTATCCTTTGATGTGTCCCCCGTCGGACGGATTCCTTTTGTTTGTTTTAAGTTTATTTTATACAAAAGCTTAGGTTTTTTATTTATCGATGGAGGCACTATGAAGTCTGCCGGGTCAGCTAGTTAAATAATAAAAATCTTCGCACTTATTTTATACTTTTAATAAAGAAAAATACTAAATCTAATATTATGCATCAAGACGATATCGTTTGAGCAAACGCCCGGACAAATTCTTTCGGCAAATCTCGCCTTTAGCCTCGCTCAGAATTGGATTACGAACGGATCGTCGCAAAAACATAATATCCTACTGAAATCTCTAAGGAGCAGGAGACAAAAGTGAAGCACCGCGCCATTTAAATACGGACCTAATTACAAAGAAGTTTCAGTAGTTGTCTCCTTGTCACTTAATTATAAAGGCTAACGTGTTAATTGCAGTTTTCGTTGAGAGTACCCAAATTTCCACATTTACATTTTAATTAAAGGAGCAATTGGAATTTAGTTGACAGAAATTAATTCGGTTGATGTTAAATTCAGGCTACGTACCGTGCACCTTTAAAAAAATGTTTACTCTTTTTTTTTCACATTTTATGGCTTAATTTGAACCACATATTTCAGTACAGTTCTATTTAATAAGTCTTTTAACTTTGGTTAAATTGTTGATATGTGTTTACAGAGTGTGTCTCAGTATAGTCATCTTGTAACATCTTCCATTATTGCCTAACTCTAGCAAATGTCTTGTCTGCCCTTCGCATATTTACCGCTTATATACTTAATGTATATATTAATACGTGAAGCAAAAACTTTGTATCCCTTTTTACGAAAATTGTGCCAACGGAGGAGTATGAAATTTTCCACACTTATAGAGAACATAGAGAAGAAGTGCACAATGCTAATATTTTTTTAAAGTAATGCATAAAATATACATTAAATCAATAAAGAAATCATTACACACACTACATGCCATGTATTTGACGCACACACGCATGCATACTATTTATTGTCAAACTTTTGTTCTTGGCGTCTGTTGTCAAATTAAGAATAGATTAAATATTGTTTGCCTTTGGTAATATTTTTATAGTGTAGTCTTGGCGAAATTTGTGATTATAGAAGTATAAATTATAATTATAATAGTGTACAAACAATTCCAATTCCAATTAATTATAGTCGAATTTCGACTACTGCGGGACCTCTAGTTTTAATAAATAGTCATATCTAGCTTGCCATTTTTTATCGTTTTAGATCGGTTGACGGATTTCCGGTTCGACTGGTGTTAAGTATTTACCATAGAGGTCACAACAAGAAAGCCCCCCATCTCAAGACAAGAGGTCGAAGTTCCCATTGTATTATAAAAGGGCTGTTCCACGCTTCAAACTATGCATTGCGCATGACTGATTTAGGACAGAATTAGATACCTAGCACGGTGAAACCTACCCGTGTCCGCATACTATAAGCCCTACCACAAATACACTGGTAAATTAATCAGATAACATTACTAAATCTCTGATGAATCCCTTGGTCGTCTTTTGTGACACTCACGAAAAAAGATGGGGAAAGAGTTATTCAGGGTGACACCATACATCAAAATCGATCAGTCTTTGAACACGTCTCAAGAACAAGTTTCTTGGAAAAAATCGTACCTACCTCCGAGCTTTGAATACTGGCACAGTCGCATCGCTTGGTAAGATTATACCGGGTATCTCCTCCTTTAAGTCACGATGTTTTCGGTCTCACTTGAATTAGACAAGAACCATAATACCAAAAAAAAAAGTGTGGTGTCGAGGGACACTGGATAGGAACGAAGTTCCTTATTATAAAAAAAAAAATTAAGTTCTATTCGAGGTATAAAGAAAATAAAACTGGAGGTTTCGCAACAACCCACGGTCATTCGGTAACGTGCGAACTTATTGTGGTACACTTCATTCACGGTTGTTTGTATAAGAGTTGGTGTATTGCGCAAACGAACGCTCTGAGATCGTGGTCAATGAATGATAAAAAAAATGTTATTTTTTGTACGTTATTACAAAGTTAAGTCGTACACTGTGTGCATAACTAATAAAAATCTTACGTTACGGACGTTTTTTCCCGGTTAGGGTATCCCTCTGCATCGTCCCATATGGAACTTCGTTCCAAAACACTTGAAGCTCTGAATTGCATTTTACATTGACAGGATTGAAGACCATCATCAACGCGCTTCTGCATTCGTTCAAGCAGCTAGCAGAGGTAATGACCCTGACAATATTCTGCCTCATGGTGTTCGCCTTGTTCGCGCTCCAGGTCTACATGGGCGAGCTTAGGAACAAATGCGTCAAGAACTTGGTTATGCAGCCGGGAGAGAACTTTACTGATGAAATCTGGTCGGCGTAAGTAGTAACTTTTTATTTTTTTATTGCTAAGATTTTTTTTTTATTGCCTTTGTAGGCAGACGGGCATACGGCCCACCTGATGGTGAGTGGTTACCGTCGCCCATGGACTTCAGCAATGCCAGAGGCGGAGCCAAGCCGCTGCCTACCGCAAAATGGGTGGACGAGCTCACAGCCCACCTGGTGTTAAGTGGTTACTGGAACCGATAGACATCCACAACGTTAATGCGCCACCCACCTTGAGATATAAGTTCTAAGGTCTCAAGTAAGTTACAACGGCTGCCCCACTCTTCAAACCGAAACGCGTTATTGCTTCACGGCAGAAATAGACAGGGTGGTGGTACACACCCGCGCGGACTCACAAGAGGTCCTACCACCAGTAATGACGCAAATTATAATTTTGCAGGTTTCATTTTTATTACACGATGTTATTCCTTCACCGTGGAAATCAATCGTGAACATTTGTTGAGTACGTATTTCATTAGAAAAATTGGTACCCGCCTGAGATTCGAACACCGGTGCATCGCTCAACACGAATGCACCGGATGGCTTATCTGTTTGGCCACGACGACTTAACTGCATATTACAGTGGCTATATCATTAAAATAATGAAGCTGTTAAAAATTAAAGATGTAATGGATATACAACTCGAACTATTCGCTAATGTTTTCGGTTTGATATGTCGAACGTAATCCATAGATTTTAGCATCATCAATGGTGTGCTATTCAAGTTTATAAGTTAAGAGGATACTTAGGTAAACATGAAAAATACAAAATATAGAAATGGTTATAAATCATATATGGTCATAAACCAGGAATTAAAGTAAAGAAATGTGGACTGCTTGTAGGGTGTGAGTTGGCATGTCTAGACTATTTCTGACACCAAGCAGTCATGATCGTTTTAACAATGTGGTAATTTCGCGCAGGTGGATCAAAGAACCTACAAACTGGATGGTAGATGAAGAACTAGTTCCAATTATTTGCGGGAACTTGACAGGGGCCAGGCATTGTCCGTTACATTACACCTGCCTTTGCGTGGGCCCGAATCCCAACCATGGGTACACCAATTTCGACAATTTCCTCTGGTCAATGTTGACCACCTTCCAGTTGATCACGCTTGACTACTGGGAGAATGTTTATAACATGGTGAGTAAAGATATACATTTTTTCAGAATATATTACGTTTTCGACTACTAAATACTACTACTACCACAGATACGTAGATGGCTTTGGACACTAAAGCCGTCCAAAAAAAAAAAGATTTATAAAATAAATTTACTGATTTTTTTATGTTTTTCCGATTGCTTTACACAGTCTACGCTTATTTGACGCGTGTTCAAAATTGTCTATTGTGACGTTGAAATGGAACTAAATGAAAAGACACGTAGCAACCTGGGTTTCTAATTTTTGTTTCTTTTTAAACTGGGCCAGTCGTTTGTTACAAGCTCAAGAGTTTTGTAATCGATTCTACTTACAAGATGAAGGGACAAGATCTTTTAACGAATCAAACTTATAGCAATCAGCAAAGAATCTATATATTAATACGTGAAACAAAAACTTTGTATCCCTTTTTACGAAAATTGCCCGGACGGAGGAGTATGAAATTTTCTACACTTATAGAGAATATAGAGAAGAAGTGCACAATGCTAATATTTTTTTAAAATAATGCATAAAAAATACATTAATTCAATAAAGAAGACATTACACACACTACATACCATGTATTTGACGCACACACGCATGCATACTATTTATNCTTCCAGAAAGAGCACTTAGTCGGCAGATGTACCACAAACACAGGCCGCGCGAACAATGGCCGGGCTAACAAAAGCCGGGCGAACAAAGACCGGGCGATCGAGTGGACGATGAGCACGTCCGCACGTGACGGGTGCCTCTATCGGAATATTTTTCTTGTCTGAATATAACTACATAATATATTTGCTTATAGCATAGATTTAGTAGGTACTAGCTGCCACTGGTGTTGTAATTGATTCATTAAAACCGTTTACGGTATAGGGAAATAAAATTATGATGATTGTAACAGCGTAAAAGTAATTATTCAATTGATTAAACCTGAATATCCATTGCTGCCTTCACGATTTATTACTTTTTAGGCCAGTTTCTGTTCAGCAAATATATGAAATAATAATTTTTCTCCTACCTACGCCGAAAGTTCGGTTTTCCTCCCGCTGTACAGGGAAGAAAGTCTAACTTTTCCTCCCGCTGTACAGGGAAGAAAGTCTAACTTTTCCTCCCTGGGTACTGACAAGTGCGCATGCGCGTTAGTGTCTACATTTGCTCTCACGCACCTAAAATTCTCCGCCATTGTTGTGCTCGGGTAATTTGCAATATTGTGTTTAGTGTAAAAGTGACACAAACAAAAGGCAATAAAATTTAATAGTGAAGTATCAAACAAAGATGAGTTCATCAGACAGTTCTTATTCAATTAGTAGTAGTTTATTTAAAAATTTAAAAACAGTTAAATTGATTTTTTTTATGAGTACGAGGGGGCTCCGACCCCCCCACCCCTTCCCCCATCCATGGCTTCGCCCCCGGACCCCGGCTCGGTACTCCACGAGCTTTCGGCCTGGTAGGAGAAAAAATAGTATGTGCACCGCGGGAGAAAAGTTGGACATCTCATCCCGCGTGTTTGCCATTTTACACGCGGTACACAATGTACTATGTTATTAAATAGATATCGGTATTTGTACGAATGTGTTTATATTGCTTCTCTCCTACACTTCAAACCGAAATGAATGATAATATCTACCCGTAAGACATAAAAATTACTTTATCTAACAATTAAAAAAAGACTAAATGCTCGTGCTATGCCTACTGTATTGCAAGAAATCTTATATTTCGGTACAAAGGCGTAATCGCCTTTATTCCATTGTCAATGGGGCATTATCTCAAAGCGGCAGGCGATATTTACGCAAGTGTGTTCCTCTGCAAATGCCCACCGAGACTTTTTTCTATAAATTAAATCTTCAGAGATATTCTATCCCATTTTCTCGCAAGCTAAATTCTATAGATGTACTCGTATGTCTCTGGTTAGTATTGTTTGTTGATATCATCGAATTTCAAATCACAACGGTATTATAGAAGTATTCAATTCAAAAAAAGCTTACTACCTGAACATTTTCGCGCACAGAGCCTTTCATTAAATGCCTAAGGCCATTACCCACAAGCGTGAGATGTAAAACAGTTGGCAGTGTAGCGCCAGCCTAAATAAGAAAGAAAGAAAGAAGAAAGAAAATCTTTATTCGCCAGAAATATAGTTTATAAGATATAGGACATAGCTTCATATATTTCGCCTGTTTAGGCATGCGAAAATTTAATTTATTTTTATATTAATTATAACACAAAATTTACTAAATCTATCTATTTTTACATTCTATCACTTCTTATTCTAATATTTTATTATGTACAACACTTATCATTTAAAAATTCTTGCACACTATAATAAGCCTTATCTATCAGCCATAAATATAATTTTCTTTTAAATTGAGTTAGTGGAAGATCTCTTATGCTGTTTGGTATCTTATTAAATATTCTGATAGTCATAGGATAACAGTTTGTATGGTAGTAACGAGTATTTATACTTGGTAACATTAGTTTAGTAGGGTATCTTGTATTAAATTGACAGTACTCGCCACACGATTTATATAATTGTGGGTGCTTTTTAACAAACAAACAACATTCTTGTATATATATGGATGGTACAGTTAAAATATTATGTTTTTGGAAGAATGGTTTACAAGAAGTCAGAGGATGAATATTGCACATGGCACGAACACATTGCTTTTGTGCAATGAACACTCTATTTATGTGACTAGAATTTCCCCAGAGGGGTATACAGTATCTGATATTTGAGGCGACATATCCATGATAGGCCTGTAATGCAGTTTTTAAATTACATATTTTTGTAAGTCGCCAAAGTGCATATGAGAATCGATTAATTTTACTACAAGTAATATCTATGTGAAGATTCCAGCTACATTGATTATCCACATTTAATCCTAAAAATGTTATGCTATTACATTCATTTAGTGTGTTATTATTATAAGTTATATTTAAGTTATTAATAAATTTGTGTCTATTATAGAATTGTATATATCTCGTTTTGTCTAAATTAGCTTTTAAGTTATTCTTATTCATCCAATCTATGACCTTACTAACAGTAGCATTTATCTCATCATTTAAATCTAGTGTGGCATCTTTGGTGATTACAACGGCTATATCATCAGCAAATAAGCTGCATGGGTAATGTATGTGTTCTGGGAGATCATTTATATAAATGATAAAGAGTAGCGGTCCTAAAATGCTCCCTTGTGGGACACCTACTTTATTATACGCTAATGAAGATTTAAAAGCCACTTCTTCATTGTTATTATCAATATCCCTAATTTCAACATATTGTTGTCTGTTGCTTAGATAACTACTAAGCCATTTTTCAGCTATCCCTCTAATGCCATAATTATTACACTTCCGTAGAAGAATGTTATGGTCAACAAAGTCAAAGGCTTTGGTCATGTCAAAGAAAACTCCAACCGTGGGTATTTTTCTGTCTACATTTTCAGTAATTTTACTAATGAGTTTAAAAGCTGCTAGTGTAGTAGATTTGCCTTTTTGAAAACCGTGTTGTTCAGATTTTATAACTTCAGATTTATTAAGAAAAGTTGTGAGTCTAGAATGCATGATTTTTTCGAATATTTTTGCAAGTATAGGTATTAAAGTAATCGGTCGGTAGTTATTGATGCATTCCTTATGTCCTATAAACAGACCGCAACCCTGTTATCTTGAGAAATGCAATCCCCACAAAATGTTTGTTTAATGATTTAATTCTATTAGGTTTCGGACAGAGTTGATGTTACCAACTGCAGGGTTTGAAGGTTTTTGTCGTCGTTTTGTTTGTTAAATAAATGTTTACTAAAATTTTAATATATTAGATTTAGATTAGATTAGACAGACTAGTTTTCGCCTAATGGTCGATGTAGCTTGGACGACGAATATTCTTGTCGTTTTTTGCTTTATTTATTTTATTAATTATTAAAGTAAAACCAAAAAAGAATTATTATATCAGTATTATATCACATTAATTTTCATTGATTATTAACGTAAGACCAAAAGAATATACCTATCTTATCAATTAATTTAAAATTACTTTTCACTTTCCCACCAAAGATTGCAATGAAACAGTTTACACAGTAAATATGTGTTTCGTCTTCAATAACTCGGTCAAGTGCTCGGTCAGCCAATTCATAGTATTCACTGTCTTTCTTAACATTTGTATTTACGAAGTCTGCCTTTAGCAGATAACGTCCAAGAAGTTCTCACGTAATTGACTTAGCAAACGACAGCGTACAATTTGTTCAGAATCAATCTACTCGGTCTCCGTAAGGTAGGAATAGGCTCTCTCTCCCCGAGCAACTTCGAAGAGTCTATTAGTGATTTAGCGGCCGGACATTTGGAAAGATCTGCTACTACAATCTGTGCCTTTACGATTGATTTCGGCGTGTCTTCTGTTAGAAATATTACAGTGCGTTTTGAGAAATACGCTCTTTATCGAAACTGTTTTTTTTTTTAAAAAGATTGGACGATCTCACAGCCTACCTGGTGTTGAGTGGTTTCTGGAGCCCATAGACATCTACAACGTAAATGCGCCACCCACCTTGAGATATAAATTCTAAGGCCTCAATATAATGAAATAAACCAAGTGTTCCTCGTTTTTTTATTGTTTATTTATTTACACTTTATTCTTGTGTTCACTTACTTAGACACACATATATTTATTAGCTATTGCGTACGATAGAAAGCTACGAGGGGGAAAATGGTGATTTGCCATGAATTTATAACAGTTATTGTTACGTGAATAATTTAACGGGGTAGACCTGTCTTCCGCCTAACAAAGAGTTAGTGAACGGGCAATCGCGGATACAGTCACGGTCTAATAACTGCGGTGATCTCTTCCCATCTGCTTAGCAGCCAGTTTGTCTCTCTCTAATGATGATAATAAAAAAGGGATAGTAATTAAAACGCTTCGTTTATTTTCAGGTACTGTCTTCGTGTGGTCCAATGTCCGTATCATTTTTCACGGTGGTGGTTTTTTTTGGCTCGTTTTACCTCATCAACCTGATGCTGGCCGTAGTCGCACTGAGCTATGAAGAGGAATCACAGATCACACAAGAAGTACGTACGTTAATACAACAATAACATTATGGTGATCTGTTTGTAGAAGTATAGATTAATTTGTGGATTTATTTTAATTCTATGCTATGGCGAAAATATCGTAAAAATTAAGAGAGCTTGGCTGGCTTACTGGTGACGCAGTAATGCGTTTCGGCTTGAAGGGTGACGCGGCCGTTGTAACTATGCTGAGACCTTATAACTTATATCTCAAGGTGGGTGGCACATTTACGGTGTAAATGTCTATGGGCTCCAATAACCACTTAACACCAGGTGGGCTGTGAGCTCGTCCACACATCTCAGCAATAAAAAAAAAACGGTGATCTGTTTCTAGAAGTATAGATTAGTTTGTGGATTCATTTTAATTCTATGCTAAAGCGGGTAGACGAGCGAGTATCACAATGGCGCCACCCATCTTGAGGTTGAGGTTTCAATTGTATTATAATAACGGCTGATCTAAATTTCAAACCATCACACTACGAGATCGAAATTGGGCTGGGTTTGGTTGGATGAATGTGAAGTTAACCGCATTAAACCGTAATTATTATATTATCGGGTATTATTCTATTTTAAGACATTATTAACCTTATTACTTATTATGAATAAACCTTATTCGAAATCATTTAAACCGGGCGTTCCACATTAGAATACCACCACCCCGCCTATTTCTGCCGTGAAGCAGTAATGCGTTTCGGCTTGAAGGGTGGGGCAGCCGTTGTAACTATATTGAGACCTTAGAACTTATATCTCAAGGTGGGTGGCGCATTTACGTCTATGGGCTCCAGTAACCACTTAACACCAGGTGGGCTCATCCACCCATATAAGAAAAAGAAAAAAACATGAATAGAAATACTCTGGATAAAAATGAAAAACCTTTAATTTAACTTTTAGGGTCATTAAGTCCCTGCAATTTTTTCTCCTTTGCTTTATTCTCTAATCGTATAATTTAGAATTAATTAACAGTGCGTAATTAAAACATATAGATTGATTCTTTATCTTTTCGTAAATGGTAACAAACGAAAGCAAATACATAGTTGACTGAAGACTTCTCTTATTCCAAAATTTAAGAAGAATAATATTACAATACGTACGTACCTAGAATTGGATAATTCATTTGAACTTACAACATTTTCAAACAGGAGAGAAAGAAGGATCTGAACGAGCACAGAGATGATTCTACATTCAGCTTTGACCCCTCATCGCTGGCTGTGAGGACCCTCGCTAAAGATTCGAAGAAACGAATCGACGCTAGGAAAGGACTATTATTGGCCTCTTACTCACGTAAAAGAACAAGAAGACGCAAAAGAGGCAGGAGTGCTATACATCATGCTGCTGCGGTTGCCGCCGTGGCTGAACGGTAAGAATCGATCAATACATTTTTATCAGGATATATCGGAATCGATTGGTAAAACGAAGACAGTTCATTATTTTTTTTTACCTAATCTGTTAACCTTTAAAAGGCTATTTCAGCGTAACCTGAGCTAGTAGGTGAGCTCACGGAGCTCAAGCCGGAGTGATGCTAACACTGACCCTAGCAAGAGCAGTGCTTCACAGAATCTACCACCGGATCGGAAACGCGACCCACTGAGGTTATCCGGCAAGAAACTCAGTGGACTCTGTCTATGGGTTAATTCGCTCGTGGAGCCCTTCGTCGCAAGCGATGGGTTCGACCAGGACGGTGACCGGTGCTTATGGTACCGAAAAGCACCGTTAATGGATCAGGAGGATCCGTAATGACGTGTTTTGGGCGACGTCATCGTCATGTTCATTAAGCTGGGGTATAAGCATGGTACATACCACGCAATGTAACTCACTTCGTGCCTTTTCGTTACATTTCATGTTCTCTATAAATTACCAAAATAAACGTTATGATTACGTTCACGCTTAACTTGTGATAACAGTTTCATCACTGCGGCTTTGGAAATTGTCCCTTTGAGTCTTGTATATGTAAGTAAAATATTCGACGATAATTTAAGGAATTTATGGAAAACAAAATCAACTGCAATGCACGCGTGGCTCTCCTGAATGTCACTTTTAATCTATACTTAATATTATAAAGCTGATGAGTTTGTTTGTTTGAACGCGCTAATCTCAGGAACTACTGGTCCGATTTGAAAAATTCTTTCAGTGTTAGATAGCCCATTTATTGAGGAAGGCTATGCTATATAACATCACGGTAAGACCAATATAAGTGGAGCACCAATAAAGAATGTTTCAAAATAGGGGTTTAAATAGCTACTTAACATTCTATAATTCAAAAAATATTTTCAGTTTCTACGTAAATGAAGTGGGAGTAAAATTTTGCGTTATGCCAAAGTAACTATTCCACGTGGACGGAGTCGCGGGCAAAAGCTAGTGTTTGTAATATCCAAATACATCGTAGCCTTAAAAAGTAATCACGATTCATGTTGCTAATTTATATTTTAACTGTTAGCGCCATGGGTCTGATTTGGGTTGAAGAAAGCCTCTGCTCTAAACAGCAAGGTTATGCATAATACTTATTGTTTTGTAGAGTAAAAGCGAAACAAACAAAGAGAAAGCGTTTTAAATTACAAAATAAAACGTTTTTTTCACTCAATCCGTAGTAGACTAATGTCTATTCGCTGTTGTTAATTGCGACCCGTTTTCGAGAATTATTTATGTATAACTTCCTGAATAAATATTAAACAAATTAAACCTCTCCCTTCAGAGAGGGCTTTCGAAAATTTAATAGAGAATTTAGTGTTTGCATTTAACTATGTCATTTCATTATGTATTTTTAAGCGTTCCAAAATACTATGTTCTCTTTATTATGCGCTTCGAAAAGCCCTTAAACGCGTCAAAGAATAGCATAATGCTTAATATTATGTTACGAAAAATAGTTTAGAAATAATATTCGCGAAGAGACTATGCATTTTTTTTATTTATCATCTATACATATAAATAAAATTGGAATGTCTGTTTGTAATATTGAAATAGCCTCTTTTCACTAGATGCATATCAATATATATACGGTACATACACGAAAATAACATTTTTTCCAATTTTTGTCCGTCTGTCTGTCTCTCTGTCTGTCTGTCAGTCTGTTTGTTCCGGCTAATCTCTGAAACGGCTGGACCGATTTTGACGAGACTTTCACTGATAGGTAGCTGATGATATAAGGAGTAACTTAGGCTTTTTTAGAGTAGCTTCGTCCCACGGCGTCACCCACGGTACGACAATAGCCACTAACATCGCGGAACTCAGCTATTCAATAATAAAATTTAATGTTTCCGAAGCGAAGCGAGGGCGGGTCACTAGTTTTCTATCTTCTTCTTCTATATATATATATATATATAAAAATGAATTGCTGTTCGTTAGTCTCGCTAAAACTCGAGAACGGCTTACCGATTTGGCTAATTTTGGTCTTAAATTGTTAGTGGAATTCCAGAGAAGGTATAAAAGGTAGATAAATATGAAAATGCTCGGAATTAAATAAAAATAACAATTTTGTTTTTCCTTTGATGTGTGCCCCGTCGAACGGATTCCTTTTATTTGTTTTAAGTTCATTTTATACAAAAGCTTAGGTCTTTTATTTATCGATTCAGGCAGAACGAAGCCCGCCGGGTCAGCTAGTTTTAAATAAAAAAAAATGTGAAGTGGAAAAGCCGTTACGAAAAATTTAATTTACGAAAAATGTAAAAAAATTGTATTTAGATCATATCTCCGTAACATCAGCTATGAAACAATTTCAGTACAGTTGCAGAGGCGCTATCGATAAACGAGATTTATCCCGCGCCAGCTACAGCCATATCTGATGTAGTTAAAGCATTGTCATTCAATCAATGGAAGCTCGGGATTTTTTTCCAGCTATTATTCATAGCTGAATGCGAAGCTACGTTCTAAAACGTATGAATATCGGATGAAATTGATTTATTTTATATTCTGTGGACTTTTATATTATCCAAATAATGGTTTTAGCAATTTAAATATGATTATTATCTTTAATGTTAGCTGTAATAATATTTATCTTTAATGTGTTTTTTTTTTGTATTGCCGCTTAGGCAGACGAGCATACGGCCCACCTGATGGTGAGTGGTTACCGTCGCTCATGGACGTCAGCAATGCCAGGGGCAGAGCCAAGCCGCTGCCTACCGTTACCGTATGTGTATCATCAAAATCAATCATAAAGCTTGTACGTGTTTTTAATTCGTGGTAAACGATAATAATTGGAAGAGGGTCAAGTAAGAACAACTATTTTGCCTGTATCAGTCACAAACGAATCAAACGCTCTCGTTTTTATTATTATTTGCTTAGATGGGTGGACGGGCTCACGGCCAACCTGGTGTTAAGTGGTTACTAGAGCCCATAGACATTTACAACGTAAGTGCGTCACCCACCTTGAAATATAAGTTCTAAGATCTCAGTATAGTTACAACGGCTGCCCTACCCTTCAAGCCGAAACGCATTATTGTTTCACGGCAGAAATAGGCAGGGCGGTGGTACCTACCCGCGCGGACTCACAAGATGTCCTACCACCAGTAATTCTTACAAAATAAGTAAAACTTCGTCTCTATGTACGTGGTAGCTTTCATCATCTACTAACAGTTGAGAAAAACAGCGCAAGTAATGAATGCAACAGGTCTGTTATCTCCTCAGCTAAAGTAATATTAAAATAAGGAAGAATAAGATGATACTAACGCAACCAATGATTAGAGTAATAATTACAAAGACGAGAACCGAGAAAAACATTATATTTGACAGAAGCCTGAATATCCTTAATGACATCTTCAAGATAAGTTTACATATTTCTGTGGGTTAATTTTGTTGTATTAATTGAAGTTAATCTATGTTTATTGGCACCAGTCTCTCCGATTTTAATGCTATTGCAGGAAACTACGGAGAGGCGTTGGCTAATGAATGAATAAAATAACAATGATAAAATTCTCAGTGACTACACAAATAATTAATAGTCCATAAAACTTCTATATGTACAAGTTCCGAACAAATAGTATTCGAATAAGCTGTTATCGGACCGCAACGGGGCCAACGCAAAACCGCCGTTGCCCGAAACATGTCTTGTCGGATCCCCCGGATTCACTCTCGGTGCTTTTAGACCTCATAAGCACCGGTCACTGTCCTCGTCAAACTCTTTTTTTTATTGCTTTGATCGGTGGACGAGCTCACAGCAACACCAGGTTGGCGGTGTTAAGTGATTACTGGAGCCCATAGACATCTACGACCTAAATGCGCCACCCATCTTGTGATATAAATTCTAAGGTCTCAGTATGGTTACGACGGCTGCCCCACCCTTCAAACAGACGACTTATCTTTTAGGCCACGACGACTTCAAAAACTCATTCGACTCGTCGATTACGACGAAGAGTTCGAAGAGCGAACTAACCCATAGACACAGCCCACTGAGTTTCTCGCCGGATCTTCTCAGCGGGTCGCGATCCCGATCCGATGGTAGATTCTGCGAAGCACTGCTCTTGCTAGGGCTAGTGTTCGCAAATTCTCTCAGGTTGAACCCGTGAGCTCACCTACCCGTCTGAGCGTAACTGGAATAACCTCTTAGGCTACCATAGATAGCTAAAAAAAATCGAATCGTCGGCCTACCAAACAATTTCACCCGCTCGGTGAAAAATCTTCTATTTTCCGTTAACCCTCCAAATATATACAAAATCATTCTTTTTTTTTCATATTCCCGAGCGCAAAGCAGAGCCAAATTACGATCATCACATTGTATACAGCCCGATACGAAATCATTTGCTCGATAAACCTACACCGTAGACACCCAATAAATTCGACAAACATATTCCCTACACACCTCTATCTCGGTAAATCCGGCCCGCGTTTGCCTTCAACGAGATAAAATTTCCATCAGGACGTTCGAGCCAGCTCGCCGCCAAGAAAATCGAATGCGGTGTCTCTCGCATAAGTTTACTAAACGTGTTTGCTCGACTTTGTGTATCTTACCGGTTACAAACAGGAATCTTTGAAACAAGACACGCATCATATATTTTTTCAAACCTTATTAGGACTTACGGCGTTTTAAGAAATCTAACATTTGGGATATTTTTATAATGAAACTCTACGACGAACAAAATTTCATATTTACTTTTAATACTTTCGTTAAAAAAAGTATTATTTAAAAAGTTACCGATTTTTTTTTAATTTTGTACAAATAAAATATCACAGTGACACATGGCACAGTCAGACCCAGTCATCGATGTTACTTTGGACACCAAAAAGGTAGTGCTAATAGAACGGTAAATTAAAAGATAATAATATATACATAATTTACAATCCACAACCTAAGTAATTAAACCGACTGCACGTGTAATGCATGACGCGATGACTTACGAAGGGTGGCTGGAAAGAAATGGATGAGTAGGGAAAGAGCCGGAAACTGGTCTCAGTGGTGTGGACTGGGAAAGACCTATGTCCAGCAGTGGGCGACCAATGATGATAAGTTTCTGAAATTTCTAATCGAAGACTTTATATTATACATTCAATACAATATATCATTCTAAAGAAAATTTAATATCAGCCAGATCACAGAAATAAATTTAAGGCAATTTAGCAAAGAAAAATGAAGTACACTGTACATATTTACAACGTTTAATTTAAAATAAAATTTGATTCAAAAGTAATTTTCCTCAGATCTTGTTTGTTCGATACCGCCCCGACAGTTGCTGTCATAAACTTGTTATAAAGATTTCATTGTTAACGATAAATGAACAAAACGGAGCATAATTGAAAAGGTTTTTAGATATTCTTCAGTAATATTAATTGGAAGAAAAAAAATCCTTTTTTTCCCTACCTATACTGATAGCGTTTAGAGGCTATTTCAGCTTCTCCTTGACGTGTAGGTGAGCTTACGGGGCTCTAACCAGGAGTGTTGCTAACACTGGCCCTAGCAAGAGCAGTGCTTCGCAGAATCTACTACCGGATCGGAAACGCGACCCACTGAGAAGATCCAGCGAGAAACTCAGTGGGCTGTGTCTACGGGTTAATTCACTCGTCGAGCCCTTCGTCGCAAGTGACAGGTTCGACGACGACGGTGACCGGAGAAATTCCAGTTTGAAGGATAAAACAGAAAATCAACCAGAATAGATGTGCTCCTTTGCTCAATCCACATTTCAAGGTCCTAGGCAATATTCACTCTTTATCATCAATTTGGCTACAACAAAAACGTTTGTCAGTTACGAGTTCAGCACGTCTGTTGTTAACCCACCTGTTGTTAACTAAATGCCCTTGAATATCACAACATGAACAGCATCAGCAGGGTTGATGAGATCAAACTCTAAATAAAATTGTAGGCTCTCATCAAATCGATGATTGTTTGACGCATGTTCTACGGTACAGGAAGGTAGCTTTAAAATTTATAGGTATTATTTTCTTTGTAGTACGATATTTGAGTTCGAAAAATATCAGAAGCCTATGCTTTCGAGGTTATTAACAAAATTATGATAGTTTAAGTTGTACGTTGCTATCCACACAGCCGAGGACAGGCAGGAATGGCACAAGATAATGCAGGAGAAAGTTATTAGAGGAGGAGGAGGAGGAGGAAGTTGTATATTTCATTTTATTGAAGTGAAAACTTCTTTAGAATCGTTATGATTTCAAACCGGATGCAACGGAAAAAACGACAGGTAAGAGACACAAATACAAAAATGTGTAGGATGAAGCCAGCAAAGAATGAGACAGAAATATACATACTATTTAATACAGCGCCATCTGTGAGATTTTTTAATACTAACGTGTGTATGAAAGCTCTTGTAGTGAATTTTAATTTAGGATTATACGTGAAATTAAAATATAAATTCACAGAGGGCGCTACCTTACAATTATTTACTAATGACAAAATTTTACATATACTTAAGACTTTTAGGATAATTGTATTTTAATTTTGGAAGGTTTCACTTCTACCACGTGTGAATTGCACACATTTTGTTTTTTTCATGTAATAATTAAATTCTTAAATTCATCTTGTGTATCTTTGAAATTTGTAAGCAAAGGTATCGATGATTTTGAATGTTGTTACTCTGTGGAAATTATTATTGAATTAAATACTTTGACAAAACAGATACTGTTTAAGAGTCGATGCTGACCCACTTTCGAGTTTGTTCTACATATTTTATCCTTAGCTTATTTATTTTTATAGAGTTTCCTTCCTTCCTCCGATTGGCTTATAAGTTCCGAAACTTTTTCAAATTCTGATTCAAACATTTCTTGGGATACAAATTGAGTAGATTAAAAACTTTATGATCCTTTAATTATTGTGAATATCAAGTCATTGCTATATCATTTTAATTAATTGTTATTTGAATTATTCGTAATAGTTTTATTGTTCTTACTCTAGATGAAGAGTTCAACTGGTGTTTGTTATTTATGAATACGCACTTTTATTTACTGATGGTAGGACCTCTTGTGAGTCCGCGCGGGTAGGTACCTAATACCACCCTACCTATTTCTGCCGTAAAACAGCAATGCTTTTCGGTTTGAAGGGTGGGGCAGCCGTAGTAACTATACTTGACCTTGGAACTACTTATATCTCAAGGTGGGTGGCGCATTAAGTTGTAGATGTCAATGGGCTCCAGTAACCACTTAACGCGAGGTGGGCTTTGAGCTCGTCCACCCATCTAGCAATAAAAAAATAATAAGTCACAATTTTCATTTATTATTAAATAAAATTAATTCATATAATTAGGTATCAGATTAGTTAATCATTTTCGGTTCAACCAAGTTGAGAAGTTGGCTCAGTCGTTCAATTACCGTACGTAATTAGGGTAAATTCAATAAAGTAACATAAATAAACAGAACTTGAACTCTTTAGATAATTATACTTTAACAACTTACTACCCATTAAATCAAAGAGTATGCAAAAATATATTTAAACCTGTAAATAAATATAAATATATTTGTCTGCCATTAGGTTCACTCCACTCTTTCTAACCATTTGTATCTGTCGAATCACTAATATTTCCTGCCAGTCATTCAATATTACAAGCAAATACTTGGATTAATGTACATTTTTTGCTGAGATGTATGCACACGAAGCTCACAAGATACATATCATAACTAGCTTCATTCGTTCGAAGCTGTGATTTTAGTCTCCGATATACAAATAATGCGATCCCACTCTTCAAATAGATTAATTTGGGTCCCAAATATACTCAAATTTAGCGTAATTAAGAGTCAGGATTCACATTAAAAAAGGAACAAAATGGTAAATTGATGCTGCCAAATAAACCAAACCATTACATTCTCAGAATGTAAAGACATTGAAAACAAAAAAAAAAACATTTAACCTCTATAAACAAGCTCGGATAACGCCAGGCAAATAGCTTCCCGTACTTTATAATCCATATTTCCGGTCGATGCTCCGCCCACGTGTTTGACCCGATTCAGTTTAGCCCCGCAGTCAACACCTAGGCAAATTTGCATGATAATCGTGTATGGCGACATTTTAGCATAACGAGCGGTTAGCCCCTACAAGACTCTGTATTCATTAACCGGAAATTAACGTGGGAAGAAATACTTGCGGCGACGCGACGGACCAAACGTAACTTAATGTTGTGGTTTACAAACCGTTCAGTCTTGTTGTAAATAGAAAACACTGTTTTTGAAGCCTATCTTATGTTTAGACATCAAAAACAATAAGCAAGTACCTGCTCTAATTTATCTTTAATTCTCTAAGCAGAATCTTGTGCTGAGCGATTTTCTTAGCACTTAGACAAAACGTGATTACCTCTGCTGGTTTTGATACACAAAACTGAAGACTACATTGCATTATATATTTACTTAATCTTCACTGTACACAAAATGAGATAAATTAGTAATGTCAAAAAGACACAGTAAATACAAACGGCAGTATTATCGCTAAGAATGATTTTGGTGCTGTTACTACCCCAAGGCAGTGTTATGCTGAAAACAGGAATGTATAATTGTCTCGTGGCGGATATAGGCAGCATGGCACGACCTAAATGTGTACTTGCTATACCTAAATGTGTACTAGCTACATGCATGTAGCATGCTTTAACATCAGTACTTAGATAAGGCCATAAATATTAGCGACTCTGTAGAAGAAGTGACGTTTACTATTACTACAGACGTTATGTTAATAATAATGTATCGTATATATTATAGCTTAATAATAAATACTTTTTTCGATACATGTCTTATCCCTACAGACCTAAACTACAAAGTTAATTTTTTATCATCCAAGTTAGTTTAAATTTATTTAGTGAAATCAATGTCGAGATTAACGCTGAAAATGAAAACAAATGAAATTTAATTTGCTTTTGTGAAAGAAAAAAATTATGTGTTTCACTGTACATTACTTATTGATCATTTTTAGTCAATAATCAAAACGAATACGAAGTCATTAGTTATGCAATAAATTATCTTCTTTTAGGTCGAGATCCAGGTCGGTGACCCCGAGCGCGTCACCGCCACCTTTGCCGCCGCCGCCGCCTCCGCCGCCGCCCCCTCACACCCTCCACCCCGACAATGCATTAGGTACATCATTTTATACTTGGACCGCATGTCTGAGTTACATAATTGTGCGCTTCTCATGTCAGGTTACTTTTATGGAAATCGTTTGTCGGGATACGCCATGCATTTTAGTTATATGCTTGTGGTTACTTGAAGCGTGAATGCAGATGGAATCCGGTTTAAAAATTTGTTTGCTTTTCATTGCTCGCTGTTATTTAAAACTGCATAATAAGAATAATGCGTCACAAATGGAATTAAGTTTCATTTTAGAACAAAAATTTAGCGAGCAATGAAAAGCAATTGAGATAATGACATGGGTATATGGATGAAATAAATTCTTTCAATCTTAATTTTTCAAGTAAAAAAAAAATTAAGTTTTCAGTATTTCCTTCGGTGTTAGCTAGTCGTTTTAAACTACTGTTACGGTTTTGTCTAACGCTTTTTATTGTTAGTAAGTATATTATTCCCAACGTTTCGGATCCAGCTATCTAGCTATCGCATCTATGTAGCTGTCGCATCGTATCAACTTCGCTGTCTGTGCGAGTAACTATGGAAATTAGTGGTCGCGACGAAGCTGTTCCCAACAACAGGACATCTCTTTCATCAATCGCCAACGATCATTTTATACGATGATTCCATTTCTCGTACCGCTGTTACCTTTAAAATGGCGTTCATACCTTTTTTTTAGATGTTTTTGCTTAGATGGGTGGACGAGCTCACAGCCCACCTGGTGTTAAGTGGTTACTGGAGCCCATAGACATCTACAACGTAAATGCGCCACCCACCTTGAGACATAAGTTCTAAGGTCTGAAGTATAGTTACAACGGCTGCCCCACCCTTCAAACCGAAACGCCTTACTGCTTCACGGCAGAAATAGACAGGGTGGTGGTACCTACCCGCGCGGACTATACCTTGTTATATGTCTTCAGATCACGAGTTCATGACATTATCTTTCCTCTAACGGACATTCACCGGATTTACCGGAAACAGGCGATTCACTACCGATACTTTAATGTGGAACATTCATATAACCTCCCTTAATTTAAATTCAAGGTCGTGGCATCCTGAGTGCAGCTGGTCGTCAACTAAGCGATCATAGTAACAACAGAGAATCCTCGCTCGACGACTCCGGTGTGGTCGATGACCACGACGATGGAGAACACACGTCTGATGACCAGGCCCCTCACCCTCACCCGAGGCGGGTACTGCTAATGCCGCCACCATTGCCTGCACTGCAGCAATCAACACCAATGCCACCTTTACAAGTATGTTAACCTTGGATTTTTTTAGCAGGACGAAACACCCGATATTAAATATTACCGCAGCTGTACCTAGAATAACACGACTCCATCTATTTTCAATTATGTCGCAAAAGGGCCGGAAAGCAAACCAAGCAGTAGCATTTTTCGAATTCTATACTAACGATCGTAATAATGGCGTAGGGTTTGTTTGCCTGTTTGCCAGCACAATCATGATTCGATATATAGGGTAGGACGTCCGTTATATTTTTATAATCGAATTCAGACTTCAAATCGAAAAATGCCGAATATCAATAAAGTTGTTCGTTTTTTAACTACCCTCCCTATCTCCGTATGACATGTCCGGTCAGTAAAAGGTTTCAAATCTTATTTCGATGTAACTTCTATCACCACTACTTAATACGTATCATTCTTCTTCCATTACTAAATGAGTATCATTTATTGATATTTATTTGATATTTAAACGTTCACGACCTTATACTGGTTTCCATACGTTTTGTTTAGAAACTAATTTATTTATGTGCAATTCAGATATGACAAGAGTCAATGTTCAGAAATATTCTATATCATTATTTCGCATTTTATAGTCTTAATTTTCGAATGTTCAATCAGCTTCATCGAGTTTTGATGCAAAACTTTCAGAAGTTTTTACTTCAATCAACCTTTCATCCTAAAGTTATCTCGACGAAAACGCTATTACAAATAAAAGAACCTACCGCGATCCATGACTATTGACACTCGTCAAAAGGAAATTTTATTTTGCCATAAATTTTGTATTCGGCTGGATAAAATTAAAAAGTCATCTAACGAAACGTTGGTATTTTCACAGCAAACACAGGAGAGTCACACAGAAGAACCAAAACAGAAAGCCAAACTGAGAATCCGAGAAGAGAAACCAATAGAGAAAGTAAAGAAAGGCGATAAGCAGAAAGAAACCGTGTACGAAAGATATCCATTGAATCCGGACTACCTCAATCAGATCGTCGTTTTAGGTAAAAATCAATTATTAACTACCAATTACGTTATGCCATTAATGCTATTTTAACATTTGATAGCATTATAACATGTTAACTATTGGCACGGCTTTACACGAAGCACTTTATATAAATTCACTATACTAAAAATCTCTGTCACGGAATCGACTACGCTTTGCCGACACTAAATACATATCTTCACGATAAACCGGCCTAAATTAGGACAGAAGTCTTCTTTGAAATGCAATTTAGTAGAGCAGCCTTTAATATACGAACATCTTTGCTGAACTTTATTGCATGATCGTTTTTAATATTTAATCAAACAATTACGACCAACGGACTAGAATTTCGAACTCAAGCATTATTGCGTTTCTTGCAGCCGTAATATTGTTGTTTTTTTTTAATTTTCTACTATTAGGTATACAGTTTTATTGATTCTCGTACAAACGATCTTATGTAGAGTACGTTTCTGTCACCTTCTAAGTAATTTTGTATCCCAATTTAAATCTCTGTATTGTTGTTTTTTTTATTAAGTAAATGTCACTTGCATTTGAGAATACTTGGATAATAATGAATTGTGAACTTTTTAAAAAAAAAATGTTGTGAATAAATTTTTGTAGAAGGAATTACTCACAGCAAATCATATTTTTTTACAATTACTACGATATTACACTATATTTCAGTTTATGCTGTGAAAATAACTGTCACTATCATTGAACTTGTAAATAATGTACAATAATACATTTGAGAATACAGTATCCAAATCATTCAAATATATTAAGCAAACAGATTAATTCTCGCTGTAGTTGTTCAAAATTTTGAAAGTTCGTCCTACAATTTTCATAAAACAATACCGGACTATAAAAAGAAACATGCCATTTTTGGATACATTTGTGTTGTTAAAATACAAAAATTAACGTCATTTAAAATATAACCTCCCCTATTTAACCTGTGCCTTCATTTTAATATATCGAGCGGTGAAAAGCTATCTATGGCTATTTGGTTTATGCAACATTTTTGTAACTTTACAGGAGAGAAATTTAAAGTTTAAAATTAGAAAAATATTAAATAAAAACTTCTTCAGCTATTTCAAGGGAATAAACTTAATTGAAGTTCAATTATAAATATTACTGGTGGTAGGACCTCTTGTACAGTCCGCACAGGTAGGTACCACCGCCCTGCCTATTTCTGCCGTGAAGCAGTAATGCGTTTCGGTTTGAAGGGTAGGGCAGCCGTTGTAACTATACTGAGAGATCTTAGAACTTATATCTCAAGATGGGTAGCGCATTTACGTTGTGGATGTCTATGTGCTCCAGTAACCACTTAACACCAGGTGGGATGTGAGCGCGTCCACACATCTAAGCAATAAAAAAAGCATAGAAACGAAATGTCGCTTAAACTATAGCTATAACTTAAACTATAGCCTTTCACTCCTCAATTACTTTATATGGCATGTTATTTTTATTGTCCTTCTCGAGTCACCGGTAGTTCCAATCCTATATTTAATTAAATATTCATTGTTCATTTAATTCGACACTTTTGCAATTACGCTTCTACCCTCATTAATATCGTCAGGGGCGGACTGGCCATACGAGCGTGCGCCCGCCCTCCCGCAAGCGGAAACGACGAAAATTAATGAGATCGGTTTATTGGCAGCAAAGCACAAAACTCATATGGGCAATTACGAGCAAAATTGCACTTACTTCACAGGTTAGTAAACACTGACGCCAATGCTGCTACCCAGTCCACCCCTGTTCCCCACAGGAAGACTGCCGGGCTACGTCGCAATTGGCTAACTCGTTGTTGTCTCGTCTTTACAAATAATTCGCATACAAACATAAATACGTAAATAAATATGACGCGGCTTTTTTAATACGCTTTTATTAGCTTCAGACGTATGTATGTAAAGGAATCTTTGAACATGATTTTGAGCCTCTTTCAAAACGTCGGATTTACTCGGAATGTTGTATACTTATTAAGGACCGATGTTAATTCAATAATAAAAAAAATAATAAAAATTGAAATTCAACTAAAAAATGAAAAACAAATAATAGTTTAAAAAAACTAACAAAATATGCTTTTATAGAAAATCCAACTAAAAAATAGAAAATAAATTTTAATAAATTTGAATTAAAAATAGTGTAAGAAAAATGATTTTATTATAAAAAAAAGCGTGGGGTGCATGGTATCAGTAGTTATAAATAATTTATGAACAGATATGAGTAGAAGGATTATTTTGATAATAACCTGAAAAGTACTCCACGGTTTTTACAATAAAATCTTTTTTTTTTACACTATTTTTAATTCAAATTTATTAAAATTTATTTTCTATTTTTTTGTTGGATTTTTTTTAAGCGTATTTTGTTTGTTTTTTTAAACTATTATTTATTAAATTTTAATTTTTTGGTTGGAATAAAAATGATTACAAAAAAATATAAATAAATTGATCAAATTATATCAATTCAATTGAAACACTATTCAATAATCATAATATTGGCTTTTGAATAATTATTAAATTCCCTTACTGGTTTTCCTTGAATTTCCGGTGATATCCGCACAATAATCCTATCCCTTTTCCTTGCTTATCGTTGCATGTAAACTTGGATGTAATGGCTAATTTTCTTACTAAAGCTTAAAGCGCCTTTATAGATAAAAAGCTTACGGCGCTTTCGTTGATTTTGCCCGTTCCTTGTGTGGTATGTCCGAATTTGTTCAAATATTTGTGAAATTATCACTCAAATTTAATTACAGATGAGCTCGTGGATAGAAACTGCGAGTGTTGCGTGTCTTGCTGCATAGACTACGAAGGTTGGCTTCAGTTCCAAAACTGTCTTTACGGGATCGTGAAGGATCCTCTATTCGAGTTGTTCATTACGACTTGTATCGTTTTAAACACATTGTTTTTGGCTCTAGAGCATCACGGCATGAGCGAGAACGTTAGAAGGGTCTTAGATATAGGAAATAAGGTGATTATCTAAACCAATGATTCTCAACCACTGTTCCGCGGCACTTTTGTGTGCCGCCAAATTTCAAAAGTGTGCCGCCAAATTTTGCGAATATATAATAATGTTAATATTATTAAATTATATCATTTCAAAAGAAAAATATTTTAAACATGAATATATATCTAAATCCACAAAAAAGAATTATAGTATATTTTAGTTTATTTCGTATATTAAAATTTTTTGATAAACTATTTATGCAGTGTGTTGTAGTAAGTAAATAATTTTTATCTTTTTTTTTGTGTGCCGCCAAATTTTGAAATCGTTTAATATGTGCCGCAACAACAAAAAGGTTGAGAATCACTGATCTAAACCAAACGATACAAATTACGTCAAAAATGTATTTCGTTAGTCATTTTTATTATTATCGATTTTCAGGTTTTCACTTCTATATTTACTTTAGAGTGTATAATGAAAGTGATGGCGATGAGTAAAGACTTTTTTGCTTGCGGTTGGAATATATTCGATCTAATCATAGTTTCGGCTAGCTTACTCGATCTCATATTTGAATTAGTGGACGGCTTATCCGTGCTACGTGGCCTGCGTTTGGTAAGTTAACATTTAAAAACATCTTGTAAATATTAATACGTGAAGCAAAAACTTTGTACCCCTTTTTACGAAAATTGCGCGTTACGGAGGACCCACACTTATAGAGAATACAGAGAAGGAAGGAGTGCAGGATGCCATTTTTTTTAATTATGCATAAAAAATACATTAATCAATAAAAAAGCAAATTTAATTTTTTAATTCTTGTGGTTAAATTAAGAATAGATTAATTTTTTTTGTCAATAATAAAGTTTAATTTTATTTGTTTATAGTGTAGTCTTGGCAAAATCTGTGATTAGAAGTACAGTAGTCTTTGACAATAGAAACATAATAATGTACAAACTTAAGATTTCAGTTAATTAATAGTCGAATTTCGACCACTGTGGGACCACTAGCTAAGATAATTCTGCGAGCTGAATGTTATGTTATTGTATTTGTTACAGTTGAGAGTGTTAAAGTTAGCCCAGTCGTGGACTACGATGAAAGTGTTGTTGAGTATTATAATATCGACTATAGGTGCTCTTGGTAATTTGACGTTCGTATTAGTGATAGTTATATACATATTTGCGGTAATCGGTATGCAGCTGTTTTCTAAATCGTACACCCCTGATAAGTTCGATCCAGATCCGGTACCCAGGTATGCAATTTCTTTATTTTTAACTTGATTTTTTTTTATTGCTTAGATGGGTGGACGAGCTCACAGCCCACCTGGCATTAAGTGGTTACTGGAGCCCATAGACATCCACTACGTAAATGCACCACCTTGAGATATAAGTTCTAAGGTCTCAAGTATAGTTACAGCGGCTGCCCCACCCTTCAAACCGAAACGCATTACTGCTTCACGGCAGAAATAGGCAGCGTGGTGACACCTACCTGCGCGGACTCACAAGAGGTCCTGCCACCAGTAATTATGCAAATTATAATTTTGCGGATTTGATTTTTATTACACGATGTTATTCCTTAACCGTGGAAGTCAATCGTGAACATTTGTATTTTATCTTCCAGTAAACAAAACCATTGATCGGTGAAATAAGTGTTTGTTGAAATGTTTGCTTGTTTCTCGCCGGATCTTCTCAGTGGGTCGCGTTTCCGATCCGGTGGTAGATTCTGCGAAGCACGGCTCTTGCTAGGGTTCGTGTTAGCAACATCGTCAGGTTTGAGCCCCGTGAGCTCACCTACTAAAGTTAGGGTTACGCTGACATAGCCTCTCAAGGTTATCAGCTTAGGAAGCCAAAAAAAAAAAAAAATGCTTATTGACTTTTTGTACTCTAGATGGAACTTTAATGATTTCTTCCATTCGTTCATGATGATATTTCGGATACTGTGCGGTGAATGGATCGAGCCCCTGTGGGACTGTATGAGAGCCGAGCAAGCCAGTGGCGCAGAGAGCTGTTTCTTCATATTCTTACCGGCTCTCGTAATGGGAAATTTCATGGTGCTCAATCTCTTCCTTGCCTTGCTGCTCAACAGCTTTAACAGTGAAGAACTTAAAAATAAAAAAGAGGTAACACTCGTATCCATTTTGGTACGCTTCAATGTGGATTTCTTGTTTTTGTTCATAATCTATATATATATAAAAATGAATTGCTGTTCGTTAGTCTCGCTAAAACTCGAGAACAGCTAGGCCGATTTGGCTAATTTTGGTCTTGAATTATTTGTGGAAGTCTAGAAAAGGTTTACAAGGTAGATAAATGGTCTTGAATTATTTGTGGAAGTCTAGAAAAGGTTTAAAAGGTAGATAAATATGAAAATGTTCGGAATTAAATAAAAATTACAATTTTGTTTTCCCTTTGATGTGTCCCCCGTCGGACGGATTCCTTTTGCCTGAGCTAAGTTTATTTTATACAAAAGCTTAGATCTTTTATTTATCGATTGAGGCACTACGAAGTCTGCTGTGTCAGCTAGTACAATCTATATTTAACTTACAGGAAGTGGGCGAAGATTCGAAATTAGCTAAAAGCTTCGATAGAATACGTTCTATAGTAAGGAAGAAAGGTTTTCTTATATCTAGAAGTAAAGAGACTGAAAAAAAATCGAAATTAGAGGAGCTAGTTAACGAATTCATGTCACAGCAACGAGCTATTAAAGAGAAGAAAGCGTCAATACCGAGCGAGCAGCGTTACTCCGCCTCGATACAGGAGACCATACTCTTTCCGCATGACAATATCTATAGCCATAGCTACCAAGAGGCCGTAAACAGGTATTCTTTTTTTATTTTATTTTTTATTTTTATTGCTTAAATGGGTGGATGAACTCACAGCCCACTTGGTGTTAAGTGGTTACTGGAGCCCATAGACGTCTACAACGTAAATGCGCCACCCACCTTGAGATATAAGTTATTAGCTGCCCCACCCTTCAAACCGAAACGTATTACCGCTTCACGGCAGAAATAAGCAGGGTGGTGATACCTACCCGCGTGGACTTACTAGAGGTCCTACCACCACTAATTACGCAAATTAAAATTTTCGGGTTTGATTTTTATTACACGATGTTATTCCTTCACCGTGGAAGTCAATCGTGAACATTTGTTGGGTACGTATTTCATTAGAAAAATTGGTACCCGCCTGAGATTCGAACACCGGTGCATCGCTCAACACGAACGCACCGGACGTCTTTTCCTTTAGACCACGACGACTTCATAACATAGATTAAACATAGATTAAATACCTCAAAACATCTCACATTATGTTTACTTTTCAGGCCAATATCTGTTGGTTCAGAATTCGCATACCCGCAACTGTATCAGAGCTGCAGCAACATTAACCACGGCAGTCAAGAGACGTTGAAAGACGTACGAGACTTGGCAACCGAACATAAGATAACAAGCATTAGGGAAGATTCCAAAGAAAATCTAGAAGATACGTCGCCGTTCGAACAAAAATCAGCGCAAAAACTACTAAATCAAATATCTTCTGGATATTACACCCAACCATCGGATTCGAGAGGTAAGGAACTCCATTGTAATCTCGTTATCGATAATGAATTTTGGTCATAACTCCGTCAGAAGATAAAATAGAAGTATATCTATCTATACTAATATTATAAAGAGGAAAGATTTGTTTGTTTGTTTGTTTCGAATAGGCTCCGAAACTACTGGACCGATTTGAAAAATTCTTTTTCCATTAGAAGCCGACATTGTCCCTGATGAACATAGGCTACTTTTTTGAATTTTTTTTTTTTTTTTTTTGGTTTCATGTGTAGTTTAATGTTTCCGAAGCGAAGCGAGGGCGGGTCGCTAGTATATTATATAAAAATGAATTGCTGTTCGTTAGTCTCGCTAAAACTCGAGAACGCCTGGACCGATTTGGCTAATTATGATCTTGAATAATTTGTGGAAGTCCAGAGAAGGTTTAAAAGGTAGATAAATATGAAAATGCTTGGAATTAAATAAAAATAACAATTTTGTTTTTCCTTTGATGTGTCCCCGTCGTATGGGAGGTTTCTTTTTGTTTGTTTTAAGTTTATTTTATACAAAAGTTTAGGTATTTTATTTATCGATTAAGGCACTACGAAGTCTGCCGGGTCAGCTAGTTATTAATATAAAATTTTATCTAACACAATAAATGAGAAATTACTATATTTCTTATCTTTGACGAGAATGTTCTAATATTCAAAATGTAATTTGGAACGTTCTCATCAAACAGTATTATTAAGGCACAACTTATTTGAAATTGATAAACTTATTGTCAACCTAATTGCAGACGAAGATAACGAACATTATGAAATGGCACAGTTCTCTTGTAAAACAACACCGGAAAAAACTAAGAAGCAAGGTAGAGACCCGCCAAACACGTTATCCAAAGATCCGAATAAAAAGCCTGACGAGGACGACATGAAACATCCGTGGCAAACATTAGTTTCTTATGTGGACGAATTGACCGTAGGGGGGCGGAAGAACTCTAAAGGCCAGTACATCGATGCGATGGGAAATTTTCCGGGATTCGGGAAACAGAAGGAACCAAAAGTGCCCCAGGATTGCTTCCCGAGTCAATGTTACGATATGTACGTACGATCTAATATTTACAACTAAGCATTTAGTTTGCAAATAAAACCGGTTTCCGAGGCGATGATAATTTTACCGCGTTCAGTTATAAGTTGTCGAATGAAATTGTATTAGTTTTGGTGCAATATGCAGCGGCTTGTATATGCCCCTGAGATTACTGATTTCCATGAGTGACGGTGAATACTTACATGAGCCATATGGTCAGCTTACATAGGCAACAAAAGAACATGATTTCCATAAGTGACGGTGAATAATTACATGAGCCACACGATCGTCAGACTACACAGGCAAACAAAAACATGTTTCTTTTATTGCCTACATAGGTAGAGGAGTAGTTGCCTATTTCTGTCGTGAAGCAGTAATGCGTTTCGGTTTAAAGGGTGGATCAGCCGTTGTAACTATACTTGAGACCTTGGAACTTATATCTCAAGGTGGGTGGCGCATTTACGTTGTAGATGTCTATGGACTCCAGTAACCACTTAACACCAGGTGGGCTGTGAGCTCGTCCACCCATCTAAGCAATAAATTAAAAAATACACAGCCCACCTGATGGTAAATGGTTACCGTCGCCCATGGACGTCAGCAATGCCAGAGGCAGAGCCAAGCCGCTGCCTACCGTATAATTTTATTTGAAAATCAAATATGTTACGCCACAGTATATATATAGTCAAAATAATATTATCTAAACTATTTTTGTATATTATCTTTATTACAGAAGCTCGTGTTGGGACACGTGTATAGACACAAAAATTGGCCAACGTTGGATGTTGGTTCGAACATTCGTTTTACGTTATGTCGACACGCCCGCATTCGAATGGTTCGTTCTGGTCCTGATATTTGCTTCGAGCATCACGCTGTGCTTCGAAGACATTCACCTAGAAAAGAACAAACCATTAAAGAAGATATTGTACTGGACCAATTTGGGATTCTGTATGATATTCATAATAGAAATGTTTCTCAAATGGATAGCTTTAGGATTCTTCAGATACTTCACTAGCTTTTGGACGTTGTTAGATTTTACTATAGTATTCGTAAGTATGCTCATTCGCAGTTCAAAAAGTATATTCGTTTTATTTTTTTTTTTTATTGCTTAGATGTGTGGATGACCTCAGAGCCCATAGACATCTACAACGTAAATGCTCCACCCACCTTGAGATATAAGTTCTAAGATCTCAGTATAGTTACAACGGCTGCCCCGCCCTTCAAACCGAAACGCATTACTGCTTCACGGCAGAAATAGGCGGGGCGGTGGTACTTACCCGCGCGGACTCACAAGCGGTCCTACCACCTTTAGATATTCTATACTATTCTATATTATTTAACATTTTGAACGGTTAATTAATTCGTATTATTTTTACAGGTTTCTGTATTTAGTTTGTTGATAGAAGAGAATGAAAATTTGAAAGTTTTGAGATCGTTACGGACTTTACGCGCTTTGAGGCCGCTTCGAGCGATCTCGAGGTGGCAGGGTATGCGTATAGTCGTGAACGCCCTGATGTACGCGATACCCAGCATTTTCAACGTTCTCCTAGTTTGTTTAGTGTTTTGGTTGATATTCTCTATAATGGGAGTACAGTTTTTCGGAGGAAAATTCTTCAAGTGCGTTAATGAAGAAGGAGAATTATTACCTTTAGACGTAAGTGATATTACCTCTATTTACCCATAAACACCAGATTAGGATAGTACCAGTCATGAAACACTTTTTTACTGGTGGTAGGACCTCTTGTGAGTCCGCGCGGGTGAGTACCACCATCCTGCCTATTTCTGCCGTGAAGCAGTAATGCGTTACGGTTTGAAGGGTGGGGCAGACGTTGTAACTTACTTGAGACCTTAGAACTTATATCTCAAAGCGGTTGGCGCATTTACGTTGTCGATGTCTATGGGCTCCAGTAACCATTTAACACTAGGTGGGCTATGAGCTCGTCCACCCATCTAAGCAATAAAAAAAAAACAGGTAAAATTAATTGGTTGGGAAATTAAAATCCAAAAGGCATAGATTTAGTAGTTGTTTTACAGACGTGCCGGAATCAATTGGTCGTAAGAAGCTAAAATCGACTGAATTGATTATTGCTAAGATGGATGGACAAGCTCACAGCCCACTTGGTTCAAGTGGTTACCATATTATAACCATAGACATTAACAATGTAAATGTGGCCGTTCAGCTTGGAACATGAGTCTAAGTCCCAGTTCGATAGTACAATAACTGCCCCAACCGTCAAACCGGAACGCATTACTGATTCGCGGTATAAATTGGCAGGGTGGCAGTTCCTACACGTGCGAGCTCACAAGACGCCTTAACATCAGTAATTACACAAATCACAAACTTTGCGGCTTTTGGTTTTTACTATACGATATGTTTCCTTCAATATTATAGGTGTCTGTGCAAAGTTACAGCATCACTGGTAACGACGCTCCAAACAAGAATGATTAGAAAGACAACGCACATACGATGCTATAACATCACTTATGCTAACGGCCGTCTGGTGTAGTGGTAAGTGACATGGTCACTACACAAGGGGGTCGCGGGTTCGAATCCCGCCAAGGGAAGATATTTGTATGATAAATATAAATGTATTTTCCACGGTTATGGATGTATATTAAATATATGTATGTGTGTAATAAAAATCTTACATTTATTTCCGTTATCTGGTACCTGTAACACAAGTTCTTTACGAACTTATCACGGGACCAGTTAACGTGGCGTGATCGTTAGTAAAAATATTTATTTATAAAAAAAAAAGGGATTTTTCAGGAGAAGCGTTGAAAATTCAACATCATAATACAATTATATAGTTCTTCTCGGCTAAAGAAATAAAACGATAATATTTAAACTACAACTTTAAACGTTATTATTATTTAAAGCAAGCATAACATTAATAACTAATAAAAATGGATTTTCTCTAACTCAATTCAGTTTTAACATGTATGACATAAGTGATATTATAGCTCTGTATGCGTGACAAGACAATGCACGTACACATGACTGATAGCAATGTAGCGGGACCGCTCAAGGAAGCTGCGTCATAAAAAAAGTCATTTCATAATCGGACCAACTACGAACATCAAAAATCCTTCTTTGTGAAATGTCACTAGGTATACCATACTTACTAAGCAAATGAACGATATCGGTTTATTGAATTACACCTACCCTCAAACTGCTGCGTGATAAGACGACGATGCATCTCATATAAGATAGAAGTTATAAGTTCACTTTTTTGACGTTTCGCAAAGAAACGGTGCCTTCAATATTATTACGCACAATAAAAATTAAATTCTTTTCTATTTCAGATAGTAAACGATAAATGGGAATGTTACTATAATAATTTCTCTTGGGTGAATTCCAAGATATCTTTTGACCATGTCGGTATAGCGTATTTAGCGTTATTTCAAGTAGCCACGTTTGAGGGGTGGATGGAAGTAATGGCCGACGCAGTTGACGCACGAGGAGTCGACTTGCAACCAGCGAGAGAGGCAAATCTATATGCGTACATATATTTTGTTATATTTATCGTCTGCGGCTCATTCTTCACCCTAAATCTATTTATAGGAGTAATAATAGATAATTTTAATATGCTCAAGAAGAAGGTAAGTAAGAACATAAAAAAAAACAATATATGATCTATCGAATGTGATGTGTAAATAAAAATTAAATATTATTTTACAGTATGAAGGAGGAGTGTTAGAAATGTTCCTTACAGAAAGCCAAAAACATTATTACACTGCTATGAAGAAACTTGGCAGGAAAAAGCCCCAGAAAGTAATAAAGAGGCCAAGAAATCAATTTCTAGCAATGTTCTATGATTTATCGAATTCGCGTCGTTTCGAAATAGCTATATTCGTTCTAATTTTTTTAAACATGCTCACCATGGGTATAGAGCATTACGATCAGCCTCATTCCGTATTCTTCATTCTTGAAGTTAGTAATGCGTTTTTTACTACAGTATTCGGCTTAGGTATGTTACATCCAAATAATACAATATCGAAGGGTGAAAGGTTGTTTGGTTTAAGCGACATTTCGCTTATTATACGAAATTTATCTATGTAATTAAATGAGCGGGTTATTTGATATTGTGTGTATGTGTGTGTGTCGTCGTGGCCTAAAGGATAAGACGTCCGGTGGATTCGTATCTAGCGATGCAACGGTGATCGAATTTCACAGGCGGGTGGGTACCAATTAGCATTAATGAAATACGTACTTAACAAATGTTCACGATTGACTTCCATGGTGAAGGAATAGCATCGTGTAATAAAAATCAAACCCGCAAACTTATAATTTCCATAATTACTGGTGGTAGGACCTCTTGTGACTCCGCACGGGTAGGTACCATCGCCCCGCTATTTCTGCCGTGAAGCAGTAATGCGTTTCGGTTTGAAGGGTGGGGCAGCCGTTATAGCTATACTGACTAACTATAACTATACCGAGATCTTAGAACTTATATCTCAAGGCGGGTGGCAATTTATATTGTAGGTATCTATGGGCTCCAGTAACCACTCAACACCAGGTAGGATATAAAATAAAAAAATACATAAAACATTCGATGTTTTTAATTGAACTTCAATTAAGTTTACTCCATTGAAATAGCTGAATAAGTTTTATTATTATGATATTTTTTCCAAATATTAATCTTTAAATGTCTCTTCTGTAAAGATGCAACAATATCGCTTCAACCAAATATCCTTTCACCCCCCGATGTCACATTTCGTATGTTCTTATAAACACTCATTTTCGATTTTCTCTCTTACAGAAGCAATAGTTAAGATCGTCGGTCTAAGGTATCATTACTTTACGGTGCCTTGGAACGTTTTTGATTTCCTTTTAGTTTTAGCGTCAATTTTAGGCATAGTTATGGAAGATATAATGATAGATTTGCCCATATCGCCCACTCTACTGAGAGTGGTGAGAGTATTTCGTATAGGAAGAATCTTAAGACTGATTAAAGTAAGTACCGATTTTCCGTGACGTCTTTTTATTTATTTATTGCATAGATGGGTGGACGAGCTCACAGCCCACCTGGTGTTAAGTGGTTACTGAAGCCCATAGACATCTACAACGTAAATGCGCCACCCATCTTGAGATATAAGTTCTAAGATCTCAGTATAGTTACAACGCCTGCCCCACCCTTCAAACCGAAACGCATTACTGCTTCACGGCAGTAATAGGCAGGGTGGTGATACGTACCCGTGCGGACTCACAAAAGCTTCTACCTGTTATTGCTATTTTATCGCAAATTACGATGGAAAACTTAAATGCCTTTAAATTTTGTCATCGACTTAGATATTGTCGTAGTCGTTAACAATGTTTTTATTTTCTACATTAAGCTTTTTTGTTGTGGCTTTATCTGGTACGAGTTGAAAAGATTTTGACTGATGAAAATCGCCATATCAATTTTCAGGCTGCTAAGGGCATAAGGAAACTTCTATTCGCATTAGTGGTATCGTTACCGGCTCTGTTCAATATAGGAGCTCTGTTAGCGTTGATTACATTCATATACGCAATAATCGGTATGTCGGTCTTCGGTCACGTCAAAGAACAAGGTGCCTTAGACGATATAGTCAACTTTCAAACGTTCGGACGGAGTATGCAGTTACTTTTTCGGTTAGTATGTAAAGCCTTACCTAACTTAAGACTTTATTGATGGGTTCTTGTTGAGATTGTCTATTATAATCCATATAGCTACGCAGAAGTTAGTATACGGCTATTAATAAAACGTTAAATGCCACTTAGGCTGGCCCAAGATACTTGGTGAAAATGGGGCCAGCAGCAATCATACTATCTCAAAAAAAAAACAAGTCCACTAAAGGACAACAGTCACTAAACCGCATAATCGAAAGCAAATTAATTAACGGTCCAAAAACTTAAATATATTAAAACTAAAGCAGGGCAGTATCGATGATATATATTATGTTAAGAAAATCATTATTATTATTTTAGTGCGTAGATGGGTGAAGGAGCTTACGTCCCACCTAGTGTTAAGTGGTTTCCGGAACCCATAGACATCAACGACGTAAATTCCACCACCCACCTTGAGACAAATTCTGAGTTTAATTCTACAACGATTGCCCTACCCTTCAAACCGAAAAGTATTACTGCTTCACGGCACAAACAAGCAGGATGGCGGTACTTACCCACACCGGCTAATGCCACAGCTTACTAGCAGTCATTACGCAAATTAAAATTTTTGCAGCTTTGATTTATAGTACCCGATGTTATTCCTACATCGTCGACGTCATTCGTGAACATTTCTTAAGTACTTATTTCAATAGATAATTTGGTACCTGCTTGGGGGATTCGAACACCGGCACCGTCGCATCGCTCGATACGAATGCACCGGCCGTCTTAACTTGTAGGCCACGACGATTTCAATCCGTCGTTTATGTTTCCAGTCTGATGACGTCGGCGGGTTGGAACGATGTATTAGAGTCACTCATGATCCAACCGCCGGACTGTGAGCAAGGCGACCATGGTCACTCGAACGGCAACTGTGGAAGTCCACTTCTAGCGATCACCTACTTCACTTCCTTCATCATAATAAGCTACATGATCGTTATCAACATGTACATAGCTATTATCCTCGAGAATTTCAACCAAGCCCACCAGGAAGAAGAAATTGGTATCGTTGAAGATGACCTTGAAATGTTTTACATTAGATGGTCCAAGTAAGTCTATTTTTTTTTATTGCTTAGATGAGTGGACGAGCTCACAGCCCACCTGGTGTTAAGTGGTTACTAGAGTCCATAGACATCTACAACGTAAATGTGCCACGCACCTTGAGATATAACTTCTAAGGTCTCAGTATAGTTCCAACGGCTGCCCCACCCTTCAAACCGAAACGCATTACTGCTTCACGGCTGAAATAGGCAGGGAGGTGGTACCTACCCGTGCGGACTCACAAGAGGTCCTACCACCAGTTATAATTTTTGCGGGTTTGATTTTTTATTACACGATGTTATTCCTTCACCGTGGAAGTCAATCGTGAACATTTGTTAAGTACGTATTGCATTAGAAAAATTGGTACCCGCCTGCGGGATTCGAACACCGGTGCATCGCTACATACGAATGCACCGGACGTCTTATCCTTTAGGCCACGACGATATCAATTCGACATTATTTCTAAAGAACATCGCATAATGTTTCCAGATAATATTCTTAGCATTCTGTTTTCATTACAGATACGACCCACATGCGACTCAGTTCATCAGTTTTGCTCAGCTATCCGAGTTCATAGCCTCCTTAGACCCACCTTTGGGCATCTCAAAGCCCAACACCGTAGCTTTAGTCAGTTTTAATCTCCCTATAGCTAGAGGGAATAAGATACATTGTTTAGATATCTTGCATGCACTGGTGAAACACGTTTTGGGTCACGTTGAAGAAACTGAAACCTTCAGGCAATTGCAAGAGCAGATGGATATCAAATTCAAGAAGCAATTTCCGACGAGAAAGGAACTGGAAATCGTCTCTTCAACTAGGATATGGAAGAGGGAAGATAAGGCTGCGAGGACTATACAGCGTGCTTGGAGAGAATACGTCAAGTCAGTAACTCATTAATTCGACTACAAAACAGTTCCCTTACAAAGTAGTTAAAATACTTTTACGGTTTAACTTCGAGTTTTTTTGTTTGTTGTTATACCTGTGGCCTGGAGCTAAAAGGACCTAAGTACGTTTTTGTATGAAATTAGATTGAAGTGCCAGTTTATTGGAAAGGTATCTATAATTTTTGTCCTAAAAGGAGGTTTTTTTTTTTTATTGCTTAGATGCGTGGACGAGCTCACAGCCCACCTGGTGTTAAGTGGTTACTGGAGCCCATAGACATCTACAACGTAAATGCGCCACCCGCCTTGAGATATAAGTTGTAAGATCTCAGTATAGTTACAACGGCTGCCCCACCCTTCAAACCGAAACGCATTACTGCTTCACGGCAGAAAGAGGCAGGGCGGTGGTACCTACCCGTGCGGACTCACAACAGGTCCGACCACCAGTAAAAAGATTAGATTAGATAACATAGATTAGATAGTAGATTAACAACAATCTTCAAAAGTTACTATTTAAGAAACAAAGTAGTGCGAGCTTTCATGTTGTTTATTTATTGATGTATCATTGTTCTAATATTTAAAACTAAAAATAACGATTATTGATATTAGTCTTATTGGCACCAGACCATAGCTACCATCCGATGTTTAGAGTACTTTATAGTTTATGTGGTAGCGTGGACACCTAAGGCGTTATTTGTCGACATTTTAATATTTGGCCGACCGTCTCGTTTTCTATAAAAAAATGTGTGGTGTCGTGAGACACCGGATAGGAACGAAGTTCCTTATTATAAAAATATTAATTTTAAGTTCTATTCGAGGTATAAAGAAAATAAAACTGGAGGTTTCGCAACAAGCCACGGTCATTCGGTTAAATGCGAACTTATTGTGGTACACTTCATTCACGGTTGTTTGCATAAGAGTTAGTGTATTGTGCAAACGAACGCTCTGAGATCGTGATCAATGAATGATAAAAAAATGTTATTTTTGTACGTTATTACAAAGTTAAGTCGTACACTGTGTGCATTACTAATAAAAATCTTACCTTACGGACGTTTTTTCCCGATTAGGTTACCCCTCCGCATCGTCACATTAGGAACTTCGTTTAGACTAGAATTATGGAAAAACGCAAATTTTTTTAGGCGTAAAAACCGCAGTCCGTCTGTTGAAGAGGAAAGCACGAAATGGTCTCCGGGAGGAGGCTGGGGCGGTCGCCTCAGTGCTTTGCTGCACGTGAGAAGAGGATCGCATGCGTCAAGTCGGAAATCTTCAAGGGCTTCCGAAGCATCAGACATAAGCGAATTGGGAGGGGCCTGGTTAAATTTACCACTCCTCTTGTTGCCTGGTGCCACGCCGGCTGAACAGGTAACCTTTGAGTCAGTCAAGGAAACAAGGAGAAATCATTGCACATTATAAATGATTCATTTCGTTCATAGTTCAGTAAATCATTTTAATCAAATTAACATTTTAATGTAGAGCCAGTTACGTGATTAGCGACTAGAAAAGTGCACAAAGTGGGAATGAGTTGCTCGCTCCGAGCATTTCAATATTGCAATAATTGTTACGTTATAATACTCATTGTAAAAATGAATATTTAAAAAAAAACTAATTAAAAAAAAGAGACGCCCACTGAGTTTCTTGCCAGTTCTTTTCAGGACGGATGCTAGTTTTTGTGAATTGGCGGTAGTTCTTTTTGACGTTCAACAAGTATGTACTTTCATTTATGATGATTTTATTTTTTATTTGATTTGATTGGAGGAACTAATATAGCAAAAGCAAATGAACATTTTAAAGGGAAATAAAGAATAAATCCTAATTTTTTTTTAAAGCGACTGGTTACTTCCTGCCTTCTCTAATTTTTTCTTTTAATTTAAATTAAATTTATAAATTAGATGGCGGCCTGTTCAGAATCAGCACCAACCAGACGTAGGTCGGCATACGGTTTGCCTATTTTCCTTCGTCACCAAGACGCAATGGATGAAGATGTCGGCCCCAAACGCGCAGGTTCTTTTGTGATGTTTTGCTTCCTGTCATTTTTGTATTAGACCTGCATTCTTGTTGTCACATCAGGTGGTTGAGAACGAAAGCCGTCAAATTCACAGCCCACTGAGTTTCTCGCCGGATCTTCTCAGTGGGTCGCGTTTCCTATCATCCGGTGGTAGATTCTGCGAAGTACTGCTCTTGCTAGGGCCAGTGTTAGCAACACTCCGGTTTCAGCCCCGTGAGCTCACCTACATGTTAAGGCGAAGCTAATACAGCCTCTCAAGGCTATTAACATAGGTAGGAAAAAAAAAGAGAAAAAAAAATTCAAGTTCTTAAAATGTTGAAAATTTTCAAAGAAAGTAGTTACCTAAAGTTCCATTTTTTTAATTTTTAGAAGAGGGTATGTATTATTGATGTGTCTGTAGAGTAACATTAAAAAAATATATTCTAAAACATCAAATATCCCCGTTCTGTTATTTTTTTAAATAGACCACCTGATGTGAACATGCTTGTGCTCGTGAGAAATAAATAAAAATTAAGCGTTGTTGAATGTTTAAATCTAACTAATATATATACCTTAAATAAGTTTAGGTTATATTGTTTGTCTTGTTCCCAGTGTTTAGACGGTGCTTTTGTCCAATTGGCATATAACATCGTGATTCATTGGAATCCTGCTATGAGTCCTGAATGCTTTTGCATGACGCTTCGTTTAATTATATCGATGCTTCGGTGTTGCCATAAAATGTGATACGTTTTGTAGACAATAGAACCTTTACATTCTGTCCTTCATTTTTAATGCATCTCAGGAATTCGTAAGTAAGATTTTTAATTCTAGGATCGAAAATCACTTTACTATAGTGTAATCGACACGAAAATTACAAGATGAGTATTTTCCTTGCATTTTTTGACGTGTTAATACTTAAAATTAAACTGTGTAACTAAACCGATTTTAAAACTAGATGCATTTAGCTAGTATTTGCTTGAATAGTTCAATTTGAGTTCAACTAAAATTTCGTAGTATTTTAATTATAAAAATGTAACTGAGATTCGACTAATATTGATAACAAAATACTCTGTACTAATAAAGTTCACAAATATAATTTTAAAAAGCCTAAAATAGAAATAGGCAGTAGAAACTCACCCAACAACTCAATGTACAGAAAAGGAGCACCGCAAAGAGGAAAACAACGTAATATCGCTTTAATCAAAAATAAATCGTATCCGATATGAACAGCAATTCAGAATTCGGAAACGTTTGCAGGTTCCCTTCGTCTGAGCTCAAGAAGAAACTCGGCTCGGCGACCAACGCCTCCCGCCCGCGCCCGCACTCCTTCCCCGCACGCAAATAACAGCGAAGTTAGCATCCTCGTTACTGAAGCATCACCGGACGCAGCCCCGGTTCCGGCAGCGCCGCCAACCGTAGTACGAGTCCTCGTGCACAGAGAGAGTGACGAGCAACCCAGCTGATCCACGCCCGACGAGCCGAACGCGGCTCCCGACTTTTCAAATTAAGAACAATGCAACGTTCTCGAAATTTCGATCGTTGTCGCTTGTGAGTGTATATATATTGTGTTCGCACACGGACGAGTGCATTGTGATCTGTGGTGTTCGGTTGTATTGTAGTCTCAAAACCGTAAACCCGAAAATACGGAGATCGATACAATAAAATGTAATCCGACATAAAACACAGTTCCGATTTACGCAATTTTATCGTTGCTCAAAAGTTATTTTGTTTAACGCAATACAAAAAACGTTAAATGTTAATAATTTAATTAATAAACATAATGTGTTATAAGATGTTTGTTAGCAGAAACTTCCAAACTTATTGCAGATACATTTCTTGCAACATTATACTTTATTTTTTTTAAACGTTGTAGGAATTTATTGATGCTAGGTATTTAACTGCCTCACGCCTTGTGAAATATGCTTCTAGCGTTTTTTTTGTCATTATAATGCAATCCAGATAAACAAAGAATTATATTGGTAGATAGTATAAACGACTATTTTAAAGCTGTGACAGATGTACACACTATATAATCTTCAATGCACAGATTGAAAATTTTACGAAAAAAAAATCTTATTAAATTACGATGCTTAGTTTAGGTAAACTGACTCCAAATATTAAACTAATATTTCGTATGTATATTAGTTTATTCATAAACAAAAAATAAACAACAAATAAATAATATTTACCAGAGGGCGAGCCTGATTATAGGTTTCGTCTTTTTTTTTCATTCGAATTTCGCGCAAAAGCTTTTATTAATTTTGATCAAGTTTTTGGTATAGAATTTATGTTTAGTACCGTGTTGTTTCTACGCTGTCGGAAGACCGAGATATAAGAAGATAGAGCCACATTTTTTCAAAACCAGAGTTAACATAAATTAATACAAAAAAATTATGACATTCACATCGTCTTATTTATTTTATTTAACGCATCTAGATCAAACTGTAACTGTTTTATTATAGACCGACGGTTTAACAAAATGTATTTTTGCAAGACAATAATTTCATGAAAATAATACAAAATCACCCTTAATACATTTTTAACTATTTTGTTTTTATCAAATATAGCTTTATTTTGAAAATGGTACATAGTATAATCATTTTGTATGTTTCATAAAAAACAGTTCAATTCAATGGGACAAAATCAAATTCGAGCGAATAATATACGCTAGGCGGTAATGTAGCTTGAAGTAAATCTCTTCAAATATTTATAGTTTACAGCGTATTACCATTATATCGCTATATATTGGGAGATTTACTTTATGTTATGTTATTAACTTTTCAAAAACTGTTCAATTAGAATAGATTTAAAGTTGTCTTTTTTATGATGGATTGCTGGTGGCCCGCATGCCTTTCCAGTTTCACCAAGACTGGTGAATAAACCTAATCGCTCAGCCGGTACGACCAAGATTGCTAACAACCACCACAACGCCTCTGAACATGGTCCAGTAGCTAAACAGTGCTTGGCGAGTGCATCTACCATCGGATCGAGCACCGAGAATAGATCCATCAAACCATGTCTAGGGCATTGATGGTAGTATGTTTCTGCGTGAGCTGGATCAGGGCTGTACTTAGGCGACCAAGATGAGAAGGTTATCATGCCGCATAGCTCTACTCTTAGCGAAATAGCGTTCCTATGCTGTCTTCTCTTATAAATGGGTTCTGAACTTAGACCGTCGTGAAAATCTAGATTCTTCTCCGAAAGCTCCGAAGACTCTTGTAAAGAAACGAGATTGAAAATTTTCGAATCTACGTAACTGCAAGCCGCGTGATTGAATACTTACTACGTTCGCATAAGTCATATTAATTAATATGTTTGATCAGCCTAAAAGCTTTCAGAGCTCTCATTACATTTAAAACTACGGGTTGCTTTAAATAGTATACATACAATTTAGCCAATTTTATATAATAAACAAAAATAAAATCGCACAAAAAAAATTTAGTAGACTAATAAGTTTATTTATTTTACATAGTTATTGATGTTAAGTATTTCTTGTGTAAAAGACAATATTTTTCATCTTTTTACGTGAAATATTTTAACGCAGGCTTATTGGCCCTAGTTCTGAATATATATTTTTGTTTAATTATCTGTATGGGTTAATTTTTTTTTATATTTGGCCCGTCCAAAATTATTTCATTTATTTCAATGGCAGAAAAGTTTACAATAGTTGGCAGCATTCTGTATATTTTTAAAATTGTTTGTATGTTGGCACAAAGTGCTTGTTTGAAGTAGATAATAGTAGTTCCGGTATCAGCATGCCTAGAACATATTTTAAAAATAGATTTCCTAATTCTAAAATTTTAAAATTCATATTAACACTATTTCTATTTAGCAAGGACCAAAATATTGTCTATTAGTACCTCTTCAATTTTATCTCGAAAATTCTCTAGACCAAAAAATAATTTACGGTTATTTTTCATGTAGTTTTTCGAAGCCTGTTTCGATCTTTAGTACTTAAGAAACTGAAATGTTTTGTATTTTACCACTAGGCTTTACATTTACACAATTGCTAAACAAATTATCCATTCACTAAGATACTTAATAATTAAAAAAAAAGAAAGCGTAAAATGTTCTAAGAATACGTAGAATTCTCGTTATTGTTCGTTACTTTGTAAATATTAAAGAGTATGAAATAATTTTGCATCTATTTATACTTACATCAGTTTTAAGGAGGTCAATAATTACTTTTTAAATAAATTTATAATTTATTATGTACAATGTACATGTAAAATTGTTCGAAGCATGTGTCTGTAATGATTCGATTTGTGTAATATAATAATAATATGTTCAATTGTATGATATGTAAATAAAAAGTTTTGAGTGATACTGGCGAAATATGATTTCCTTCTAAGGTACAAAGTAAGAATTAACCATGTTGAAATTATGATTAAATAAAATTATAGTACTTTCTGAAGTTTCATTATTCTAAATCTGCTTAAAAAAAACAATCCATTTATTCTTCTTCTATTTTTGAACGTTACCAGTCCTATAAAATAGATGTTAATAACTATGATGATGAAAGGCGATTGTATGCAGCAGAGATGCGAATGTTGCGATGGATGACTGGAGTAACGAGAATGGATAGAATACGGAATGAATATGTTAGAGGAAGTCTGAAAGTGGCACCTGTGACAGAGAAGCTGAGAAGTGTGCGTTTGGGATGGTATGGACATGTGATGAGATGAGATTGGTCAGAAAATGTTAACTATGAATGTGGAAGGATATAGCGGAAGAGGTCTACCTAAGAAAAAATGGATGGATTGCGTGAAAGACGATATGGGTAAGAGGGGATTGAGTGAAGAAATGGTATATGATAGAAGAGTATGGAAGGAGAAAACATGTTGCGCCGACCCCAGGTAACTGGGAGAAGGGCAGGATAATGATGATGATGAACTATGGTTATCAGTGTCAAGCTTATAATTTTTTTAGTTCATTGTGTGATCTCTTATTTTGAGAAATTATATGAAGAAAACCAAATGAAATTGATTATTTTGAGATATTAATCAATTTAGAATAAAAGAAATTGTTTTATAGTTTAAAAAAACTAATTAGTTTTTTAAAACAATAAGACAATAGCACTAGTAAAAGCAGTGCTTGGCTTCATTCCCGATCCTGCGGACAGAATGGAAAGCAGTCGACGTCGCCCAAAACACGTCATCTCGGATCCCCCCAATCCACTAACGGTGCTTCTAGGTACTTCAAGCACCGGTCACCGTTCTCGTCGAACCCGTCGCTTGCGACGAAGGGCTCGACGAGTAAATTAACTCTCAGACACAGCTCACTGAGTTTCTCGCCGAATCTTCTCAGTGGGTCGCGATTCCGATCCGGTGTTAGATTCTGCGAAGCACAACTCTTGGTTCGTGTTAGCATCGACGTCAGGTTTGAGCCCCGTGAGCTCACCTACTTGTTACGGTTCCGCTGGAATAGCCGATCCAGGCTACCAGTTTAGGTAGGAAAAAAAAAAAAAAAAATTCGGACCGTCGGTCTACCGAGCAATATTACCCGCTCGGTGGAAGAACTTCCTTTCGTCGTTAAGCCTCCCAAACCCCCTTTCAGAATCAGTAATAGCAAGATTGAGTTTGTTGGTAAGCGAAAAGTGTCCTCGGCAGATAACAGGCCATGGCTCTGGCATCACTGATGTTCAGCGGCCAAGAACCACCCAAAATAAGATGAACAGTACGTTCATGTACCTAAACCAATAACAGGTACATATGGAAAATACTTTTGGACCCAAGTTACTAAATTAATTAAACTTGATATCTTATTGTCCTTCCTAGCACATCCGTTGATGCCGTATTGATTTCGATGATCTCTCTCTCTCTCTTTCTCTTTCCAACCTATGCGTGTGCTTATTGTTACGCCGGTAAGAGTAACGCCATCTATCGCCGAATAGTCGAACGAATATCGAAGGACTTAGTAGCACNCGTGCCGCGCAGTCATCGACAATTTTAGACGTCGTTTGCAAGAGTGCCGTGATCGCAACGGATTACATTTAGGAGATGTTATTTTCAAAAAATAATTCCCGTTTTTTAAGCTTTTTATGTAAATAAAAATTTAATTCATAATGTAATTAGTTTTATTTTAATAAAATTTTTTTCATATCAAAGGACTTATGGGCCACCCTGTAGTTTAAAAAACTTAATTAGTTTAAAACAATAGCACTAGTAAAAGCTGTGCTTGGCAGAATCTACCACCGGATCTTCGAAGTCATCATGGCCTAAAGGACAAGACGTCCGATGCATTCGTATCTAGCGATGCACCGGTGTTCGAATCCCGCTCGCAAGTACCAATTTTTCTAATGAAATACGTACTCAACAAATGTTCACGATGGACTTCCACGGTGAAGGAATAACATCGTGTAATAAAAATCAAACACGCAAGATTATAATTTGCGTAATTACTGGTGGTTGAACCTCTTGTGAGTCCGCGCGGGTAGGTACCACGGCCCTGCCTATTTCTGCCGTGAAGCAGTAATGCGTTTCGGTTTGAAGGGTGGGACAGCCGTTGTAACTATACTTGAGACCTTAGAACTTATATCTCAAGGTGGGTGGCGCATTTACGTTGTGGATGTCTATGGGCTCCAGTAACCACTTAACACCAGGTGGGCTGTGAGCTCGTCCACAAACCTAAGCATTAGAAATAAGTAATAAAAGATCGGAAACGTGACCCACTGAGAAGATCCGGCGAGAAACTCAGTGGGCTGTAGGTTAATTTGCTTGCCGAATCCTTCGCATCGCAAGGGACAGGTTCGACGAGAACGTTGACTGGTGCTTGAGGTACCTAATAGCACCGATAGTGGATCGGGCGGATACGAAATGACGTTTAGGAGGACGGCCATTGTTTGCCATTGGGTCTGTAGGGTCGGGTGTGTAGTTACCGGCGGCCAGGACAAGAGAGTTTTCGTACCGCGACGCTTTCTCGGAATGGTGCGCTGATAATATTGACTGTATATACTTACTAATAGAGTCCAACTCCAGGTTATCATGAAGGTTCACGTTCCTCACAAACCACGGTGCTTGGACAGCTTTTTATTTTTTTTATTTCCCTTGTAGGCAGACGAGCATACGGCCCACCTGATGGTCAGTGGTTACCGTTGCCCATGGACTTCAGCAATGCCAGGGGCAAAGCCAAGCCGCTGCCTACCAATCTATCCTATAGAACCAGAATTGAATAGTTTCAAGAGGTTTTAAATTAGTGCAGACCGCATGAGCGAACACTATACTTGCATAGGTCATAACTGGACGAATGCAAGTTTTGTGGAGAACCATAATATTATTAAGGGCCATTTTACTTCACTTGAAAATCATCAGATAGATAAAAATGTAAGATTTAAATCTGAAACAAAAATAATCAAAGCACTTTTACAAATTGCTGTATTTCATTACTATACAAATTATTTTAATTAACATAAGTAGTATCACTGAAATCAAAGTCTACTTTTTCATAACATTATTTAATATAATAAAATTAACATTTTTGAACTACCGTTTTACTTCGTGGAGACTCGAGTACGACGATTCCAAGCGAAATTTAACCCATAGCTTTTAGGTTTGAAATCCTTCTCGGTTTTAGGAACATCAATGTACCACATCCATCCATTTTTCTCACAATGCTCAATTGCTTCATCAGGAGATCTAAACTGAATTTTGACATTGGACAGAGGATCTCCTGAGGATGTCCAGCCCATCAGAGGATTTTCCCAACGTTGACGAGTGTCAAATTCCATTTCCCAATGATGGATATTATTTGTACCACTCTGCATTGCATTCTTCGCAGGTTGATAAATACGTACACGGCGAGTCTTAATATGTTCTTCTGGGACTCCTAAAATGGGGCTGAGATCTGCCTAGAATTGTAAAATATATTTAGTTTGATATAATTATACAAAGGCAAACTTGTGACCAAATCCAAATTGACACTGCTGTTTTGCTTAAAATTTTTTTTTTTTTTATTGCCTTTGTAGGCAGACGAACATACGGCCCACCTGATGGTGAGTGGTTACCGTCGCCCATGGACTTCAGCAATGCCAAGGGCAGAGCCAAGCCGCTGCCTACCGCAAATTTTTGCCAAAATAGTGTAAATTCTAGACTAATTAATCATTATCTTCAAACGTTAGGCGAATAAATTTTATTTTATATTATTTAAAGGCATTCACTTTCTCTGTATTCATTTCTATGAAATATAACCATAGGAATATATTCAGATTTTATCATTGACTTAATGTTTGATCAGTTTGCTTTATCTAAATTTTATTTATTAAATTTCGCTAGCTGATATTTTGGTCTCTTTGACCTATACACTGCATATTCCATGAAACATTCTTTTTAGACATTTTTTAAAGAATGTAAAACATTATAGAGAGCAGTTTCATCATCATTTTTGTTAATAAATGTTCAAGACATTTTATTTTTAAAATAGCATCTACCAGCATAGAGCTCATCGAGAAAGACTTGTAAATTACCTTCGTTGGCACTACAATAGTGGAATCCAGTGCTTTTTGATGCCGAGCTTCTTCTGGCAAGGCCAAAACGGATTCGTTTTCAATTTTAGGTGCTTCCTTTCGGCATGTTGGATCTGCATCAGCATAGCGAACATTGTACGTTGAAAACGCACCTTTAAACCTGAAAAGAAATGGATTTCTTCCTATGTAATTTTGACAAAAATAATTTGGTATGGGTTTGGGTGCTTGTTCAATCTTAGATGGGATAAGAGCATGTAGCTCACCTTGATAAATGGTTCTTCGATAAACCTGCTGTCTGGCAGATAGCTTTGAACATTGCGACTTTTACGTAACAATCAGTCCAAAATATTATTTCTCTTTTGTTCCAACAAATTTTATCCAAATTGACATGACAATTGACTTTTTTGACATTTCTCATTTTATTTTACTCTGCGTTTCTTCTCCAACAAATATACGACTTGGACTTTTCGGCGGGAACGCGAGCAGTGAAGTCGTGTGGTTTGTTTTATTTTGTCTATTTAGTGTTTCTTCAGGTTTAAATGTGTTGTTGTTGTTGTTGTTGTTGTCCTAGGGTACCACGCTGGTACATAGGGCCCTCACAAGTTGTCTCCACTTTACTCTGTCTTGCGCTTGCTCCTTGACATCTTAAATGTGTAATAACGGTTAAATGTTAGTTAACTGTTTAGTATCTTTGAAAGTGAACAAATGTGGGAAAATCAAACAAAGCCGCTGAACGTAACTCGTTGGGATCTTCCAAAAAGTTCACTGAAAAAGTCTCAGTAAATGACCAGCATTATACTGGGATTATATTTCATACCTTATCATCACATCTCATTTCATTTCACTTCACTTCATACCATGTTTCATATTAATCAACTTCATTTCATTTCACTTCACATTATAATTTTTCATAAAAATTTCGAATATTAAAATAATACTTGACCTAAAGGTTTTAGCTACCAGGTCATAAAATCCCTTTAAAAAAATCTATTATCTATGCTTCCAACCAGCACTGAAGTAGGAAACTTAGGAAACGAAACGTCAACCAAAAATTCGTGCCACTGTGACGTCATCTGACCACAAAACATGGCGGTTTTAGTGCTGACAAAAATTTCAATGTTATCAGGTTTTATCGATAAACGTTCTTGGCTCATTTTATTTTAAATATTGTTGAGTATTATTTATTTGTAGAATTTATACTTTAATGGGAAGTAAGTAGGTATATTGTTATGTGCAAATATGATATGATTTAGATGGGTGAAATCTAAGACAAGTTCGTCCTTCGAATTTGCCAAGTAAACGTTATTATGATTTTTAAAAGTTGCTACACTGATTTTATAAAGTTGTCATTTCTCGCAAAACATAAAGATATGGCGTAGTACAGTGCCATTTGCCCATTTCTAGCATGCTAAATGTTCTCGTATTTTGAGTACGTGTTATTCTTAGACTATTACAATCTATTTTAATTGTTTTGCTGACTCTAAAGTCCGTAACACACTACCGCAGCGCACCCCAAGGAAAGTGCGCCGCACCATTTGAATCACTTTCACTTGAGAGTGATTCAAATTTTAAACTTATCAAGGGACCGCGTGAAAAAAAAAACACCTACGTCTACCTACACCTACCTATTTATTCATTATTAAAAACGTCATTCCTTGTGACTTCCTCTCTAAAATCACTTAATTATTAAATATTTAACGAATTTATAATAGTGTTTTACTCACTGCGGAGTAAAACTATTTTATTTAAATAGTTCCGAAGAGATTTTGTCGGTAGCCTATTTCCCGAAATATCTAAACAGAATGTCTAAATATGTTTTGATGATATATTTTAAAGAGGTATTTATGATTAGTGTCATGATCAATAGATTCCGACCGAAAAATGGTGTCCGATTTTTCGGATGAGGGCTCCATAATGGATTTAAATATATATAGATAATAGTTTTCGCATCGACTTTCTTGAGATCCTATAAAATACGTTTGAATTATTATTTTTGTATGTTCTAAGCATGATAAATTATGAAATTTTATATAAGCAATCATATTAAATCGATATCAAAGTCAATAATTAATGTACAACCCAAAACAGACTGCCGAACTGACAATGACATTTGGTGCGCTCAACATGGCGGATTTTCGGCCTTATTAGACGGAGACGGAGATAATTACGTATATTCATGTTTCATTTTATGTACGCACTGAAATACTGTTATATTGTTTTCCTGCGAGTTAAAGTGCTGAATAAGAACGAGATAGATATATGTTTATGTGTGCGCCTTGAAAAGGGGTGCTATTTATATAAGCAATTGTACGTATAGAACAATATGTCGTGTCCCTACTATATAGGTCTATGCCTAGAGCAAGACTGAGCAAATACAAGACATATGCTAATCATGTTCTGAAAAGGATTGAACATGACATAGTTCTTCTGAGTGTCGGAATTAGTTCCAGAAAACATAAACTAAACAGTTCCGCGAACACATTAAGTCTAGAACCTATGTGTAGTGTAGTTTTGTAAAGTAGCCTACATGCAACCGAATTACGTAATGTAGCTAAAAAAACTAGCGATAGTGGTGAATGTTTTAAAATTCTCTAATTTTGAATTAAGATTTTCTAATAAATGGTTAAGTGCTCGTAAGAATGGTGCATGGTCAAGGTCAAAATTCATAGCAAAACATTTTTATTTATTCAACTATCGACTGTAACACGTAGGTCGTAGAGCATAACTTCATTATTCATAAAAATGTAATATGAAAGAGCTCCACACGCAGTTGCATGCACTCTTCAAACGAGGCTTGTGGAGAGTATTAAGCGGTAGGCAGCGGCTTGGCTCTGCCCCTGGCATTGCTGAAGTCCATGGGCGACGGTAACCACTCTCCATCAGGTGGGCCGTACGCTCATCTGCCTACAGAGGCAATAAAAAAAAAAAAACTTGCTCCATCACACTCCCTCATATTCGCACCATAAATAATTCGCATTATCTCGTTACGTAGACTCGTGTCGGCTTGGTACTCTTTCGGGTGGACTCGCCGCGCCACGCCGCGCAGTACTATAAGCTCTAATCATGTCCGCATGTCCGTCATGTTCAACGCGTTCGTAGTTCCTTCTTAACTAATTTTCGTTCCTACATAATAGTTCACTTGGAATGGAACTGTCTGCACATGTTAATTTTGACAACTCGGATTGAATGATATAGTTCCAGGAACTACTTCGGTCCAGAACTACCCATGTATATACACATGTGGTCTAGCAATGTGAACCGATTACAATTTCTGGCTCCGGTTTATTACCGATTTGTTTCTCAGAAAACCGATTTTTAAGGCATTTTTAAGTTTTTTCCAATAAGGCTAAATAATCATTAAATAAAACAAATTTACGTGCAAACGAAGAGTTTTCTTCATAAAATTAATAACCTTATTATTATATTTTATATAGGCTTAATGATCATATTGTCCAATAATAAAAAGCTTTTTATTTTTGATTTAATACTATTGTATTTTTTCAAAATAGCTTTTTCTTATATTTTACATGGTAATTGCACTGTAGTTTTTAAATGTAATGCACGGGAATTTGAGTGAACACGGTGTTTTTTATCTAGCAGCACGGTAGTTTGCTTATTTGATCTGGTAGCACTGGTGGGAACTGTGAATGTAAAGCGTAATTAAAAACCGATATTCTTAAATAAAAACCGGTGTTTATCGGTATCTGCAAAAACCGGTTTTTCTCCGGTTTTCTTCGAACCGGCTACATCCCTAATGTGGACCATAGATTATGCTCTTAATATTTGTCTGAAGCACTTGTCTTCTTCATAGATTACACACTTAATATATTGTAGTTCATTTATTTATTGTGAAATAATTAAATACTTTTAAACATTGCAATTACAACTATATTATTAAGATAATACCGTGATCATTTACGAAAAGTCATTTCACTGTTGTGTTTTACGTGAAAAATGGAATATTACTTTCAGTCTCATTTCGCTCTTAATCAAACAGCTGTTTTCTTGTAAATGTAAGTGCTATTATATCAACATATTATAAAAAAAATAAACAAAAATAATTGTAATACAACCAGATTGTAAACTAGGCCCAACAATATTATTAAGCACATAATAACTGCTAAAATATTGCGCAAATTTATGCATTTGCAAAAAAACCGGTGTCACCTATGCTATGACCTTCACTAGGTACCTACTTTTCGAATGAAATTTGATATATGTAATTATTATCAGTTTTCTTTTTATTACTCAATAGCGATTAGCTTATCGGAGTTCATTAACCCTGACATATTCGACACACTCGCAAATATCTTGCACATTCGTAAACTTTTGTAAATAAATCTAGGCTTGGACAGTTACACAGCTGAAACATGCAAAAATATATAAGTTAATATCACAGAGGTCTTTGTCGGCCTTAAGAAATAAATATAATAATAATCACCTCATCATCAAGCTTGTCTTCATTGTAAAAAAATATGTATCTAATGGCTACAAATCAATTCAAATATATTTAAGATCTGCCACTCTGTGCATTCGTGCATTCATGTTGAGCGATGCGCCGGTGTTCGAATCCCAGGCGGGTACCAATTTTTATAATGAAATATGTACTCAACAAATGTTCACGATTGACTTCCACGGAGAAGGAATAACATCGTGTAATAAAAATCAAACCCGCAAAATTATAATTTGCGTAATTACTGGTACCTCTTGTGAGTCCGCGCGAGTAGGTACCACCGCTCTGCCTATTTCTGCCGTGAAGCAGTAATGCGTTTCGGTTTGAAGACTAGGGCAGCCGTTGTAACTATATTGAGATCTTAGAACTTATATCTCAAGGTGGGCGGCGCATTTACGTTATAGATGTCTATGGGCTCCAGTAACCACTTAAATTCAGGTGGGCTATGAGCTCGTCCACCGATCCAAGCAATTGGACTCTTAATTATTATTTTCATTCCAAGATTGAAGGAAGTATAATGAGAAATCAAAATTCCAATGAAACACAATTATTATGTTTTAGCAAAAATGTTCAGACTCCTGCATAATTACTTTGTGACTCTTTAAAAATGAAAGTTTTGTAAAGATAAATAAACTTGTATAAATGAATTAAAGAATAATGTTAAAATATAAAAATAATGTAAATGTAAAAAGAAACTTAAATAAGAGTTAATTTTTTTTATCTATTTGTTTGTTTGCTTGTTGTGTGTAAATTAATACCGTTACTCATATTAAACTTTATTTTTTTGCCTGTTTATCCCTATTCTTAATGTGTAAAATACATATCGACGCTTGAAAGGCAAATGTGACTAAGCAACAATAACTGCTTTGTACATAAATGATAGGCAATAACCATATTCGAACCGCAAAAACAGAAAATTTCTAGGTCTATTAAAATCATTTCAATCCTACAGCTAGATTCGTTAAAATAGATTTTTTTTCAGGTATTTCAACTTTAAATTAGTCTACTGTAAAGTTTATGCATTGTTGTCTAGTCACGTTTGCCTTTCAAGCGTTGATATAAACATTTCTTTATTACACTTGAAATTTTTTGTTTTAGATTGCCTCTGAAATCATCATGTGCTGCTGAGGTACTATAAATATAGTAGCTCCTTCGGGAGCTACTTCAGAGCTGCGCTCTACATAATACCTGCATAAAGAATATCATAACCATTTTCTCATATCAACAGAATATATTAATACTATTGTATTCTAGTCTATAAAACTTCATAGAAGAAAAGTACCAAGTAAAATAATTGGCCAGCACTAAATGATTAAATAAGATTTTGTATAAGCTTTCATACAACTAAATCTGATTTTGTTTCGGAATAAAAACACTAAGCATGAGTAAACAGAAAGCAGAAGTTGATTGCACATCAAAGTGCAAATCTCGCAACCACGGCCAGGTACTCACAAGTGCAATTACAAAGCGATCAATTAGCGATGAAGCCCTTGCTAGTTTTATCAAGGCCACATGTTCGAATTTTGTCAAGGCTTTTGATAAAGAGGTATGTATCATTCAGTCTCTCTCTAACCCTTGGTGTTTTCATGTGTAAATGCTATTCAAACTTTGGAAACCGTTTATAAAAAAGGAATATATGGAATAACCAAAAAAGAAAAATTAAAATTCGTCAATACTGTTTGTAATTGAACTGTATTATAATATATCTTTATTGCTTCAAAAAGTCAACAAGCTCACGCCCCACCTACAGTTAAGTGGGTAACGAAGCCCATTGACATCGACAACGTAAATGCCACCACCTATCTTGAGACGAGTTCTATATCGCAACGGCTGCTCCAGGCTTCAAACCGGAACGCATTACTGCTTCGCAGCAAAAATAGGCTGGGCGGTAGGCGGTGGTAATGCCGACATTGCTTTTTTTTTAAAATTAATAATTAGATGAAAAAAAAACTGTAATGTCTTTATCTAAAATTAGACAGAGACAAGACTTATATAACGAGTTTTTGCATTATTCAAAGCCTGTTTTCTCTCACGTCTTCTTAGTGCGGGACCGTGTAAGAAGAATCCTCGGTCCAAAAAAATATACAAATCCTGCATACAGATACTAGTTATTAAAATGAAACCGAAACTAAACTTTACATTTAATTCAGAATGAAAATTAAATGTAATGCAATTCAACATCCATGTACAACCTATTTGTCAGTAAAAGATCAATAGATAAATGCATTTTAATTGAGCACAACACATGTACTAATAAAATCATCAAAATTCCTCATGTTATTTATTTTGTAAAAGTAATCTTAAGACAAACTTCGTTATAGGGGCGAACGCCTCTTCACGTAGCAGCCTCTCGAGGCAGGGTTGCACTAATGGAATGGCTCATCAAGCATTCGTCGGAAGCTTTTGCAAATGCCCGAGATCGCGAGTCAGGCTACACGCCTCTCCATAGAAGCATATTTTATGGTCAAATACATGCGGCTGTATCCTTAATGAAAATTGGTAAGATTTAAAATATACATTCCCAACTGAATTTGATAAAGGTTTAGCTTAGTCTTAACACCAACAATATAACTTAGTATTTTTTTTACTCCACTTAATCCGGGCTGTTAGCTCACGGAGCTCAGTCTGAGAAATTGTGCTAACACTGGTCCTAGCAAGATAGTTGCTTCGCTGATTCTAACACCAAATCGCAATCACGATCCACTGAGAAGTTCCAGCGAGAATCTCAGTGTATTGTGTCTGTGGGTTAGAACTTCATAACGATAACGCATGGACACACAAATCGTAATTACCTATTTATTATTGCCTTAGGCAGAGCGAGTTAGAGGTCACCGCCCTCCAAGGAACATTTTTTATTTATTGCTTAGATCAGTGATTATCAAACTTATTTCTTTTACCGCCCCCTTTGAAAATCAATTATTTTTCAGCGCCCCCCATTTTTTATACACCCCTAAAACTTTAAAACCACAATTTCCTTAATTTAATTAATAAATGTTGTATTAATTTTAGTAAATGTAGTACCACGTAGTACATATATATTTGTAGATGCTATTATTGTTTCTTCATATTATTATATGTCCGTATATTGCTACAGAGCCTGTATTTACAAATTTGCAAAGTAAAAATGAATTCTTCTCATCAATATGTTTGTTTAAATTCAGAATTATCAAAATAAATTGCTAGTTCACTGTACTATTACTATGCTAATTTATTAGAACGAAACTATTTTTGTTGAATATCTTTCTCATTAATATAAGATTCTCATCATAGGATAATTAAAAATTCATATTTCGACTAGTAAATAACACTACTAACAATAATAACTTATTAAACTACGAATAAGCTAAACCTGGAAGTCGTAGAGGATTTCATTCATCTGGGCTCCGTCATAACTAGTAATGGATCTTCCGAAAAGGACCTCAGAAGGCGAATCAGTATGGCAAAGAGAGCTATGTCCCAAATGGACCGTGTTTGGGTGGCATTTTTCTCTACGGCGCCGAGACTTGGACCCTCAAGAAAGCCGACCGCCAACGCATCGACGCGTTTGAGATGTGGTGCTGGAGGAAAATGCTCGGGATTCGTTGGACAGAACACAGAACCAACGAATCCATTTTTACCGAGCTCAAGATTCCAATGCACCTCCGCACTACATGCGCGCGGAGGAGTTTCGAGATCTTTGGACATATCGCCAGAAAGAGAGGTGACAATATGGAAAAGCTGCTGGTAACAGGCAAGGTATACGGGAGAAGGCACAGAGGCAGAAATCCAATGCGCTGGTCGGACCAAATACGCTCCACTCTCAATACCTCAGTCTACGTTGCTATCCACACAGCCGAGGACAGTCAGGAATGGCGCAAGATGATGCAGGAGAAAGTTATTAGAGGAGGCCACGACCCTCAGCACTGAGGATTATCGACGCAAGAAGGAAGGAAACTACGAAAAATAAATTAATATCATTTCGTATTATAGATAAATATGGGTAATTTTTCATAGAATTTTAGTTTATAATTTAGAACTGGTTCAAATAAAAACCGCCACCTAAGTCAGCGTTTGTAATAAATAATCTATACTTAATATTATAAAGAGGAAAGATTTGTTTGTTTGTATTCAATAGGCTCCGAAACTACTAAACTGATTTGAAAAATTCTTTCACTATTTGGAAGCTTCACTATTCCCGAGTGACATAGGCCATATTTTTTTTTAAAAAAAATTAGGTATCCTTACTAAAACTCCAATAACCCAAGGTGTAAAAAAAATTTACCTAAAATATTATTTACGTCGCGTGCCCTACGAAAACTATTGATGATAGAATAAAATAATGTACTACGACTTTGTAAAAAACATTATTATTTACAAAGTGTCGCGACAGCATATGTCTAACTATTATAGTTATGCCGCAATAAGTGTTCTCTTATTTAAAAAAATGCCCCTGGTAAGACACGGATTGGCCCCCTACCGTCGCCGACTGGTGGCTTCCTACTTGGAGGACAGATCGGTCACATGTACTGAGCACGGTGGGATCGTGCACAGGTTCCCGGTCGTGCGCGGTGTTCCACAGGGGTCGGTGCTCGGCCCCCTTTTGTGGAATATCGGGTATGACGGTACTGAGGGGTGCCCTCCTCCCGGGCCTAAGTGTAATCTGTTACGCAGACGACACGCTGGTCATGTCCCGGGGGGGAGTTTTGCTGAGTTTGCTCGTCTTGCCACCGCTGGGGTGGCGCATGTCATCGGCAAAATCAGGAGATTAGGCCTCGACGTGACACTCAGTAAAACCGAGGCCATGTGGTTCCACAGGCCGTGGAGAGTGCAACCTGTCGATGCCCATATCGTGGTTGGAGGCGTCCGTATCGGGTCGGGGTGCAATTGAAGTACCTCGGCCTCATTCTGGACAGTCGTTGGACCTTCCGTGTTCACTTTCAGAACCTGGTCCCTCGTTTGTTGGGGGTGGCCGGCATGTTAAGCCGGTTTCTTCCAAACATCGGGGGGCCTGACCACGTGACGCGCCTTATACGAGGCGCCCGCGTGGGGCCAGTCACTGGCCGTGGGTGTAGCGAAGTTGCTGCAACGGCCGCAACGCACCATCGCGGTCAGGTCAGGATCATCCGTGGTTTCGCACCATCTCTTTCGAGGCGGCGTGTGTACTGGCTGGGACACCGCCTTGGGTCCTGGAGGCGGAGGCGCCCACCGCTGACTATCAGTAGCGGGCTAACCTTCGTGCCCGGGGCGTGGCGCGTCCCAGCCTCGGTGTGGTCAGAGCGCGGAGGGCCTAATCTCGGCGGTCCGTGCTGGAGTCATGGTCCAGGCGGCTGGTCGATCCTTCGGCTGGTCGTAGGACCGTCGAGGCGATTCGCCCGGCTCTTGTGAATTGGGTAAATCGTGACAGAGGACGCCTCACTTTTCGGCTCACGTAGGTACTCACTGGGCATGGTTGCTTCGGTGAGTTCCTGTACCGGATCGGAGCCGAGCCGACTGCAGAGTGCCACCATTGGGGTTGCGACTTGGACACGGCAGAGCATACGCTCGTCGCCTGCCCCGCATCCCCTCCCATGGCGGCGTGTCCTAGTCGCAAAAATAGGAAACGACTTGTAGTTGCCGAGTGTTCTGGCATCGATGCTCGGTGACGACGAGTCGTGAAAGGCGATGCTCGACTTCTGCGAGTGCACCATCTCGCTAAAGGAGGCGGCGGGGCGCGTGAGAGATGCACAGGCCCGTCGCCATCGAGCGGGGTCCAGGGAGGCGAATCTCGCCCAAGCCCTGGCCCTCTAAGTGTTTCGGATCTCTCTCACATGTCGGCCTGGGGACCGGTGAAGGGGGCCTAAGAAGACGACGTGCAAGCTGATCTGCGCACGTTTTACGCATGAGCATCCGGGTGATGGAAGGCCGGCTATCCTCAACCCACGCTGGTTCTGACCCAGCGGGGTATTCCGTAGGATAGACCATTCTAACCGGCGCCATCTAGGCGGGCTTCGGGCAGCCTGCCGACCGAGAGGGCTGGTGGTCGTGGCGCCGACGACCACCAGTCCGGCGTCCCGAGGGGGAGGGTGATGGGAGAGANTGTTACCACCAGGCAGGACCATCGATTCTGAACTCTACTGCGAACAACTGATGAGATTAAAGCAAGAAGTTGAGAGAAAGCGGCCGGAATTAATCAACAGAAGGGGTGTGGTTTTTCATCACGATAACGCTAGACCTCACACATCTTTAGCCACTCAGCAAAAATTAAGAGAGCTTGGCTGGGAGGTGTTACCTTGCACCTACAGATTTCTACCTGTTTCGGTCTCTTTAGAATTCTTTAGGCAGTGTCAGGTTAACATCACGAGAGGACTGCCAAAACCAATTGTCGCGGTATTTTGATCAGAAGCCCCAAATTTTCTATAGCAATGGGATCATGTCCCTACCTACAAGATGGCAAAAATTTATCGAACAAAATGGTACTGACATACTTTACTTAAATGCGAATAAACTATATTAAAAAATGTTGTGAATGTTCTTAAAAAATGCGAAGAAACTTTTTCCCCAACGTATTATTATATAGAAATACAATAGTAAACAATGTTTACAATAAGTGAGCTGTTTAGGCTTACTATACTATTTAACATTGGACGGTATTGGGTAAATTAAGTAAATGAAATTACAAATTATACAGCGCCCCCCTAACCCACATCAACGCCCCCCATTTTTTCCTGGGCCCCTTAACGCCCCCCTCTAGGTTTCAAACGCCCCCCAGGGGGCGTTATCGCCCACTTTGAGAAAGACTGGCTTAGATGGTTGGACGAGCTCACAGCCCACCTGGTGTTAAATGGTTACGGGATCCCATAGACATCTACAACGTAAATGCGCCACCCACCTTGAGAAATAAGTTCTAAGGTATAGTTACAACGGCTGCCCCGTCCTAAGCGAAACGCATTACTGCTTCACGGCAGAAGTAGGCAGGGGGGTGGTACCTACCCACGCGGACTCACAAGAGGTCCAACCACCAGTAATTATGCAAATTATAATTTTGCGGGTTTGATTTTTATACACGATGTTATTTATACCTTCACCGTGGAAGTCAATCGTGAACATTTGTTGAGTACGTATTTCATTAAAAAAATTGGTACCCGCCTGAGATTCGAACACCGGTGCATCGCTCAACACGAATGCACCGGAGGTCCTTTAGGCCACGACGACTACAGCTAGGGGCCCAGATATGCCGCTGCCTACTGCTCAGGACTCATCTTCAGTAACAGCATCCTTCTCATCAATTTAACAGGCTTAAACACCGATATAGTCGACAAGGATGACTACAAGGCGTTAGAGCACGCCATGCTAGACCGGCACTACATGTACGAACACGAAGGCGGTCAGCCCAGCGAGGTGTACGTGTGGGGAAGCAATTCGAACTACACCCTCGGAACGGGCACGCAGCAGCAACGCAACACCCCGGAATTGCTCACGTATTTCAGCCGCAATAATTTATCTGTTAAACAGGTGGGTAAAATGATTCGTTATTTTATATTCGAAGTCGTCTTATTGGTTAATTTGAATTTAGTAAACAAAGATTCGCATTAAGAGCATGAAGGAAATGGTGGATTAAAAGATAAGACGCCCGGTGTATTCGTGTGTAACGATGCAGCGGTGCCCGTGTTCAAATCCCGCGGACAGGTACGATTTTTTTTTTTAAAGGAAATACTTAACACCTGTTGATGAACGACCTCCACGATGAAGGAATGTCGTCATGTAATAAAAATGAAACTCTAATATTTTATAGAATTACGTAATCATCGGTATTAAAAGCCACCAAAAAAAAATTGAAATGTTTGTCTATAGTTTTAAAATAAAGGGCTTTTTAATCTCATACAGTCATCGGCACTTGATTAAAAGAAAAAATTAATATTTTATCTTCGAACCGCCGCAATCGAACCTATTCCGTCTGAAATTTTATTGTCTGGTAGAGAATAATAAGAGACTTATAATAATATACAGAAAAGCAAAGAACTAATATTTTGTAACACCCTAGAAATTATTTAGAATCATGTTTAAAAGTTTATAAACTAAGAAAACGGAAATCCCGATGTTTTCCGTTTCCTATTTCTCCTTCCTAGTTTCCTATTTTTTTTATTAGTTTTCCTGTATATTAATCGTGAATTCACGTTATCAGTATGTATGTGATAGATATTTAGCAAACGTGTTAATTTTTTCCACGTGCTATATTATAATCCTGTATTTATATATAATAAACTATAAAAGTTCGCTTATTTTACAAATTACCGTAAAAAAAATTTTTGTCATGGACTCAACTTTCTACATAAATCCTTAACGTTTTGAAATGCCAATCATATCCAAATGTCAAGAGTTTCATCAAATGTCATTACAATTGTAATCGTTCATTAACCAATAGGTTTATTAATTTAAATGATCAAATGAAAAATGCATACGGTCGGGTTGCCTAGGACGTGTCTCGGCTTCACAAACGTCCTGTGCTTCATATTGGCTTTCATTAGTTTCGTAATATGCGCATGGTGTGCCATTAACACGGAATTCTTTGAGGAAGTAAATTATACAGTCACGAAGAGTCAGTCAGTTAGGACGATAGCTAAATTTATGAATTTAAAAGTGTGGATAACACCGATCACCACGATCCTGATGCCGGTGGGGGTCGTTGCGATGCTGACGTCATGCTGTGGCCTTCTCGGCGCAGGATGCAAAGTCAAATGCGCCATCAAATCGTATATCTTTCTAGTCTCGGTACTGTCATTGGTCGGGTTCTGGCTCTTCATTATATCAGGGTTATACAACATCTATACGAACAACGAAAAGACCGCAAGGTACATGCAAGGTTCCATACGACTTTACTACGGCAAAGAAGACGATTTCTTCACTTATATTTGGAACTACACGATGGTTAATCACGAGTGCTGTGGTGCAGTTAGCTATAGAGATTTTTCTAAATCGACTTGGCGGGAAAACAATCCGGACAAGCTGTTTCCCGTTCAGTGTTGCACGCTGGCGAATACGTCGAGCCTAGAGCCTGTATCTAAGAAATGTAATACAGATGAAGAAGATGAGCATAGCCACAAGGAGATAGGGTGTATGCACGCCCTGAGGAAATCAATTAAAACTAACAAAGGAAAGATAATTTTTTACTTGATCTTATTGGCGGTTTTCTATTTGGTGTTAATGCTGTTTTCGTATTGCATCATAAAAGGGGAACCGCTGCTAGGAGCCATGGCCACAGGGTTCGCGAATGTATTGAATCCAAAGCCCAGAGAAGAGACACAAGTAATCCAGTCGCGTACGTCGTTGGAGAATATGATATTCGTTGAGGAGCCGCCAAAGAAAGTGATGAGAGTAGTATCGACCGCGAATCCCTTTCAGACTTACACTTTTGCACCGAATTCTTACTCCGTGAAATGAAATCTGAACGATTTTTTTTGAAATAAAGGAATAAAACATTAATAATCTCTTTTACATAATTGTATATCTTACAAATACATAATAATATTAAAAGTTGTATATACAGAGGGCATCCCAAAAATACTTATTATAAGAGAAGGGTGTAAGGGCTGATAAGTATGAATGAATGAAAAAAAATTGGAATTGAATGGAAATTTATTAGCTATTGTATATACAGAGGGCATCCCAAAAATACTTATTATAAGAGAAGGGTGTAAGGGCTGATAAGTATGAATGAATGAAAAAAAATTGGAACTGAATGGAAAATTATTAGCTAGTGTGTTTAATAATAATGATAAAAAACGTTTTTAAGATGCCCGTATGCTTGAATTTGTTGATGCGATAAAAATTAAGTTCGGGAAGTTACAGCATTGAATGTTTTAGGTGCTTAAAGCGTGCATTCATTTTTAATTGCATAAATAAGTAGATGGGCTCATGGCCATTTGGTATTACCTATCATCTCCCATCTCGACACGTGAAGTCGCTGCCAATTGTATAAAAGCGGACCTATCATTCAATATGAATGCTTCATAGCATAAATATGATGGTAATACCTATTTCAGCGAACACACAATACGCCATAACAGTAGCATACGTTATTTCAATATGCATTACAGAAAGCACTGCTGCATATTATGCTTCGGTGAATCACTTAGGCATCCACTACAGACGAACACGTCATTTCGGATCATTCCGATCCACTAACAATGCTTTTAGGTACATCAAGCACCGGTCGTCGTTCTCGTCGAACCCGCCGCTTGCGACGAAGGATTCGGCGAGGAAATTAACCCAAACAGACAGCCCACTGAGTTTCTCAGAGAATCTTCCCAGTTTGGTCGCGTTTTTGATCCGGTGGTAGATTCTGTGAACCACTGCTCTTGCTAGGGCTAGTGTTAGCAACGTCACCTGGATTATTTAGTGCGAATTTTTTAACGTTCTCGATAGCGTAAAAGTTAACTAAAATTTGTGTGTAGTCGGAACGCTTGTCTACGATTGCCGTTAGGGGCGCTGTCTCTCTCTCTCAAAAACTCTCACTAAGCACTCAGGCTAGAGCCCCATGAGCTCACCTTCTCGCTCGGTTACGCTGGTATAGCTCTCTAAGGCTACCAGCTTAGGTATTTTTTTTATTGCCCATGTAGGCAGACGAGCATACGGCCCACCTGATGGTGAGTGGTTACCGTCGACCATGGACTTCAGCAATGCTAGGAGCAGAGCCAAGCCGCTGCCTACCGCTTCTTTTTCTACCTACCTGCCTACCTAGGTAGAAAAAAATCGGAAAAAAGAGGCAATCCGTATATAAAAATTGCCGACCCAACCCAAGAATTTCTGTTTTCCAGGTCTGCCTCGGTAAGTTTCACAGTGTGTGGCTAACGTCGGGCCCAAATGGGAATGAAGTCTGGTGCTGTGGACAGTGCGGAAGGGCGGGCGGGCCGCAATATACTGCTCTTAGACCCACGCCATTGAAATTAGCGGAGCCGTGCGTCAGTGTTGCCATAACATTGAACTCAACTGTGCTTCTACTCGAGAGCGGGGCTGTGAGTAATTTGAAGACTTTAAATTAACTACGATCTTGGTATTGTGATTTTTATACAATTAAAATTACTTTTACGATCTAATTTCGCGTCTTTATTATTGTTTTATTATTTTGTTACGTTTCGAATTGTATATATACAGTTGTATATTATTATATCGACGCTTAAAAGGCAAACGCGACTAAGCGACAATAACTGCTTTGTACATAAATGATATGCAATAACCATATTCGACGCGCAAAAATATATATATATTTCTAGGTCTATTAAAATCTTTTCAATCCTACAGCTAGATTCGTTAAAATAGATTTTTTTTCAGGTATTTCAACTTTAAATTAGTCTACTGTAAAGTTCACGCATTGTCGCTTAGTCACGTTTGCCTTTCAAGCGTCGATATACAGTTTTCGTGATCACAGCGACTAAGGTGTTATGAGTTGTAAATTAAATTATACTGTATTCGTATTTTTAATTATGTCCACTACTGGCGAATACAAAACAAACAAAAAAATGATTCCATGTGTAATATGTACATATGTATATATAGGGTGTTCCTCTACTACAGCCTCTGCCAAAGTGAGCGATAACGCCCCCTTGTGGGCGCTGTAGGCCTAAAGGGCGGTAAGAAAGAGAGAGAGAGAGAGAGAGAGTATTCTTTATTGTACACCAAAAACAAATAAACAGTGCGATACATTAAATACAAAAGTAAGAGACCCAGAAAAAAAACGGGGTCGTTGTGTAGAGTCTTGGGAGGCGATTTGTAATTTCATTTAGGACTCTTAGACACCAACTGAGCTCTCGCTATAGTGGTTTTTGAGTAGGTGAAAAAATGGATGTGTTAAAAAATAATTTAGTCTCAAAGTGGGTAGTAGACAAAATAAATTTGGGAAGTAAAAGTCAGTACAGTTAGACATTATCATCAACGCAGGTAATTCAGTATACTTTGGACGGCACGGAAAACGTCAGTCAATCGAATACGAAAACGCCGTCCTGTATCAAACTGCCTGCGGTGAGGCCCCTCATGAAGCTGTCGGCGCCCCTCGGGGTCCGCGCCGGCCGGACCCACGCCGTGGTCTGGAACAGCCGGGCCGTGTACACGTGGGGCACGAACCTGGGCCAGCTGGGACACCCGCAACAGGACGGAGACATACCAGCGCCTAAACGAGTGAGTTACCTACCCTTTTTTTATCCCACCTAAGCTGAGAGCCTTGAGAGGCTATATCAGCGTAGCCTTAACTAGTAGGTGAGCTCACGGGGCTCAAACCTCACGACGTTGCTAACACGAACCCTAGCAAGAGTCGTGCTTCGCAGAATCTACCACTAGATCGGAAACGCGACCCACTGAGAAGATCCGGCGAGAAACTCAGTAGGCTGTGTCTGAGGGTTAATTTACTCGTCGAGCCGAAGCGACGGGTTCGACGAGAACGATGACCGGTGCTTGAGGTACCTAAAAGCACCGTTAGTGGATCGGGAGGATCCGAAATGACGTGTTTGGGGTGACGTCGACTGCTTTCCGTTCTGTCCGCAGGATCGGGAATGTTGCCTACCTGAGAACCACCGCAACATGTATGCGACCTAATTTCGATTCTAATCTCATTAATCTTTGATGGCCACTATGGTTTTTTTTTATTGCTCGTTTATTGGACGTGCTCACAGGCCACCTGGTGTTAAGTAGTTACTGGAGTCCATAGACATCTACAACGTAAATGCGCCACCCACCTTGAGATATAAGTTCTGAGCTGCCCCACCCTTCAAACCGAAACGCATTACTGCTTCACGCCAGAAATAGGCAGGGTGGCGGTACCTACCCGCGCGGACTCACAAGAGTTCCTACCACCAGTAATAATGTGTTTTTTATTATTATTTCAATGCATTGCTTCCTGCCTGTTTCTGCCGTGAAGCTGTAATGCATTTCGGTTTAAAAAGTGGGGCAGCCGTTGTAACTATACTGAGACCTTAGAACTCATATCTCAAGGTAGGTGGCGGCGTTTACGTTGTAGATTTATATGGGCTCCGGTACCCACTTAACACCAGGTGGGTTATGAGCTCGTTCACCCTTCTACGCAATAAAAAAAAACACCTTTAGGGATGTCATGTCTCATTCGTCAAAAATATACATACGTATAGATGTCGCCACTTGTACGTAATGGCCTCTAATTCTCAATATGTTCGCAGGTAATGATATCAATGAACAATAGAGACGAACCCGGACTGGAGTTAGTGGAGACAGGAGACGCGGCCACCGTGTTGACGACGAGTCGAGGCGACGTTTACTTACTGCACAAGTTTATATGTAAAAAAATCGCAATTAAGTGAGTCCTCTAAACATTATGTATTTTTTTTTTATTGCTTAGATGGGTGGACGAGCTCACAGCCCACCTGGTGTTAAGTGGTTACTGGAGCCCACAGACATCTACAACGTAAATGCGCCACTCACCTTGAGATATAAGTTCTAAGGTCTCAGTATAGTTACAACGGCTGCCCCATTACTGCTTCACGTGAAGTTTCTAAAACAATATGACGGTAGCCTTATTAGTCATGTTGGTTACCTCGCCGCCGCTATATTCCTCCCATCATCTCGAGATATTTGTTACATTAATTGTTGAGGGCTCCGAGGAATTGTTTGAGATGATTTATCAACTCGTTTTTACCGCACCGCCCGCTACCGGAGTAGAGTTCATCCATACTACCTGGAGCCACTGCGGTCATCCACAGTGCGTTTCCAGAGATCTTTTTTGCCACGTACCATCCGGCTATGGAATGAGCTCCCCTCCACGGTGTTCCCGAGCGCTATGACATGTCCTTCTTCAAACGGGACTCATGGAGAATACTTAACGGTAGGCAGCGGCTTGGCTCTGTCTCTGGCATTGCTGAAGTCCATGAGCGACGGTAACCACTCACCATCAGGTGGGTAGTATGCTCGTCTGCCTACAAGGGCAATAAAAAAAAAACTTCGCACTAAATTGAACCTTTAAGATTCGGCTAACATTCCTTAAAATTCGTTTTGAATTAAATTCTGAAAGATAAGCACTGGATAGAGGCATACCCTAGCAACTCTTATGTCTATTACCGACTTTGTGCCTTTCTCTCTCTCTGTGCTTTATTGTTTGACGTTTGTTATATAAATAAATAATAGTTTAAAAAAACTAACAAAATACGCTTTTATAGAAAATCCAACTAAAAATAGAAAATAAATTTGAATTAAAAATAGTGTAAGAAAAAATCATATTATTGTAAAAAAGCGTGGATTGCTTTTCAGGATATTATCAAAATAACCCTTCTACTCATATCTGTTCGTAAAATATTTATAACTACTGGTATAGTAACCGGCAAACATCTTGAGCAAATGACCTTGACTGCGCAGAACCGAATTTTAGATCACTTTGGTGGTGAGGGTGAGGCGCGACGGCAGGGGAAATCGTATCGAGCGCGTTATTGGTAGATCAGTCGAACCTTGCGTCCCGCACCGCGCCCTCGTTCCGCTCGCTCCCAAAAGTACGCTTTCGTACAGTGAAAAATCTATCGTTATTAATCGTTAAGTTAATTGTTATAATTGCCTGTTGACTTTGTTGCCATTGCTATTTGTTGAGTGTTTGTTGATTTTTTATAAAAAATACACTATGCCGCGACAAACTGGTGTAGTAATCAAAAGAAAGGGTAGAAAAATTGTGTACGACGTATATTGCTTCATTATAAAACAGGGGAAGAATGATATGGAAAAAGTAAAACAGACTTCGGAAACAACAAAAACATCAGTGAGTACTGTTAGGTGCATTATTAACGAAGCTAAAGGCTCTGGCTTGCTCGCCGTGTTTGGGACACCGGGTAAGAAAAGATCTTGCAGCGCCGTGTCCTGGTCGCAAAGATAGGACCGGACTTGTCGCTGCCTGGCGTCGTGTCGTCGATGCTTGGCGGTGACGAGTCCTGGAAGGCTATGCTCGACTTCTGCGAGTGCACCATCTCGCAGAAGGAGGCGGCGGGGCGAGTGAGGCAAAGCTCTCCTCACTACGCAGAAACCCGCCGCCGCCGAGCAGGGGGTCGGGACCGGGGTATCGTCCGTAACCCGGCCCCCTAAGAGCTTCGGGCTCCACCCGCTTTGTGCGGGGAGGAGCTTAGGCGTGGGGCGGCGTGGTAGGTCGCGTTCCCCCGACCGCTCCGGGGGAAGGTGTAGCGCGGCGCTATCAATCGGGCTCTTGGCCCGTCGACCGAGGGAACCGGCGGTCATGTTGCTGGCGGCCGCCGGTCCGGCGTCTGGGGGANGCTGCGATAGACGACTGGCCGCGCAGATTGAAGGCCTGTATTCAAAATCACGGAGGTCATTTTGAATAAACTTTAGTGTCATAAGAATCTATGTTTTGTTAAGTTCATTTTGGTATATGAATGGTTACATAATGAATAAACTTGTTTCAATTATTTTACATTAAACATGTGACAGAATTTATGACCTGACTAGGTATAGCGTGTTCCTCTAGTACAGCCTCTCCCAAAGTGGGCGATAACGCCCCCTAGTGGGCGCTGTAGGCCTAAAGGGCGGTAAGAAAGAGAGAGAGAGAGAGAGAGAGAGAGGGTATTCTTTATTGTACACCAAAAACAAATACTGGACCATACTGGACCAGAGTTGCAGAGGACCGAGCTCAATGGAGAGAGCTGGAGGAGGCCTATGTCACGAGGCACGCCGAATGCGAGATATATTATAAGAAATAAAATGTAAAAAAAACACAAACATGTTAAATTTCATGGTTTTAGTTCGGAATTAAAGGGCTTTATTATTATTATTATTATTATTATTAAAAACAAATAAAGTGCGATACATTAAATACAAAAATAAGAGACCCAGAAAAAAACGGGGTCGTTGTGTAGAGTCTTGGGAGGCGATTTGTAATTTCATTTAGGACTCTTAGACACCGACTGAGCTCTCGCTATTGTGGTTTTTGAGTAGGTGGAAAAATGGGGGCGCTAAAAAGTAATTTAGTCTCAAAGTGGGTAGTAGACAAAATAAGTTTGGGAAGTACAAGTCAGTACAATTAGGCATTATCATCAACGCAGGTAATTCAGTATACTTTGGACGGCACGGAAAACGTCAGTCAATCGAATACGAAAACGCCGTCCTGTATCAAACTGCCTACGGTGAGACCCCTCGTGAAGTTGTCGGCGCCCCTCGGGGTCCGCGCCGGCCGGACCCACGCCGTGGTCTGGAACAGCCGGGCCGTGTACACGTGGGGCACGAACCTGGGCCAGCTGGGACACCCGCAACAGGACGGAGACATACCAGCGCCTAAACGAGTGAGTTGAATACCCTTTTATTTATCCTACCTAAGCTGAGAGCCTTGAGAGGCTATATCAGCGTAGCCATAACTAGTAGGTGAGCTCACGGGGCTCAAACCTGACGACGTTGCTAACACGAACCTTAGCAAGAGCCGTGCTTCGCAGAATCTACCACCGGATCGGAAACGCGACCCACTGAGAAGATCCGGCGAGAAACTCAGTGGGCTGTGTCTGACGGTTAATTTACTCGTCGAGCCCTTCGTCGCAAGCAACAGATTCGACGAGAACGATGGCCGGTGCTTGAGGTGCCTAAAAGCACCGTTAGTGGATCGGGAGGATCCGAAATGACGTGTTTTGGGCGACGTCGACTGCTTTCCATTCTGTCCGCAGGATCGGGAATGTTGCCTACCCGAGAACCACCGCAACATATATGCGACCTAATGTCGATTCTAATCTCATTAATCTTTGAGGACCACCCTATGGGCTTTTTTTTATTGCTTAGATGGGTGGACGAGCTCACAGCCCACCTAGTGTTAAGTGGTTACTGGAGCCCATAGACATCTACAACGTAAATGCGCCACCCACCTTGAGATATAAGTTCTTAGCTGCCCCACCCTTCAAACAGAAACGCATTACTGCTTCACGCCAGAAATAGGCAGAGTGGCGGTACCTACCCGCGCGGACTCACAAGAGTTCCTACCACCAGTAATAATGTGTTTTTTATTATTATTTCAATGCATTGCTTCCTGCCTGTTTCTGCCGTGAAGCTGTAATGCATTTCGGTTTAAAAAGTGGGGCAGCCGTTGTAACTATACTGAGACCTTAGAACTCATATCTCAAGGTAGGTGGCGGCGTTTACGTTGTAGATTTCTATGGGCTCCGGTACCCACTTAACACCAGGTGGGTTGTCACTCTGCTACACAATAAAAAACACCTTTAGGGATGTCATGTCTTATTCGTCAAAAATACATATACGTATAGATGTCGCCACTTGTACCTAATGGCCTCTAAATCTCAATATGTTCGCAGGTAATGATATCAATGAACAATAGAGACGAACCCGGACTGGAGTTAGTGGAGACAGGAGACGCGGCCACCGTGTTGACGACGAGTCGAGGCGACGTTTACTTACTGCACAAGTTTATATGCAGAAAAATCGCCATTAAGTGAGTCCTCTGAACATTATGTATTTTTTTTTATTGCTTAGATGGGTGGACGAGCTCACAGCTGGTTGTTAAGTGGTTACCGGAGCCCACAGATATCTAAAACGTAAATGCGCCACTCACCTTGAGATATAAGTTCTAAGGTCTCAGTATAGTTACAACGGCTGCCCCACCCTTCTAACCGAAACGCATTAGTGCTTCACGTGAAGTTTCTAAAACAATATGACGGTAGCCTTATTCGTCATGTTGGTTACCTCGCCACCGCTATATTCCTCCCATCATCTTGAGATATTTGTTACGTTATTTGTTGAGTGCTCTGAGGAATTGCTTGAGAGTACCGGAGTAGAGTTCATCCATACTACTAGGAGCCACTGCGCTCATCCAAAGTGCGTTTCCAGAGTTATTTTTTGTCACGTACCATCCGGCTTTGGAATGAGCTCCCCTCCACGGGGTTTCCCGAGCGCTATGACATGTCAATCTTCAAACGGGACTCATGGAGAATACTTAACGGTAGGCAGCGGCCTGGCTCTGTCTCTGGCATTGCTAAAGCCCATGAGCGACAGTAACAACTCACCATCTAGTGGGCCGTATGCTGGTCTGCCTACAAGGGCAATAAAAAAAAAACTTCGCACTAAATTGAACCTTGAAGATCCGACTAACATTCCTTAAAATTCGTTTTGAATTAAATTGTGAAAGATAAGCACTGGATAGGGGCATACCCTAGCAACTCTTACGTCCACTACCGACTTTGTACCTTTCTCTCTCTCTGTGCTTTATTGTTTCACGTTTGTCATATAAATAAATAATAGTTTAAAAAAACTAACAAAATACGCTTTTATAGAAAATCCAACTAAAAATAGAAAATAAATTTTAATAAATTTGAATTAAAAATAGTGTAAGAAAAAAGATATTATTGTAAAAAAAGCGTAGGTTGCTTTTCAGGATATTATCAAAATAACCCTTCTACTCATATCTGTTCGTAAACTCTTTATAACTACTGATACCATTGAACTATTATTTATTATTCATTTAAATTTTTAAAAAAAAATTTTTTAATTATTTTTTTAAAGTTTTTAATTGACATCGGTCCTTAATAAGTATACCGAATTTCGAGCTATCCGACATATCGAAGGGGGTCAAAATCATGTTCAAAGATTCCGTTACATACTAACATACATTGTATACGTCTGAAGCTAATAAAAGCGTATTAAAATAGATAATATTACTTTTCATAATAATCAGATTAGATGATTTTCAGACAAATAAACCTGCGTCAGGTGTGCGTGGAAGCGCGGGTGAGCAACCAAACCGGCTTCACGCGAGTCACCGTGCTGCTACTGACCAACGTCGGACAATTACTGCTCTGGCAAGACACCACTAACCAACTCACAAGGTGTGCCCCAGTTTTTTTTTATCTATATATTAATACGTGAAGCAAAAACTTTGTATCCCTTTTTACGAAAATTGCGCGGACGGAGGAGTATGAAATTTTCCACACTTATAGAGAATATAGAGAAGAAGTGCACAATGCTAATATTTTTTTAAAATAATGCATAAAAGATACATTAAATCAATAAAGAAAACATTACACACACTTCATACAATGTATTTGACGCACACACGCATGCATACTATTTATTGTCAAACTTTGGTTCTTGGCGTCTGTTGTCAAATTGAGAATAGATTAAATATTGTTTGTCTTTTGTTAATATTTTTTATAGTGTAGTCTTAGCGAAATTTGTGATTATAGAAGCATAAAATACAATTATAATAGTGTACAAACTGACAATTCCAATTAATTATAGTCGAATTTCGACTACTGCGGGACCTCTAGTATGCCTTAATATACATCGATATTATTGACAATATCTGGTTTCATGAAAAATTTAATTGAAGGCTAACCGAGTAATTGCAAATAAATATTATTATGTTATTTACTCTTATTACTGACACATAAATAATCTTCTTCTGCCAGACCAATAATACTAACCCAGTTTATGTACTTAAGTTTGATGGTTAAAAGAGCCCGTTACTTACAACCCATTTCGATAAAGCGGCACGACACGAGACTCCTCTCACCCTGGCCACCGGAAACTACATACCCGATCCTGCGGACCAAATGGTAAACAGTCGACGTCGCCCAAAACACGTCATCTCGGATCCTCCCGATCCACTAACGGTGCTTTTAGGTACCTCAAGCACCGGTCACAGTCCTCGTCAAACCCATCCCATGCGACGAAGGGCTCGACGAGTGAATTAACCCTCAGACACAGCCCACTTAGTTTCTCGCCGGATCTTCTCAGTGGGTCGCGTTTCCGATCCGGTGGTAGATTCTGCGAAGCACTGCTCTTGCTAGGGTCAGTGTTAGCAACACTCCCGATTTGAGCCCCGTGAGCTCACCTACTCGCCCGGTTACGCTGACATAGCCTCTAAAGGTCATCAGCTTTGGTAGAAAAAAAGAGTATATTAAATTGAAAGCAATGTTGTTATGTTCTTCCAGATGCGTATTTGGTCTCCAGCATCAAACCATCATAACCCAAGCCGTTCTCACACACGAAGCTCTCTATTTCACGACTAAGCACGGCGAAGCGTTCGTCGGCTACATATCGCGTAGGACCTCGCCCATAGCTCTATCTCAGCCAATCAGGAAAGAGAAGGAAAGAGACAACAAGAGCACCCTTGTGAAGTTCTTAGAAAAAGGCGACTGTACTTCTGTCAGGATAATGAAAATACCGAATATATATCGTGCCGTCTCTATTGCAGTCGATGGCGAGGGATTAAACTATGCCTGTCTACAGGTAATATTTTTATAAAAGTTAAGTTGCTCTCATGTACCGTCCATTCCCTTGCTGCTTTCAAGTTTTTTTTATTGTTTTTTTATTGCATAAATGTGTGGACGATCTTACAGCCCACCTGGTTGTTAAGTTGTTACCGGAGCCCATAGACATCTACAACGTAAATGCCACCACCCACCTTGAGATATAAGTTCTAAGGTCTCAAGTATAGTTACAACGTCTGTCCCACCCTTCAAACCGAAACACATTAATCATGCTTTTCAATTGTATATGTATAAAATACGGCCGTCGTTTCAAAGCCATTGCGATGCAATAAAAATCGTGTGTGAAATTCATTGTGGTTCGATTAATTTCAGATCAAACCCACATGCGGCTTGAGGTCTGTGCCGGAGCTATCGCCGACGAGTTTGTCGAAGCACATGGAGTCTCTACGTGAAACTGCCGCCGTAGACGACTTACTGCACGACGTTTTGTTTAAAGTAAGTCTTTATTGTTACGCCGGTAATAGTAACGCCATCTATCGCCGAATAGTTGAACGAATGAATGAATGAAAGAAAATTCTTTATTGCACAAAAATATTGTGCAAAAGCGAACTTAACGCCATGCAGGCATTCTCTTCCAGTTAACTCTCGTTGATTAAGTGAAAGATTCAAGAAGTGCGTAGCTGTGATGAAGTTAATACATGGCGATAATTTAAAGAATTACAGTAGACATGAGTAAAATGAACAATAGGCTATAATTACATTGCCAAAACAAATACGTATATACATACATACAAATACATACAAAATACATAGATAAGAAATACATATCAAATAAAATAAATTATATAAACCACAACATACTACAAAACAATCAAGCTATATGTATATCGAAGGATCTAGCAGTATCTAGAACGCTCGATAAGTACAACGCCATCTATTGTCAGATAACGGAAACACACAACACTAGACTTTTGTGGAACATGCTCGACGATTCTAGGGATTTCGTATCGACTATAAAAAGCGTTGTAGAGATGGCACGCAGTCCGTTAGTAATCGGAACTACTCGAAGCGAAACAGCGATCAAAACAAATTTAGGATACAATCTCACCGCAAAGTCTTTGTTTTCAACTATGATTCTTTTACATTCGGCATTAACAGCAATCAGTTGTTTTAAAAATGTTTATACAATAAAAGTGACAAAATAAATATTTATTACAGGTAGGCACGAAACTGTATCCCGCCCACATCTACATTATAGCAACGAGCAGTGAATACTTATATAAAATGTATCAAGAGAACCTAACGGACAACAACGAGAAACCAATAATTACATTGAACAATATCCATCCCGACGTTTTCGATAGAATATTAAAATACACTTACACAGGGACATGCGATGTTGCGGAACTGGGCCCTTGCAGTTTGAAGATTAAAAAGGAAGATGTCATCGGAAAGAAAGATTTGGATGATATTGATATTGAAGTAGATGTTATTGGTGAGTTAAGTTTTATAATTTTTTTAGCGTTAATGAGACAACTTTTTATTTTATTTCAATAAGTTCAAGAAGACTATTTATTAATTCTTCCTTCAGTCGTGCTCCTTATGTCTGAGGTTCATGACGTTGTGTGATTATTATAATAATAAATTAACAGTAATATTAAAAAAAAAAAAAAAAAACTAGAAAACAATAGTAAAAACGCAAACAATCTGTGAATTAGTAAAATAATTATATTTCTAAAACATGGGCCCCAAATGACGTCGCACCTAATGGTTCGGTAATCTTGTGTGGCAGTAAAAAAAATGGTAGGCGTGCAACTTCGTGCACTTGAAAGAAGTGAAACTTCTTTTGCGGTGTGTGGTATTGTGGTTTTCTTCATTTTTCATCCTTAAATCAAATTTCTCTTGTAATAAGGAATTCTTTGTATAAGAGAAACAACCTAGCCCGCTGTGTCTTTTCCCTCTACACGATCGAGTGGCACGCGAGATGCTCTGTCTATTTTTTCACTCTCGCTCTTCCTAAATTGTATCTTTTCACTCTAGCCGTAAAGAATCTGTCGCGAGTTAAATTTTACTATCAACGCGCCTAAAGAAGTTTCACTTCAAAAAAGGAATTTCGGTTTCTTATCATGCAGCATTTGTCCAACATACTTTTTTTTGAGACCTTGATGCTTTGACAAAATCACACATTTATTACTGTAAAAACTTGCAGAGAACTCGTCCGAAATATCAGCGTACGAAGTCTACAGCAAACAAAACGAGAAATCGACCAGGAAATCACGTAATCGCCGCAGTACTGAAACTCCGACCAGACAAAACTTGTACTGTGACCCCGTAAGGATGGTGCAGGCCGCCGCTAAAAGACTCCACGTTAAGGGACTACAAAAACTTCTTGATAAGTTCTAGTATGAATCCGATATTTTTAAACTACATACTTATTATAAATCGTTGCCAAGTAATTCATTCATAAAAAAAATATGGTTTAAAGTTAGCCCCTGGAGAAAGCCGTGTAAAACAAAAATCATCTATATATTAATATGTGAAGCAAAAACTTTGTACCGTACTTTGTTATGAACTAATAATACATTAAATCAATAAAAAAACATTACACACACTACTATGTATTTGACACACACACATTATAAATACTCTTTATTTACTGTAAAATTTTATTGCTTAGAGTCTGTGTGTCAAATTGAGAATAGGTTATTATAGTTCATCTTTAATATTGTTACGCGCTAGGGGGTTCGGGATAAATAAAATTTCACCAAAGTACAACTTAAAACTGTATTCAACACTAAAACTCTCAATTCGCTTGTCGCGCTTCGCTTCAGGTGATCCGTTCGCTGTTTCGCTTCGAGTAGTTCCGATTACTGACTGATTGCGTGCCATCGCTCCAACGCTTTTATAGCCGATACCTCATCCCTAGACTTATCGAGAATATTCCACACATCTCTAGTAGTAGTTTCCGCTATCCAACAATAGACGGCGTTGTAATTCTCGAGCATTCTGGGCGCTTCTAGGTCCTTCGATATTCGTTCGACTATTCGGCCGATAGATGGCGTTACTCTTATCGGCGTAACAATTTTATTTGTCTATAGCAGTGATTCTGAACCTTTTTTTTGTTGCGGCACATATTTAACGATTTCAAAATTTGGCGGCACACAAAGAAAAAGATAAAAATTATTTACTTACTACCGAATCACATACATTTGCCAATTTTAACGAAAGAAAAGGTGCAGTAACTACTATGCAACACCTTGTGAATCCCAACTATCACTAAAACAACACGTTTTGTACGCNCATTTGCCAATTTTAACGAAAGAAAAGGTGCAGTAACTACTATGCAACACCTTGTGAATCCCAACTATCACTAAAACAACACGTTTTGTACGCAAAAGTGGCAAGTGTGCGCCGACTTGAGACATATTCCTATTGCTATGCACGCCGCTTCATCATAATTTGGCACTAAGAAAAACCGCGTTGCAAAGCAAATAATAAAATAATTTATTTTTTTGTGGATTTAAATATACAATTCATGTTAAAAATATTTTTCTTTTTAAATGATATAATTTAATAATATTAACATTATTATATATTTGCAAAATTTGGCGGCACACAAAAGTGCCGCTGCACAGTGGTTGAGAATCACTGGTCTATAGTGTAGTCTTGGCGAAATCTGTGATTGTAGCAGTAAAGTATTTGACAATAGAACCATAATAATGTTCAAAACTATAATTTCAATTAATTATAGTCGAATTTCGACTACTGCGGGACCACTAATAAACTTAATTACGTTTGTTTAGTTACAGAGATGGCGCTGTGCTTCTCAGAGAAAATGCGACGTCCATAAAAAACGCTCCACTATATTGGGACCGGGATGCATTCCCAGAACTGGTCGACACTAATGTCTGTTCCAAGGATGGAATGCTAATTTCTGCTCATAAGTGTGTTCTCGCAGCCCGCTTGGAATACTTCAATGGGATGTTTATGCATTCTTGGACTGAGGTAAATTTTGTTTAATAAATATTCTCATTAGTCGGTCTCCGATGCATTGTAGTAATGGTTATCTTAATCTTTAAACTGTAACACAAGTTTGTCTTGTTTTAAAAAAAAATCAAGACTGTTTTATCAATATGCCTCTATCAAGCTAGGAAAATAATATAAAAGCCATTACAGAACTGTAATTGTAATAATAAATATTATGAAGTAACTTTAATCTCATATCTTTACCAAGACAAACTAATTATCTGCTATCATTTTTTCTAGCGAAAATTAAATTTATAAACTATTAAAACGATGGTATTTCATTTCAGAGCAAGCTGCTATCGAAAGTGTCCCTTCCAATCAACCACAGTATTCTATTGCCGGTCATCAATTTTCTATACACCGACGTTTGTCCGGAAGTCGAAAACTGTGACAGTATCGATTTTATTTGCAACTTATTGATTGTCGCCGATCAACTATTCATAACAAGGTTGCGCGAGATGTGCGAGATTGCTTTAGCAAATTTGATTACGCTCAAAAACTGCGCTGAATTGTGTCAATTTGCTCACACGTACAACTCGACCCAACTAAAACAGTGCTGCATGGAATTCATATCACTCAACTTATGCAGCATCTTGGAGAACAGATGTCTCGATCTATTGGAAGAATCATTACTTGACGATATCACGAATTACTATTGTAAATTTAACCCGATAATGTCTTCAAGAGTTATAACGCCATTCTTTAATGCTCCTTCGGACGAAGTTATAGATGAATTCGCTAAAAATTTCCCAATCGATTTAAATTACGTAGATGAAGATGTCAAAAGACAAGACACTGCAGAGTTAACGAAGAAGAAAAAGCCTTCAAAAAAGATAGAGTACACAGATAGAGAAAAGGAAAGAATGAGATATGAATCGGTGAACTCGGTATCTTCACTTGACCTTTCAAATGAGACTGGTGATATTACATTGTCTCTCAGCAATATTGAGAAGGACGAGAAGGGCTCTAAAGAAAAGCAAGAGAAATGGATCGAGGTACCGTCATCACAAACAAAACAAAGCAAAGTAGTCCAAGCTCGATTGAAAGCCATAAGTAATGCCAAAGAGATTCTCGATGAGATTCCCACAGAATCATTCACAAAGCTGACTAAAAGTAGCTCCTCCAGCGCTATGATTGTTGTAGAACCATCCACATCACGCATGTCGGTCTCTCCAAAAGATTCTCCTATTGCAGAAATGGCTAGAAGCCCTCAAAACAATATTTTTATAAGTCATGTTGGACCAAAACTATCCCAAAAGCAAAGGAAAAAATTAGCAATGCAAGGCAATGAACCAAACACAAGTTTGAATGATTATCTGTCTGATAAATTGAACATAGGCAGTCCTACAAGCAAACCCAAAAATCCTTGGAAACTATGTGAAACTCCAATAGCATGTAACAGTCCAAACTTCAAACCTGTGGAATTTGATAAAATATTGACTGATCAAAAGAAGCAAAAGGAGAACTCTTCAAGAATTATGACGAAGTCTTTGACATTAACACAGGTAATGTGACTAATTAAAATTTTTGTATTGACGGAAAGTGACATTATTTTCATATTTTATTATATCTATTATCAAAATAATTTGTTTTTAATTTCAGCAATAATACTTCTTTTTTCATTGAATTCAAATAATATCAATTTAAATAAATAAAATGGATTTGTTATTGGGGAAAGTTAACATGATACTATATTATGACTGATTACTAAATGTCTTTTTTTTTGCTTAGATGAGTGGACGAGCTCACATCCCACCTGGTGTTAAGTGGTTACTAGAGCCCATAGACAACTACAACATAAATGCGCCACCCACCTTGAGATATAAGTTCTAAGGTCTCAGTATAGTTAGAATATCCAGATTAGGTTACCACAGATGAATCAGTAACTTCGTTGATTCTACTTTTTATTACTCTGATTATTTTTAGCTTGAAGATAAAGCAATAGAGCAACTGGAGAGGTTTTACAATGTACATGAGATTGATGATGAACTCATAACTGTTCGTCGCATTGAGCTTCTGGTGTCTGCACCTCAATGGATCCACACTGCCCCAAAATGAAAATGTGCTATTTTGTATTTAAATATTTTTAATATATGACATTTGAATGCTGATTCTTGGTTTTTGTTTCCTAAACACTCATTCTATGTTTGATTTCTAAAAATATAACGTTTTACCATAGAAATCATAAGATAATAATTATTAACAGATTTAAAATAAACAACATACTATGTACTCAATGTATTATCTATGACAAGCGAAGTAAATTGTCCCTTTTTAATAAGTTGACTACAAAACTTACATACGTCCAGACCTATAAAAGTGTAGTGTTCGCTCACTCAGACCATACTAACTTTAAACCCCTCAAGAGAGTCAATCCCGTTTTGTTCGATAGCCGCCGGAACACCATGGTTCGTGAGAAACGTGGATCTTCACAGCGACCTGGAACTTTGTTCTATCACTAAGTATCTACAGTTGGCATCAGTGCGCTATTTCGAGAAAGCGGCGCGACACGACAACCCTCTTGTGGTGGCCTCCGGTAACTACATACCCGATCCTGTGGACCGGACGGTAAACAGTAGCCATCGCCCTAAACACGTCATTTCGCCGCCCCATCCCCTATCGGTGCTTTTAGGTACCTCAAGCACCGGTCAGCGTTTTCGTCGAACCTGTCACTTGTAGCAAAGGTTTCGGCGAGTAAATTAACCCTCAGACAGAGCCCATTGAGTTTTCCGCCGGAGCTTCTCAGTAGATTGAGTTTCCGATACGGTAGTAGATTCTTCGGAGGGTTAGTTTTAGTACCATCCTCAGATTAGAGCCCCAAGAGCTCACTTACTCGGCCAGTGACTAACATAACCCCCTAGGTTAGTCCCACCCAAGTCCTAGATTTTTTTCTACCTATGCACTAGGATGAAATTAGTTTCTAGAAATTAATTGCATTTTCTAATTAAAAAAATTTAAAATCCAAATATTGTTTCACAAAGCACCTGTCAGCATGGACCTTGTTACCAAAATTCATCAAAAATTATAAAATTATGTTGTACCACAAAGATAATGTTCATATTAGAAATGACACCAATGATTACATTAAATGTTTGAGATGGAAATTTCCAATTCCGATTTTATAATTTTTATTACTCTATATAGATTGATCTTCACAGTCACTAGTAGCTATTTGAATGTGTATTTTACAATGTTTGTTGTATACAGTACATTATTTTAAATGACTTAAACTGTAATAAAGAATATAATATTTACTTATGTACTTACACTTTTCATTCCATAATCTTCAATTATTCAGTGATTTGAATTTTAACAACAATAATAATTCTAGATTATGAACATAATATTATTAATGAAATAAATGAAGTCACATAAGCTTGTAAGATAATTTATTATAACTATACCACCAAGGACTATGTATTAAAACTATGCATTTAACAACAATAACAATTACTTTTTGGGAGGAAACCGTTTTAATAGTTCATTCATTTGTCGATGTGTTAACTTCTTCTCTCCGGGCACCAGGATTCCTTTTTTCCCTTGTTCTCTTTGAGTGGCCATCCTTTCTGAATATTCTTTGAAACAACTACTGAAAGCGGTAACCTCTTTAAGGCATTTTTGTTCATTAAAATCAGCTTTTTTAAAACAAGCGAACATCACAGCCAATTCTTGCATACATGCACTTTCCTTTTGCTTGTCTCCTTTTCCTGAAACAGTTTTCTTTAGTTCCAGAGGTAATAACAGTTTGAAGGGAACAGGTTCTCTTTGTGGTCTTCTCGCATTGTTGCTGGAAGGTGGCCCGCGGAGTACCGAGAGCAACCTCATATTTGATTATTTATTATTTACGACAAATTAGGCGACCTTTTATTCAGAATGTTTTGATAAATTATTTTTTAGTTGTAGGTTATTAAGTTTTCATTATATTTTCCATTTGTACTGGCAAAGGGAACACAACCCATAAAGTCAACTTTTTGTATCAAAATATCGAAAATATGTGTCACATGAAAATTGAAATGTCTCTAGCCCGTTGACGCTGACATGGACTTTTTTTTTTTATTGCTTAGATGGGTGGACGAGCTCACAGCCCACCTGGTGTTAAGTGGTTACTCGAGCCCATAGACATCCACAACGTAAATGCGCCACCCACCTTGAAATACAAGTTCTAAGGTCTCAAGTATAGTTACAACGGCTGCCCCACCCTTCAAACCGAAACGCATTACTGCTTCACGGCAGAAATAGCCAGGGTAGTGGTACTTACCCGCGCGGACTCACAAGAGGTCCTACCACCAGTAAATACGCAAATTATAATTTTGCGGGTTTCATTTTTATTACACGATGTTATTCCTTCACCGTGTAAGTCAATCGTGAACATTTGTTGAGTACATATTTCATTAGAAAAATTGATACCCGCCTGCGGGATTCGGACACCGGTGCATCGCTTCAACACGAATGCACCGGACGTCTTATCCGTTAGGCCACGACGACTATAGTCTCTTACTACAGTCTACAGACTGGACTCTCTAGACCATCAGCTTAGGCAAGGGCGGATCCAGCTTTGGTGCCAGGAGGGGGTCACATAGTCATGGTCAAGTCAAGAACTTATAATTTAATTTTGATAACAATCCTCTCCTCCTTGCGTCGTATTCCTCATTGCTGAGGGTCGTGACCACCCTTTTGTATCACCTTCGCACGCACGATTTTTCTCCATCCATTCTTGTCTCTGGCGGTGTGGAGGGCGTTGTGAAACGTGGAATCAAGAGCGGTGCGGATCTGGTCGGACCAACGTATTGGGCTGCGCCCGAGGTCTTTTCCCATCTACCTTACCAGTCACGATGAGCCTCTTGAGATTGCTACCATCCTTCCGTGCGATGTGACCAAAGTACTCAAGGACTCTGCGAAGACACTCGGATGACAGCCGCGAAGAGATTTTGAGTTCTTGCAAGATTGATACGTTGGTCCGCAATGCTGTCCACGGAATACGCAGCATCTTTCTCCAGCACTACATCTCAAAGGCGTCAATGCGTCTGCGGTCTGCAGATTTCAGGGACCAGGTCTCAGCGCCATACGAAAAAATCGAGAAAACTAGAGTCCGTACCAGTTTGGTTTTGGTCTTTACGGATATGTTGCGATCTCTCCAGATTTTTCCGAGCTGAGTCATGGCACTCTTAGCCATACCAATTCTCCGGCGCACTTCCTTCTCGCACGAGCCATTGTTACTAATGTTGGAACCCAGGTAGTTAAAATTTTCCACTATTTCTAGGTCTAATGCCCAGTGAGTTCCAATTTTCCAGACCTATCCACCACCATGACTTTGGTTTTGGACCTGTTTATGGAAAGTCCCATCTCCTTGCTTATCCGCTCCATTCGGTCCAGAAGCGCAACCATTTCCGACTCATTCGCTGCAAGAAGAGTAGTATCATCGGCGTATCGGAGGTTGGTGATTTTCACGCCACCAACTGTAATGCCACCATCCCAATTCTCGCAGGTCCGTCTCATTATGTGCTTCCCATAGGCGTTGAAAATAATGGGCGATAAAATACAACTTTAGCGTACTCCTTTGTGAAATTTAAAAGGTTTCGAGGTTGTTCTATCGACTCTTACGACTGCCTGACTTGAGCCATACAAGTTGCGAAGTAAGGCGATGAGATGATTTGGTACCCCAAGTTCTTGTAGAACCTTCCATAAACAACTCCAGTTGACACAGTCGAACGCCTTGCTATTTTTTTATTTTATTGCTTAGCTATGTGGACGAGCTCACAGCCCACCTGACTGACTGACCTGATAGTCGACGAAACACATTATCACTGGCGTATCAAACTCATATGCTTTCTCAACAATCTGCCTGATGTTGAGAATCTGTGCACGAGTACCCTTGCCCTTCACGAAACCCGCTTGCTCTTGCGGAATTTGCCAATCAAGGTAGTAACGGATGCGGTTGTTGAGGATGTGAAGCAAGATTTTGCTTGCATGTGAGATGAGAGACAAGGTTCGATAATTGTCGCAATTCTTGGTTGATCCTTTCTTGTGTAGCGGAAGAATAATGGATTCCAACCAATCCCGCGGCCAATCACCGTGATCTGCCATATATGTGAGCAGAACTTATATAGAGTCATAACACCCAAGTCACCCATAGCATAAAGCACCTCCGCTGTAATCCGATCGCTTCCAGGAGCCTTATTCTTCTTAAGAGATTCCAGTGCGGTGGATATTTCGGAAGGTAAAATCATGGGTTCCAGTTCTAGATCCTTCCATTCAGGGTTAATCCCGGATGTCGAGTGGGAATCTGTATACAATTGCTCACAGTACGCCCGCCATCTCTCGGCAATGCAGTCGAACTCGTGTAGTACAGTTCCGTCGGCATCTCTTATGACCCACGATTTAGCCTTGAACTGCCTGGAAAGGACTCTAACTTTCTTAAAAAGGTCTGCAGTCTGCAACTTGTTCGAGAAGCGCTCAATGTCACGGCAAATACCCTCAACAAAGTGGTTCTTGTCAAGGCGACAACTGACCCGAATAGCTCTGCTAAGTTCGGAGTATTTAACCTTTGCACCATCTTGCAAACCGCTAGTTTTTAAGTCTTTCCTGCGTTGAATAAGCTCCCACGAATGATCGGATTGATAACAATAGATACAAGTAAAAAGTAGGTATTTTATTAATGTACGTAAGTACTGTACTTAAAAATATTTATTATTTATTGTACACTTGAAAAACTTAACACATAATAACTTGTACATATACACGTACATATTGTCATCTTCTCTTGAAGACATCCAGAGAAGCACTATCACGCCCGGAATGAGGCAGCTTATTTATATTCCATAACCGTGGTGAATGGTTTTTCATAACAGCTAGAGGTATGGTGAGGGGTATGACGCAAAACTCTGCAAAAGTGGTACGACAAGGGTTTCCAACAAACAAAATAGAAACAGACAAAATACATATTATATTTAAATAGCAAAATAAATTTTTCTTTTACGTCTTCTCCCAAAACGCATTATTACGTCATTTACGTCAACGGGTACGTTTTTATGAACGTGGAGAAGTGCCAGTCCGGTTAGGCGATCTTCAACCATTGAAGATCTTAGCCACGATTTAAGTCTGCGCAACGTAGAGAAAGACCTAGACGTTAAGAAGTCGACAAGCGCGCGCGCGTGTGGGGCGGTAAAATTCAAATTTTCGATGCGTTCGTTCCCAAACATTTGCCATCATACAAAGTTATTATATTAAATTAATTAAGGAGCAATATAAGGAGCAACAATATATTGTGTCCCAAAATCATTATGTTCAATATGTGGTCCACCTAGAGACCAGCTCAGGGGGGGTCATGACCCCCATGACCCCCCCTGGATCCGCCCTTGAGCTTAGGTACGAAAAAAATGAAGTATTAAAAAATAAAATTCACTTTTTGGCAGGTACACGAGGAGGGAAGTTTTGTAATTTATTTTATTTTGTAAATTTTGTACTTGTTCAAGTCTAAAACCTGTAATAATGATAACTTTTTAACTGTTTAGCATCTATGAAAGTGCACAAGTTTAAAAAAGGAAATTTAGACATTGGAAATGGCTTCTCAGTTTCTTACGAGTCTCAATAAATTCTTACGATTTTACTAGGGCATTGCATTTCATATCATGTCATCTCTTTTAATTCCATTTCTTAACACCAAATTCCATTCTAATGGTGTACAATTTTAGATTAAATAACTACTGCCATTTCATTTTTCACTTAAACTTAGATAAGTGGTACCTATACATATAGTAGAGTTTGGAAAAAGCTCCCCGTTTTAATTCAATATTTTTGCCACGTTTCATTCAAATCTATTCCAGATCCACGATGCTCTCTGAGTGCTATAACATCTCATTCGCTAAAGGGAACTTGAAATGTACGGTTAGCAGTGATTTGGCTACGCTGACATATAAGTGCCCATGGAACCAATATGTAGTCATCAAGTGACCTGTTCACTTGTATGGAGACAATAAAAAATTACCGTAGTAAAAAAAACCTACGGATATTTGTTAATACTAGACGATGACCGAGCTTTGCTCGTTTTTTTTTTTTTTTGATAACACCATCTTGTTGTGTCTTTAAAACGGTTAGTTGCCCTGAATTAAGAAAAATAGTATTATTATTCGCCAATAGATGTCGGGAAGAGTTGATTATTGAAAACACGAATAAAACAACATTTTCTGAAAATAAATCATAGCTAGATCGATTTATCGCCCCCGAAATCCCTTGTATACTAAATTTTATGAAAATCGTTGGAGCCGTTTCCGAGATTCAGATTATATAAGTATATATTAATATACAAGAATTGCTCGTTTAAAGGTATAACAAAGATAATATCCCAAGGATTTTCCTGTGTTATGTCTGATATATGCAAGCCAGGTCAAATTCAGACATTCGTATAAATAAAGTTCTGGATCTATTAATTTGCATTACGGTACGTAATTAATAACGCACATGACGTACGAACTTAATATAATAGGAAACGTGATATTAAACCGTAAAAGTAATTTTAATTGTGTCTACTATTCTCTAAAACCAAAGAAAATACCATATATCAACAAGGTACTTGTATCGATGCAGAGCCTAAATCACTGGGGTAACAAACTTGAATTAAGGAGGATTTTTGTTTTTTTTTCCTAAAAGAATAAAAGGAGTTTTGAGCGATTGCTTGGAGGTCTATTTTAAAATTTTGAAGCAAGTAATTTTTTTTTCCTGTCTAAGCTGATAGCATTGGGAGACTATTTCAGCGTAACCTTCTCTAGTAGGTGAGCTCACGGGGCCCAAACCGGAGTGACGCTAGTACTGGCCCTAGCAAGAGCAGTGCTTCGCCGAATCTACCAGCGGATCAGAAACACGACCCACTGAGAAGATCCGGCGAGAAACTCAGTGGGCTCTGTCTATGGGGTAAAGCAAGTAACGCCACACACTGGATTCTGGTTGATAATATATATATTTATATAGATTGATTTGATAACGGTGAGGCATTTATCAAAAAATTACATCTTTAGAGGCAAAATCGTCACTTTTTTATATATCTAATATAACACAGAATTTTGCAAAAGAAAACTAAAAATATATATTTAGTGTAATACTTTACTACAATATTCGGCCGTACAGAGCCGGGGTGGATAGCTAGTAATTTAAAACAAACAAAAGAACAATTTACGTCTTTAAATTAAACAACATCAAATTTCTAAAGTCGGCGCACGGTCAAAATAGTCCCATAAAACTTATCGTAGGTAATGAATCTATCGTTCAACGATACTGGAATTAATTTTAATGGTTGCGTATAAAACTTTACAAGAACGATAAAATGGCTATTGTTTTATCGATGATAATATTATTTATAGCTATGATTGTGTATTGTTTGTTGTTATGGATCGTAGCCTTACGGCCTCACAGTTCATCATATCAATAGCAAAACTTAGACGTACTAGGTTGACCCCGGTAACCGTACTCGTCGAACTCGACAAAGAGGTCGACGTACAACCTAACCCATGCATCAGCCCGCTGAGTTTCTCGCCGGATCTTCTCAGCGGGTCGCGATTCTGATTCGGTAGTAGATTCATTCGCGAAGCAATTGCTCTTGAGTTGTTAGGTCTCCTTCGGAAGCGCTCGGGCAGCTGTTAGCAAATCCCACTCCTCCGGGTTGAGCCTTTGCTCGCCCACCTGTCCTGGTGAAACTGAAAAGGCATCCAGGCAATCAGTAATCCTTCAATCATAATTTTAAAAAAATTATGTACTAGATAAATCGCATGTTAAATTCAAAATAAATAACCTGTGGTTTTTAAAAATGTGGTTCTTCAAAAATCTACAGAAAGCATTAAATTAATTATGACTTGCTACCACGTAGGTACCAATGTTTTACGTCGCTTATTTAAGCTTCGATAGACCGCAATCTTGTTTGATATCTAGGAAGTGTAATTTCAGTAGCCAAACCACAGGATATTTGATGTACATACAGATAACGCATTTATAGATTAGATTTTGAAAGACTAAAGGTTTTTGACATAGATATCTTTACTAACAGTAATATGGCCAATGAATCTCTGATGATAGCTTCCTGAGCCCATAGAGATGAACGTAAATATTTATGGTCATCCAGAAGCATGAGGTACCTAACGTAGTCTTAGTTTTATTTATAAAAATCGAGACTTCAACATTAGAACTCAGGTGGGCTTGGGCACGTTAACAGACGTTGTGACGTTGTGATGTCTATGGGCTCCGGTAATGACTTAACAGTAGGCGGGTAAAAATAGATTCACTCACTTGAGTAATAAAAAAAAGATTGCACGATTAAACGATCCAAACTAGGTTTTAATTTTTAACTGGCCACCAACATTAATTAGTATTTGAGGGAGGTATTTGTATAACTCTTCTAAATGAAAGATAAACATAAAATGAAATTCGTTTATTTGAACTCGTATTGGATTGGGATGACAAAATGAGATGACTTAGACCAACTTACAGCCCATATAACTTGAATGGGAAAACAAATAGCAAAAATTACTTTCAACTCCGTTAATTTAAGCAATCTTAAAAACAATAGTTATAGCAATAATGCAATCAGATGCCAGACGTCCCCAACTTAATCATTTTAACATTATCGTATATTTAAATCGGACGTAGGTATGTCTGTATTATATAATGTGTAATTTCGTCGTCGTGGCCTAAAGGATAAGACGTCCGGTGCATTCGTAGCGATGCAACGGTGTTCGAATCCCGCAGGCGAGTACCAATTTTTCTAATGAAATACGTACTTAACAAATGTTCACGATTGACTTCCACGGTGAAGGAATAACATCGTGTAATAAAAATCAAAACCCGCAAAATTATAATTTGCGTAATTACTGGTGGTAGGACCTCTTGTGAGTCCGCACGGGTAGGTACCACCGCCCCGCCTATTTCTGCCGTGAAGCAGTACTGCGTTTCGTTTTGAAGGGTGAGGCAGCCGTTGTAACTATACTGAGACCTTAGAACTTCTATCTCAAGGTGTGTGGCGCATTTACGTTGTAGATGTCTATGGGTTTCAGTAACCACTTAGCACCGGGTGGGCTGTGAGCTCGTCCACACATCTAGGCAATAAAAAAAAAAAAATTAAAACATTTTAAAGAATGTGAACATATTTGTAAATAATCACTAGTTTGGTTAGCATACCATTCTGCATTAACCGTTCTTTGTTCCTCAAGAGGAATAGTCGTAACATGGCCGGTTTTGGAGACAAACGTGGCCACCATTTTTTTTGCAACACTCCGTGAACGAACAATTTTTGTTGGCTTTACCTCATTTTCGAACACCCAAACTCGTGACTGGTTTTTTGTTTCGGGTTCGTACGCGTATATCCAGGATTCGTCACCTGATACAATGTTGTATACAGCATTTGAGGATCCTACGTGGAATCTTTCGAGAGTTCTGACGCACCAAGTAACGCGAGCCGCTTTTTGCTCTTCACAGAGCGAATGCGGTATCCATCGGGAAAACAACTTTTTTACACCTAATTATTCATGCAAGATTATTTGTATTTGACTCATGCCAATGTCTAAAGTTGCCTGAATTTCGCGGTATGTCACATGTCGATCTTCCTCAATCAGCTTACGCACAGCATCAACGTTTTCTTGGGTGACTGCAGTTTTTGGACGACCTTGACGGGGATCATCACTGAGCTTGACACGTCCACGTTGAAACTCAGCAAACCAGCGATAAATTGTGGTTTTGGATGGGACTTCATCACCAAATGCAGAAATCATCCGGTCAACACACTGTTTTTGTGTTAAACCACTTCGAAAGTCATAATAAATCATCGCTCTTGAATTTTCTCGAGTCAATTCCATTTTCTCAACGACTAAACAAGTTTGACAAAATCTCGTGACAAGACCGAGAATCTTTTTTTAAATAAATAAATGGTATTCGATTTTTAAAACCAAGGAGTTTTCAATTAAAAAGATTTTAATATGACAGGAACAGTGGAAATATTCCATTCCCGATACTTTTAGTGCAGCCTAGTACAGGTGTATTTCTTAGTCTACGGGAATCACAGTATCCTAAATTGGCTGCGCTTTTGTACTGTTTTCAACTCTTATTGCTGTCAATACAGAACTCGCAGAGTACATCCTTACTACTTGCAATTGATTGATAGCGCGTTTCAACTGAAATTTTAAGTTAACTCATCGGTGCTACGACATGTGCTTCTTCAACTGAGTTTTTGAGATATTCCTGAGCGGCACCACCCACCATCAGATGGACCCCATCTGACGAGGAAGACTCGGCAACGAATTCTCACACCTAATATTTTTCGTCAGTTAGACAATTTACATTTTTTTTGTTTTGGGGTAACACATAGCCGGTAATGTTAGGCCCATAATTTATTTGACTGTTGACGGCATCTATCTAACTGGAAGGTGGATCGGCTTAGATGCCTAATAATAATTGTTTTATTTTGAATAATAGTATCCATTCTAGAATAAAGACGACATAATTTTATTATTTGATATATTGGTAGATAGGTAGTTATTTCATATATCCTAATGACGACGATAATAGAGTTAAAGTCCTGTCATTTATTTATTTTTTCAAATTAAATACTAGCCAAAATTATGAAAAATCTTAGGTATACGCTCGTAGACAATTCACACAAACTAGACTATTTAAAAAAAAACATTCCGAATAACAAAAAATATACCAATCACTATCAAAACTAAACGAAACTTATTATTTTATCATCGTAACCGACGTTATCATATTTTTATTTTTAATATATAGCCCTCAATATAAAAGCTATAAGGAAATATTCGAATCTTGCAGAGACAGAATTACCATTGATTACAGATCATAAATTATCCTAATTCGAATCTATAGTATTTGTAATCCGCAATGTTCCTTGTTAGTTTTGAAATAGATAATATTTTATTATATAAACTGTGCTATTAGATCGAAAACCATAATTCCTGCAAAACAGTCGAACAGTCAGTAAGTACCATTTTATGATGGGCTCGATAGGAAAATCCCTAGAATTTACCTAAGTGTTTTACTTTTAAAATATTGACTTTATAGATGCGTCAAAATTATGTTGAAGCATGGCAATAGGTATACATAAGATTTTGCCATAGATCATCACGAAATTAATATTACTATTAAAAAAACATCTCTAAAATTCATAAAGTTGTGTTATTGAGAAGGTTGACAGGCGCTGTCCCGTTTCTAACGCAAATCAATCTGTTTGAAGAGTAGCTTTACTTTAACTTAGTGTAAACTGTGAGCTCGCACTTGCACCTGTAATTGCGCACCAATAAGACTGAAAACTTTTCAGGAATTAAAGATGAAATACCTCGTTGTCCTCGCCCTGATCGCCGTATCCTCGGCCGCCTACATCAAGCCTGCTCCCGTCAGCGCACAGCATGCAGAGCTCCAGGCTATCATCGACGCCATCAATAGTCCCAGCACCGACCCCGCTACCGCTGCCGCCCTCACTGAAATGCTCTACAGCTATCTCGGAGTCAGTCCCCAGCCCATCCACATTGGACCGGAAATCATCGACTTCCCTCTCCCAGACGGTGGTGCTGTGAGCGCACCCGTGAAGCCCACTCCCTCTCCTGCCGTTGTCGGACCCGCCGCTCCCAGCCAGAGCTCTCCTCTTGTGCAGCTCGTTGTGAACATCAACCAAGCCGCCGTCGGACCTGCTCCCGGACCAGTTGTTGAGCCCGTTGAGATCGTCCCAGAGCCCGTCATTATCGTCGAAGAAGCTGAGGTTCCCGAAATAAAACCCGACCCCGTGATCATTGTTGAACCCACACCCGTGGTCCCCGAGCCCGTCATCGTTGCACCCATCAACCCCGTCCCCGTCGCGCCCGTTGTCATTGGCACACCCATCATTCCCGCCCCTGCTGTCACCCTCCCCGAGGAACTCAACTGAATGCTTCGATAAGCTGCTGATTTCGTTATAATAAATATTAAGGAATAAAAAATTACATCATATTTAGCCATTTTTAATTAAACCTAAACTACTGAATGTTTATAACAGGTATTTTAGTGTGACAAACATGTACAGAGACAATGCCACGAAAAGTCTTCTCACTCTTTAGAATATTTTAAACCTTACATACATACATACTTGTTACATACATGTCTACGTAATACAGACCCACATACATACGAGTATTTCCGATTTATATACACGATAATGTCAAACTGTAATTAGAGGTGTATTAGAACCGTTCCCTAACTTGAAGAACGCAAGTAGAAAACGTAATATTGTTTTGATAAACTTCGTTGCCTCAGAGATAAGGCTTACACCGGAATGCCACCACTGCAGTGGCTGCGACGAGGAGAAAGTGAAGCACAAGCTCGCGTACTGCCCTGCTTTAGCGGAGCAGCGCCGCCTCCGCGTCACGAAGTTAGGACCGGATATTTCATACGGCGACGAGTCTGGCAGGTCGACTTCTACGAGTCCATTATCTCGGAGAAGAAGGCGGCGCAACGGGAGAGGGATAGCTCTTCTCCCCTCTTGGCGCTGTGGCGTCGCCACAGACCCTGGTGTCAGAGGAGGGCTTTGTCTAACTCCGGCCCCTGTGTAGGCAGTCTCCTCCCGATCATGACTACGGGGCGACCTAAGGGAGTTGAGGCACAATGCCGTCATTCTAGCGCGCTAGCACCAGGAGGATGGGACCACGAGAAGAATTTCAAATTCGACAAGCTTTTATGAAAGTGTCAAGAAAAAAAAAATATTTAAAAATTGAACTCATCTTTAAATTTGCGTAGTCTAACCATTGTTTGTTTTGTATTCAAACTATCGCTTAATTCAGATCCTATCGAAATAAATAAATAATTTCACAGTTTTCATTGATGCATATTTGGCCTTAAATATGTTTAAATTGTAGCTTATAAAAATCCCTCTCCATCTGCAGCTATAAATGGTAGAGTAAGACTAGTATATTATTATGTAATTAGAAAACTTTAATAGTATATGAAATTTAAAAACCAACAGCACATACCTAAATAGCGAACCGAATTGTTAATTAATTTCACGTCTCTTCTTATCATGTTGATACTGGTTCAATTATTAGAACCAAGTTATAAAATCATTGTATCGCCATCGGAACTTGATGTGTATTAAAATTTTTAAGTTCGGACGACTTGAAGTCGGTGTAAATGACGTTCGAAGATCCCGCTACATACAAACAAAGATTTAAGTTAATTAGAGGGTAGTAAAAAGTGTTGAACTCGTTTCTGTGTGGAGTTGATAAATGAATGTTTCGACCAGTGTGCTTCGTGCGAGTTTTTTAACTTTCTTGATAGCATAAAAATTAACTAANATGTGTATTCAAATTTTTAAGTTCGGACGACTTGAAGTCGGTGTAAATGACGTTCGAAGATCCCGCTACATACAAACAAAGATTTAAGTTAATTAGAGGGTAGTAAAAAGTGTTGAACTCGTTTCTGTGTGGAGTTGATAAATGAATGTTTCGACCAGTGTGCTTCGTGCGAGTTTTTTAACTTTCTTGATAGCATAAAAATTAACTAAAATGTGTATGCAATTGGAAAAACGCCTCTAGCGGTAAACGTATGCAAACGTTCTAACTCCATACACAGTTTCGTTGGCCATACCCGACCCTATGGATCGAATGGTAAACAATCGACGTCCCCCTAAGCACGTCATTACAGGTTCCCCCGATCCATTAACGATGCTTTTAGGTAGCTTAAGCGCTGATCACCGTCCTCGCCGAACCCGTCGCTTACGACAAAGGGCTCCACGAGTAAATTAACGCATAGACACAGCCCACTAAATTTCTCGCCGGATCTTCTCAGTGGGTCGCGTTTCCGATCCGGTGGTAGATTTTGTGAAGCACTGCTCTTGCTAGGGCCAGTGTTAGCAACACTCTGGTTTGAGCCCCGTGAGGTCACCTACACGTCAAGGAGAAGCTGAAATAGCCTCTCAAGGCTATCAGCATAGGTAGGTTAAAAAAAAAGAGATCAAGAAAATACAATTTATGTACGATGACATATTATATCGATGTTATTAAACACGGAAAGATCCCCACACCGGATAGTCTTAGTTTTCAAAATTCCCAATCTTTACAAAACGCAGTTGAATGCGACTTTCTATTACATGATGTGACTCGGAACTAAAGCAAGCGACTAGCTAATATATACTAGCTAGTACATAATAACCACATAATGATGATCCATTCTATTCCGATATAGGTAATGGCGATCTCCTTCTGCTAATAAATGACTATAGTCGGATTTTTAATTAGACGAAGCCAGCTGACAGTAGCTAATGTCACTTTGTGAAATAATGTTGCTATATTTAAAGTAATAGTGATGTGTTCAGTTCTCGTTCAATCACATGAATGAAAAATGAGTGTGAAGAGTTAATCATTAATTTCAAATTATAAAAGAATATAATTTATATTTTACAATAATATTGTATTAAAGTGCTCCAATATATGTTACTAGTAGTATGTAACTACAATCATTTTTTTTTTATTTTCATTACCTACCTATAATTGTTATATTTTATACATCTATTGTTTCAACTATATGATGTATTGGAAATAGAACAGTCTTACAAGATTCCTCACAATGTTTTTCTTAATGTTTAAAACACTCGATATTCAGTACAGGTAGATACTATAGGAACATAATATTTCGTCGAAAAGTCGTTGGTATGTACAAAGCACGCCTAAAATTCGAACCCCGTACCCGATATCGGCAATTCGGCACACCGACTATTCACTAGACAATCGAGGCAATTTCATTAATTCAGGACTTTTTTCAATCGTTCACTTTGTTACAACACTATTTTTATTTCATCAAAAACTGACAACACAGTAAACGTCAGTTGACTTCGTCTAATAAAAAATCCGACTATACGCATATATCTCGCTTCAGGCCGTAGACAACACACTAAAACATATCAACTAGCAACATACCTATATAATAATATGCCATTCTGCATTGTAATTGATATAAAAAAAAGTCTTAGAACTACATATTAGGTTCACATCTAGCTCTAGCTAGTGAATGACCGGAAGTTGTTCTAACCAACAACATAAATGTGACCACCTAGCTTGAGAGTAACTTAACTAAGTCATAACTTCAAATAGATTTTAGAAAAGTAATTTCACTTATTATACCCTTGAAATCTCAAATGAGTAATTGTTTACGAATGAAATATGCATTAATCCTTGCGCTATGAACACACCAAAATCAAATTAAGAGTTTCCTTAAAATTTGCGTCGCTAATGAACTTTCGTAGTTAGTCACTAAAAATGATACAGAAAGCTTACAAGTGAATCAACTTTATCAAAGACATGTGCATATAAGTAAGTGGCACAAAGTGTTTAGACGCGCTCGAGCTGTATTGGGAGGATTTGTCTCGCTCTAGTAGGCCATCAACGTCTGCAACTGAAGTGAACATCGCAACAGTGAAGGAAATAGTCACTGATAATCCTTATTCCATGGACTTCCTTTCGCACTAAACTGTCAATACCAGAAAAGCTTGATGTTAAAACTAGACTCTCCACAATATGCATTCTTAGCAGTCCTTTGGACACATTGCTCGAAAGAATGGTCACAATCTTGAGCAGCTGATGGTGAGCAGGATGGGGGAAAACGTCCCATTGGACGCAGTTCCACGAGATGGTCGGACCAAATTCAGTCTTATCTGAACACCAAGATCCACGACACCCTCCACGAGGCCAAGGATCACAGCAGATGGAGAACAATCGTGCAAGAGAGATTGATGCAGGAGGGAGTCACGATCCTCAGTAATGAGGAGAACGACGCAAGGAGGAATTCTCATTCAAGTTTCAGAGCGACGGCCGCTGAGCTTTCTATCTCTCGAGTCGATCCATGCCATTTTAAATAATCAATTGGGTATGAAACATGTTCCTGCATAATATGTATTACTAAGTTTCCATTTTGGGCTGTTCAATTGTGCAGTATTCAATAGTTGCGCGTGTTATCATCATCATCAGGCCACAGTCGTCAACTGCTGAACCTCTGCCTCTGCCTCTTCCGATCCACACCACAGAGCCCGGTATTTGGCTTTCCTCATTCACCTTATCGTGTTATCATTTGTAAGTTCTTACTGGTGGTAGGACCTCTTGTGAGTCCGCGCGGGTGGGTACCACCACCCTACCTATTTCTGCCGTGAAGCAGAAATGCGTTTCGGTTTGAAGGGTGGGGCAGCCGTTGTAACTATACTTGAGACCTTAGAACTTATATCTCAAGGTGGGTGGCGCATTTACGTCGTAAATGTCTATGGGCTCCAGTAACAACTTAACACCAGGGGCGTTAGGCGGGCTGTGAGCTCGTCCACTCATCTAGGAATAAATAAAAAAGCGCGGCGATTCACCTGGTCCAGCAATCGATCCGTGTTGTTATATAATTTCATCTCGATCTGATACATTCAAGGTTAGCAAGTTGTTTTTCTTGCGTGCAAAATACTATGCTATTAAGGCAATATATAAATGTTTGATAGATACGATTAATGTTATTCTTATGCGGACTTGGGTAGCGAGTTCACGGCTCGCCTAACGCTATGTGGTCACTCACAGCAATACATAAACTATACGCGAAATCGTCGTGGCTTAAAGGATAAGACACCCGGATCACGCGGTTTCACTATGCCAGTATTCAATCTAAGACATAGAATTGTAACTGGTGGTAGGACCTCTTGTGAGTCCACGCGGGTAGGTACCACCACCCTGCCTCTTTCTGCCGTCAAGCAGTAATACGCTTCGGTTCGAAGGGTGAGGCAGCCGTTGTGCTATAAAAACTGATACCTTAGAACTCATACCTCAAGGTAGGTGGCGGCATTTACGTTGTAGATGTATATGGGCTCCGGTAACCACTTAATACCAGGTGGACCGTGAGTTAGTTCACCCACCTAAGCAATAAAAAAGCAACTCCTCTCTCTTTTTAGCCTGCTTATTAACGATATACGCCGGTCGTCAGCGAAACAGTTAGCCCTTTTCGGATGATACGGCTATCTGCTGCTAAAGTAGAAAGATGTCGTTCATGCATAAGAAACCTCAAATCGCGACTACCAATTTAGGACAGTGGTACCGGAAGCGGCGCATTGACATCAACCCTCACGAAAAGCACAGTCGTGTTCTTCAAAAGGGGTCGCCTGCCCGACACTACTACTAGTATCTCGTTACGAATTGGGCGCGGTCACACCATTCCCACTATAAAATCTGGCCAGCCCCTGCCGTGGGTTTCTANTTGGATGGGACTTCATCACCAAATGCAGAAATCATCCGGTCAACACACTGTTTTTGTGTTAAACCACTTCGAAAGTCATAATAAATCATCGCTCTTGAATTTTCTCGAGTCAATTCCATTTTCTCAACGACTAAACAAGTTTGACAAAACCTCGTGACAAGACCGAGAATCTTTTTTTTAAATAAATAAATGGTATTCGATTTTTAAAACCAAGGAGTTTTCAATTAAAAAGATTTTAATATGACAGGAACAGTGGAAATATTCCATTCCCGATACTTTTAGTGCAGCCCTCGTACTAACTATGATAGGCTTAAACCACTTTTGCGCTGACGGCCTCAAATATATAATTGAAATTAAAAGTTTGAACATTATTATGATTCTATTGTCAAAGACTCTTGTATGATCACAGATTTCGCCAACTACAGACACTACAGACGAATAATATTAGTCTATTCTCAGTTTGATCACAGACTTTAATAAGTAACAAAAGAGTATATAATATGCTTGTGTGTCAAATACATGGTAGAGTGTGTAATGTTTTTTATTTTTTAAAAGTGTATATTTAGTTAATGCACATCATATAACAAACACATCGCAATTGCATCAAACATCGTCAACTTTATCGCCTAAAGCATCGATTTCAATGATCTACAACTAACTACTAAATTACTACTAGATTGTACTAGATTGTACGCTACTACTTGATTATATTAAGTTCAGACCTATATTGCCCGATGTAGAACTGTGTTCATAGTACCATTGCATGGGACCTCATCTTCTACCCATCATTTTGCCGAGTATTAAAATTTTTGATATTTTTTTATATAATTGACTCTACTATGTTTTAATATGTCTTGAATGTTGCCATTTAACTAGTTTGAAATTTGATTGAATTCAAGATTTATATTAGAAGAACGCATTTATAACTGCTTCTCGATTAAAATAAGCCACTTTATTATACGCCCCCGAAAGCTTACGATTTTGAAGCCTTTTATTTTAATGGCTCGATTTTATTCTTTCGTACATAAACTTGATAAAATATTCGACATACGACCTCATTGGGGATCTTTGACCACCCCGACTCAAGCCCAGACAAATGTAGTTCTTTATTTATATTTATCTTTATTTATTATTATTAATCTTATTTATTTATTTATTCAGCTTTATACACAAAAGTACAGTGGCGGACTTAATGGCTAAGGCATTCTTTACCAGTCAACCAAGGGCGGTCGGTCCTGCGTTAGGTGCATTGCTTTTTGAGAACTAAGAGAAATAATAATAATATTATATACCTATACAAAACCACACACACACATCACAACATACAATTATCTTTAAATAAACAAATTATCTAATTTTTTATTTTTATTATTTTATGGCATTCTGTAAATTGTTTATTACTAGCGGACCCGGCCACACGTTGCTGTGGCTGTGGCTTAGGTTTTTGTTTCTAAATAACTCGCGGCCGCCTATGCTAATACCAAAAATTGACAACGTAAGAACAATTGGATTTCACTGTATTGCGTTTACTACGAAATAAATTTCACTTATACTTTAGCCTCAGAAACACGTGGTGCTTATGCCATTAAATTGTAGCTTATGTGAAACGTTGGTATTTTTACCACAGCGCCATCTATGAGATATTAAAGTCACAGTATAACAATTGTCTGTAAAAACTGATTTAAGACGCCATCTGTTTTAGACTTATGAAACTTACAATTAATAACAAAAATCAACATAAGAAATCATTTTATTGTTAATTAATAAATATTGCGACCATTCATCGAAATAAAAACCATCCTATCTCTCAAGTTGGATCGTACTGCATATGGTGTGCGAATTTTATTATAATCGGTTAAGGTTTAGGAGTCCATTGAGGACAAACATTGTGACACGAGATTTATATATTATATTAAGATAAAGAAAAGAACACAATATTCCTAACCTAAAAGTACATGTTATTATCCGCAACATGCTTCGTCAGATTACAAAAATAGAGTTATCAGCAACATGCTTCGTCAAAAAGTACAATACTTACTTTCAGCTGCAAGCGTCGTCATAAGGCGTCATAATACTTACTTTCAGCTGCAAGCGTCGCATCTTATCTAAATTATATTGGATAAATATTAATGACGGGATTTTAAAAATACAATTAATTGACCTTTGGATTCACTCTTTATCACTCTTAGTTCCGTTACAATTAATTTCAAAGACAGATTACAAGTTTTACTTTACAAGAATTTAAATTCCACACACCGGAACCTCTTGGTACTGTTATTAATAAGGAGCTTACTTATCTAAACGTTGTTGATGAATGAATTTCGCACGACAATTTGTAGATTAAATTGTTATGCTTAAAGTAAAAAAAAGGCTGAAATTAAAATATAAATGTTAAAAAAGTTAATGGTTCTACTGGGAAAACAATTTTTTTTTATTGCTTATATGGATGGACGAACTCACAGCCCACCTGGTATTAAGTGGTTACTGGAGCCCATAGACATCTACAATGTAAATGTGCCACGCAACTTGAGATATAAGTTCTAAATTAATTCTGTCATTCATTTATTTATTATCCGGCTAAAGCCCTTTGTGAATTTTAATCTCGTCCAGAAGTGTTTTCCATTTCGCTCTATAGCTTGCGTCTCTCTCCCAGAATTATAATAATATTATTATTTTTGAGGTTTAGCTAAAAAACGATTTTATTTTACTGAATGAAATAATACGATGAAAATCCCGCAAAATAATAGCGTGTCTTATTTTATTGAGGGCTTACTCCTTATCGCTAAATGCTTATTGTATCGAATTATGATATATAAAATTTACAATTGAACACTATTTTTGTAAACAATGTATGTAATGTTAAGAATATATTACGTTATGTATGTAGGTGAATTTTAATTCGCGTCTGTATGAATGTCATTGGAAATGTAATTAATCAGTACATTCATTGAACAAATAAAAAGAAGTGATAAGACTCGATTTTAATTAATCTTTCTTTTCGTGCCTTAGAACGCAGAGAGACAAGCATACATACGGCCCACATTATTATCCTGAGTAGTAATTGGTGCTCGTGGATATTAGCAAGAAAAAATTCAAAAAAAAAGCTTTAAAAACTGTCTTGGCTTTTATGTAATATTAATTTGAAACACCAAAAAGCTGCCAAGGGCGGTTTATCCCTGTTATTAATACGGGGTTTATTTTTTTACAAACCCCTAATTATGTTCTGGCATCTTCCATTGTTTTATTTTATCAAGTGAGCTAGGGGCGAGAGCAATTAAATTTAACAAAATGTTTACTAAATGAATAAACGGATCAACCATACAGTTAGTTTCACACAATCATACCCGTCCAATAAGGATATTCAACTGACTTAATAATTACCAGTAAGATATGTGGAATTAAACAATTAATTAAAAATAAATTAGCTGTCTAAAATATCTCCTATTTTTGGATTGAATCTTTTACGATTACTTAAAATTTTACAAGTGGCAAATGATTCGCAAATGTACCTACATTAATATTATGATGCTAATGTTAGTCTCAATTAATTATATCGAACAATCCAGAAAATTTAAAACTGTAATACATATTTAATATATAAGTGATTCACAAATTCAAGATTTGCACCAAGATTAATAACAAAAGAGGCGTGATGAATTGTATAATAATAAAACAAAAAACGATTGTTTCTTTGTTTTCGACTCGCGAAAAGCGAAAAACACACTATCTATATATTAATATACGTGAAGCAAAAACTTTGTATCCCTTTTTATGAAAATTGCGCGGACGGAGGAGTATGAAATTTTCCACACTTATAGAGAATATAAAGAAGAAGTGCACAATGCTAATATTTTTTTTAAATAATGCATAAAAGATACATTAAATCAATAAAGAAAACATGACACACACTACATACCATGTATTTGAAGCACACACGCATGCATACTATTTATTGTCAAGCTTTTGTTCTTGACGTCTGTTGTCAAATTGAGAATAGATTAAATATTATTTGTCTTTGTTAATATTTTTTATAGTGTAGTCTTGGCGAAATAGAAGCGATTATATTGCGATTATAGAAGTATAAAATACAATCATAATAGTGTACCAACTTACAATTCCAATTAATTATAGTCGAATTTCGACTACTGCGGGACCTCTAGTTATTATAAATATACTATCGTTTCTCTTTTTCTAGCGCGGTTGTGAACGTCTGTACACAGTCTAAGAAGGTCTTACCAAAGGCAGACCAAAGTCCCTATACAATTCTAATACACGAAATCGGCAATACGCCACAAGTACTACACCTTGTAAAATTGCTGTTAAAACGTTGAACGCCATATGTAAAATCGAGTATTTTCATTCAGACCACAGTGCTTACGGGTGAGCCTTATCTTACTGAGCCGTTCGGTTCATGAAGATTACCCGTGAGCCGCGTGAGGGTTCCAAAGTAAACGCTTCCTACAAGCCAGAGATTGCAGCTATGCGTCACCTGCACTTGTAATTGCACACCAATAAGACTGAAAACATTTCAGGATGAAATACAAATATAAATAATAAACAGGATGAAATATAAATAATAAATCAAGATGAAATACTTCGTTGTCCTCGCCCTGATCGCCGTATCCTTGACCGCCTACATCAAGCCTGCTCCCGTCAGCGCAGAGCACGCAGAGCTCCAGGCTATCATCGACGCCATCAATAGTCCCAGCACCGACCCCGCTACCGCTACTACCCTTGCTGAAATATTCTACAGCTTTCTCAGGACCAGTCCCCAGCCCATCCACATCGGGCCGGAAATCATCGACTTCCCTCTCCCAGACGGTGGTGCTGTGAGCGAACCCGTAAAGCCCACTCCTTCTCCTGCCGTCGTCGGACCCGTCGCTCTCAGCCAGAGCTCTCCTCTTGTGCAGCTCATCGTGATATGCTCCCGCCGCAGCCCAACAGCCGCCGGCGGATATGCTCCCGGACCAGTTGTTGACTCCGTTGAGATCGTCCCTGAGCCCGTCATTATCGTTGAGGAAACCGAGGTTCCCGAAATACCCGACCCCGTGATTGTTGACCCCACGCCCGTGGTCCCCGAGCCTGTCAACCAACTCGTCGTAATCGTCGAAATCCGTCATAATCAACTTTAGCTTTTAAAAATCTTTCTCCATCTGTAGCTTGGCCTTCGAATGCGAAAGAAACTAATCAAACTATCGTTGGATGACCTTCGTCCACCTAATACAAACACATACCAAACAAAAACACTGGCTATTATACAAACTGACTCGGTTATGCACATCAGACAAACATTCGTGTGATGAACAGGTTTGTTTGGTCTTTGCCTGACTATCTATTATCTATAATTAAATGTTTAAAAGAATGTATATCAATCTCTGGGATCCATAAAACAGCGAATCCTAATTTGGAGCCGGATAACCGTGCGTGTTTTATTCCAGTTACAATTTATTTATTTAAACAAACGATCTGTACTTATTTTGCTATAACAACGTAAAGTACAAGGTCCCACAACTTATATTGCTGAGATAGGTTGACGAGTTCACAGTCACGGCCCAACTGGTGTCAAATAAATAGCTACCAAAACCCACACCAATCAACAATGTTAATACTGCCACCTACCTCGAGACATGAGTTCAAAGCCCAACTTTTACAGTACAACAGCAGCCCAACTCCCCTAATCGAAACGCATTACTGCTTCACGGCAGAAATAGGCAGGGTGGTGGTACCACCTACCTGTGGGCACTCACAAGATGTGCTACCACCACTAATAACGCAAATTATATAATAATTTTGCGAATTTGATTACAAGATATTATTCCTTCGCCGTGGAAGTGAAGGGAGATTTGTTAAGAACGTATTTCATTAGAAAAAATTGGTTCTTGCCACCTGGATCCGAACACCGGTGCATCGCTAGATACGAATACACCGGACGTCTTATTCTTCAGGCCACGACAACGACTGTTTGATAAACTTTAAATTTTTTCTATATTATTCATATCCGAAGGGGACATTACTCCACTCAACAACTGCGGTTTACAATTTCGATGGGTTATCGAGGCAACAGATCGACTTTTTAAAAGAGTTTAAATATTACAACTTAATATTTGCTATGTGTATGTGCATTACTATAATTCTAATGTTGTATTTGTTATTTTAGCTGTTCTACACACACTCATCACTTTTAATTATTATTCTCATAATCCTCTCGCAGGTGTGCTGGAAAAGATTTCTTAAAGAAATAAGCAGTGCCTTTGTACATAGTTTTCCTATTACTCTGTACTATGTCTTCCTTTTTGTGTGTACATTAATAAATATATAAATAAATAAATAAAAATATTATACCCTACCATTGTTTTACGATACTAGATAAACCAGGTATGTCTGTGGCGCAGTCACAAATGTCTGAAGATATTAATTCAAAGTAGAGTTCCTTTAGGTAAAAAAAATAATGTCGCGGTATGACGAGGTAACTTATTTTATAGAAGAATTAATGTGGATTAATTAAAATAAAGATAATGCTATTTTATTGATAAAATACGTCATATCTGGTGATTACAAAATGTTGTATAAACATTTATTATTCAGTATTTAATCAAATAGTAAACGTTATTCAAAAACTAACAAAACACGCCTAATTAGCGAACCGAGTTAATTAAACCTTGATGTCTATACATCAGCCCGCCGAGTTTTTTGAGAATAGTATTTATTTATTTATAACACTTCATATCAAATTTACATTGGCGGGCTTAATGCCTAAGGCATTCTCTGCCAGTCAACCAAAGGTAGTGCAGATAAATACAACTATTATTAATGGTAAATACAGTTGAATATTTGATTAAAGGAAGACAACTATTCACTGAAATACTAATTAAAACTCAATTAAATTATTACGACAGTTAAGGTACACTTCACTGTCACAATTCACCTCTTCACCTTCTTGATGAAGTGATCATTTTAACAGGTCATTTTTAGATCATTTTTAGGTTTAACACATTTCACATTTGAAGAAATGTCGATTTTATTAACTTAAATTGAAGCCTCTGAATTCAAGGCCCCTTATTCCTCTGTCATATGATCCTTCGGACTATTATCCTCTAACTCCAGCTCATTTCCTAAAAGTGAAATGGCCAACTCAAAAGGGAGACTTAAAAGAAGGCATGATGGTTGTCATCGAGGAAAACGGATTACCGCCTCTAATGTGGCTGCTAGGACGCATTGTTCGTCTTTGTCCTGGACGAGATAGAATTACACGTGTGGCAGATATTTTAACCGAGATAGGTCTTATGGGACGCGCTTACAACAACATATGCCCGATACCAGACAATATTTAAAGTTCTTCAACCTGAGGAGCATGTTCGAAACATAGCAACCCTATTTTCCTCACTGCCGCGGAAGCGGAGGAAAGGCGTGGAAAGGAGACTTTCGAGATAAAACTATGTGCACCAACGAAAAAACGCATAATCATTGTCCGTTCCATAAAACTGTACGAAATTTTAATCCGATTAATAAACCAGTTGTAAATACATTCCTGTCCACTCTAATCGGATAAGCCTTGCACTCAGCATCTCAACGCAACCGCGCCAACAGGTGTTTCGCTCCGAATAGAATTGTCTTCGAGTCGTCTACGCTACGCTTTTAAATTCGTTTCGATTATGTCCAAAATGTTCGAGAACACTCAAGGGATCTTCCAGTTTAAATATCTGTTTTGGCTGTTTAACGACCGATGGCTTTACAAGTACCGACATAACAGTTCAGTACATTATAAATGTCCATCGTAGTGCGTATGACGAGTTTTGTCTTTTCTATTCACTCAGACAAACTGATGCTCCACAGTGCTGAAAGGTTATCATTGATATAATAACTTTTACGTCGACGTATTCAGATCACCAACTAGAATTTATTGTGATAGAGCTTATTGTACGTCCACAGGTAGTCAGCACCACCTTCCTGTCTATCTCGGCCACGAAGTAGTAATAATTAATTTTTTTAATTTTTTTTAATTGCCCTTGTATGCTGACGAGCGTATGGCCCATCTGATGGCGAGTGGTTACCTTCGCCCATGGACTTCAGTAATGCCAGGGGCAGAGCCAAGCCGCTGCCTACCACGTTAAGTACTCTCCACTAATCTGTAGATTTGGATAGCCGTTAAATAATAAAATTTAATGTTTCACATCAAGTTCCGAGATGGTGTGCGCCAGTTACGTCCTGATCTATGAGCTATGGCCTCCTGTAACCCCGAGTAGTGAGCGTTAAAGTTAAGTTTTTGGGTGGTTAAATTGTACAAGATGCAATTATTGCGCGTGTTATTACTCATACGTATAGAGCCAGACAGATTTTATAGACATTGGCTGTGAATTTAAGGAATGTATGCAGCGCGAAATTTGATAAGAGTATATACTGATGGTATAAATCAATTAAATAATCTTTATCCTATATATTACCTTTATTCCATAATCAAACCATTAACTGAATAAGATAAGTGAACAGGTTTTAGTATAAAATCTATCTTCTTCTTCCTACCAGACATTAGTTGGATCTACACAATTGAAAACGTAAGTACTTTTATAGAATATTAAAAAAATAATCTCTAAGTATTTTGTTGTAATTCACTGTCCTCGTTATGTAAATTTCTGTTTTCAGCCAAAATGAAATTCCTCGTTGCCTTCGCCCTGATCGCCGTGGCTTCGGCCCGTGTCTTTGAACCAATTTCCGTTGGACCGGCACTCGTCGACACCTACGAACCCATCGACACCGAACCCGCCTACGTGGACATCCCTATCCCTGACGGTGGTGTAGTGACTGCTCCCGTGAAGCCCACTCCTGTTGTCGTTGGACCTGCTGTTCCCTCCGGTGCCTCTCCTCTTGTGCAGCTCATCGTGAACGTCAACGTCCCCNGGATGAGTGGTGACACCTGGCGGGGATAGCTGATCGATTGATAGTTGATCAGTAGTCGACCGGCGAGGGCGGGAGATCAAATTGAATTTAAAAAAAATCATAATTGAAGAACTTGAAATTATAAACTCTGAATAAGAATTTATCGTACTACAATTATAATATTTGATTGCCATCTTGCAAACTTATTGCAGATCTGTGCATAGAATAAAAAAAAAATTAATCGGGATGGAAAAATAGGGGTTGATTGTATAAGAGTGAAAATTGACAGTAATATGATTTTTTTTTATTTTAAGTAATGACAAAACAAAATAAAAAACTTGACAAAAAAATTAAAGTTTATAATTAACAAATAAAAAAAGGGGTTGATCATAGAGGGATGAAAAATTGAGAGTAACATCAGATTTTTTATTTTAATTCATGACAAAATAAAAATAAAAATGAAAATCTTGCCAAAAAAATTAAAGTTAACAGATAAAAAATAGGGGTTGATCGTAGAGGGGTGAAAATTTCAGAGTAATATGAATTTTATTATTCTACGTCATGACAAAATAAAAACAAAATTCTCGCAAAAAATTTTAAAGTTTTTAATTAGCAAATAAAAAATAAGGGTTGATCGTAGAAGGGTGAAAATTGAGGATTGTATGTATTTTTGTATGTTGTATCATAAAAAAATAGAAATTAAAAATTTTGAATAAAAAATAAAAAAAAATATTTAGGGGTGGACTACCCCTAACATTTAGGGGGATGAAAAATAGATGTTGGCTGATTCTCATAGATACCGGATAAGCACAAAAAATTTCATCAAAATCGGTCAAGCCGTTTCGGAGGAGTATGGCAACGAAAACTGTGACACGAGAATTTTATATATTAGATTAAATTATTTGGTTATAATTCACCGTCCTCGTTATGTAAATTTCTGTTTTCAGCCAAAATGAAATTCCTCGTTGCTTTCGCCCTGATCGCCGTGGCTTCGGCCCGTGTCTTTGAACCAATTTCCGTTGGACCGGCACTCGTCGACACCTACGAACCCATCGACACCGAACCCGCCTACGTAGACATCCCTATCACTGACGGTGGTGTAGTGACTGCTCCCGTGAAGCCCACTCCTGTTGTCGTTGGACCTGCTGTTCCCTCCGGTGCCTCTCCTCTTGTGCAGCTCATCGTGAACGTCAACGTCCCCGCTGGTGTTTCTGATGGACCCGCTGAAATCAAGCCCGACCCCGTTATTGTCGCCGAAGAGGCTGAAGAGGGCCCCATTGTCCCTGTCCCTGAGCCCGTCATCGTTGCTCCCATCAACCCCATCCCCGTCGCCCCCGTCATCATTGGCACTCCCATCATTCCCGCTCCCGCCGTCACCCTCCCCGAGGAACTCAACTAAACGAATGTACAAAATGTATTCTCGTTTCGATGAAAATAAAATAAACTAACAATTTTATAATTACATTAATCTGCTCATTTAAAATCCTACCAGGCTTACATCTCTCAGGTCTGAAAATTCGTTCAGTGTTAGTTAGCTCATTTATTGAGGAAGGCTATCGGGGTTTTTTCCCTTTTGAGAGCTTCCGCTGCGTGCGCTCCGGAAACGGTAAAAGTTTCGCTAAAATAATGTATGACAAAATTGTTCCCCTTTAAAAGTTCTAAAAAAAGTCCGCGACAGCATATGTCTATAATTTAAGGTTAAGGCTCACTATAACGTTTTTTATGCTAACCAAATTTGTTCTAAATTAAAGCATTATTTTTGAAGGTGTTTTTATATAGATGATATTTAACCTTATATCCAATAAAAAACGTTACAAGTCTTTACAAGAAATTAATTTTAAAGAAATTTTCTTATTTATTTAACTTTCTTACTTAATTAAAGTACCTTTGACTATTTTAATGAGTATAAGATATCGCAGTTTTAAAATAACATCGCAGCAAAATAATGATCAAGCGTAATATTGATGTACAAGTGCGGGGCCAGTGCAAGGCTCGGTGCTGTCCCCAACACTTTTGATCCTGCATATCAATAACATGCTATTTATTGATGGCATACATTGCTATACGGATGTACGATATATCGGGCATTAGAATCTTTCTCAAGAGAGACGTGAGAGCTTAGAACTTGAATCCAAAGTGAAGAACTCTCTGAGGCGAGTCAACGAGTCGAGTGAATCGAACTTAGTTCAATTCAACCCATTGAAGACATAAGTTTGCGGGTTCACTACGAAGAAGGACCCCTTTGTCATGGTGCCGCAATTCCGAGGAGTATCCCTGCAAACTTCCACGAGTACCGGGATACTTGGAGTCGACATTTCGAGCGATGTCCAATTTCGGAGTCACGGGCGGCCAAAATGCGGGGAGTCCTCAACAGAGTGAAGCGGTACTTTACGCATAGACAAAGACTTCTACTTTATAAAGCACATCACATACAAGGTATCACGTGGAGTACTGCTCCCACCTCTGGGCCGGGGCGCCCAATACTAGCTACTTCTATTTGACTCCATCGCTTGGAACCTCTGGGTCTGCGGAGGGACTTCGTTTCTCTCTTTATTTTGTACCGTATAAGGAATGCTCTGAGGAATTGTTTGAGATGATCCCATCATATCGGTTTTACCATCGCACCGCCCGCCACCGGAGTAGAGTTCATCCATACCACCTGGAGCGACTGCGTTCATCCATTTCCAATCCATCCATCCGTTTCCAAAGATATTTTTTGCCACGTACCATTCGGCTTTGGAATGAGCTCCCCTCCACGGTGTTTCCCGAGCGCTATGACATGTCCTTCTTCAAACAAGGCTTGTAGAGAATACTTAATGGTAGGCAGCGGCTTGGCTCTGCCTCTAGTGTGCCTCCACTAGCATTGCCAAAGTCCAAGGGCGGTAACCACTCACCACCAGGAGCGTTGTATGCTTGGCTGCCTACAAGGGCAATAAAAAGTACTGCGACATAAGCTAAAACTGGAAGATAATATTCATTACTGTAAGGAAGTGAATTTAAGTTCAAAGAAAATAGCTCAGATTAGGATGGATTTCGGCCCTGATAATGATATCTAAAAATTCAAGGGCAATTACAATATAAAACGTACACGTTTTATATTGTAATTGCCCTTGAGTGTTAGTAAGTAAACTGTGTAAAGGGTTTTTGCGATAATTTTTAGATTTAATGAGTTCCCGATATTACGGTGCTGTTGCAAAATCTATGATGACAGGTGGACTATTTTAAAGAAATTCATAACAAAACGATGCCGGCCGGATATTTTAGCCAAATACGTCGTTAAAATGTTTATTTAATTAACCCACATCATGCAACACATCGGAACATAGTCAGGCATAGAGTCAATCTTATCGCCTAAAGCACCGATTCCAATGATCTACAACTAACTAATTAATCGGATTGTATTACCTAAGTTCAGACCTATATTACCCAATGATGAACTGTGTTCATTGGACCACCGCTTGGGACCTCTTCGCTTACACACAATTTTGCTAATTATCATCAGAAACTGATATCATTGATATTATTTTACTATTGTTGATCTACTACTTGAGACTTCGAATTTGAGGTCAAAGTCTCAATTATATCGCGTAACTCCTCTTATTGTACTAGATAATAAGAACGCATAACTGATTCTCGATTAAAATAAGCCACATTGTGATATCGTGGAATTCTATAATGAACACGCTTAGCTATTATTATAATTGTTTTTTTTTTATTGCTTAGGTGGGTGGACGAGCTCACAGCCCACCTCCCACCTGGTGTTAAGTGGTTACTGGAGCCCATAGACATCCACAACGAAAATGCGCCACCCACCTTGAGATATAAGTTCTAAGGTCTCAAGTATAGTTACAATGGCTGCCCCACCCTTCAATCCGAAACGCATTACTGCTTCACGGCAGAAATAAGCAGGGTGGTGATACCCACCCGCGCGGACTCAGAAGAGGTCCTAGCACCAGTAAGAGATTATCGTATCAATACGACCTCATCGGAGATCTTTGAGCCCATATTTGAATTGAACCATCAACTTTCTGTCTATGAACAAGTTATCTTAAATATACTAGATAAATGTTCGGCGGTGAAAACGGCGCGAAAAGTGAAAAAAAAAGAACTAAAACACGGTGCCGGTGCAAAAACAATAAAATTGTGATTTGTTGATCAATCAGCACATATAGCTCTTGCCAGTGAGAAAATAGAAAAGTGTATCAACGAACTACGGAGTAAGTCCTAAAACTTATCATTTTCTCAGTCCCAAGCATATTTAAATTCAAAACACTATCTCCAGACGCTCCAGTAACCACTTAACACCAGGCCGTGAGCTAGTCCACACATCTAAGCAAAAAAAAGATATGGATATGAAAAAACGACATTTTAAAATTTTAAAATTCACCCTTTATTACTCCTATTTCTAGACTACTATTACCAGAAGGCCGGTGCGTATTTTGCACAAAGAATTAGCATTGCTATCCAGCGTGAAAATGCTGCCAGCCTTCTGGGAACGCTGCCAACTGGCGGTGAGCTAACACAGATTTTCTGTTTATAAGTAGCTTTAATTAAAACTATAATATATAGGTAACTATAACGTAATATCAAATAGCATATTTATCAGATGTTTATTTCAACGATAGATTATAAGTTTTACATAATAACGAATTTAAATCCCATACGTCGGAAGTTCTTGATACTGTTATTAATAAGGAGCTTACTTATCTAAACGTTGTTGATGAATGAATTTCGCACGACAATTTGTAGATTACATTGTTATGCTTAACACATTTGATGCCGACGAAATTATATAAAATTATTAGCCAGAAACCAATTATTTTTATAGCGTATATTGATTAAGTATATATGTATGTTTAAAAATATGGATGAAAGTATGTTGATAATATTATTATTTTAATAAAAAAACACCTTTTTCGGATCCGAGTGGTCGGCACTTAAAGTTATCGGCGTCGCATTTTGCATTAAATGCTATAGGTAATCTCCTTTCAACATCTTTGGAAGCATCGGAAAATATCTTTTTTGCTATTGTCATATTTTTATCTCGGCTCTGTTACTGACAAAGAAGACATGTGGTCAAATAGGCTGATATTAAAACATAAATCATTTAGGTAATGGTTCTACCGAGAAAACTATTTTTTTTATTGCTTAGATTTGTGGACGAGCTTACAGCCCACCTGGTGTTAAGTGGTTACTGGAGTCCATAGACATCTATAACGTAAATGCACCACCCACCTTGAGATATAAGTTTTAAGCTCTCAAGTATAGTTACAACGGCTGCCCCACCCTTCAAACCGAAACGCATTACTGCTTCACGGCAGAAATAAGCGGGGCGGTGGTACCTACCCGTGCGGACTCACAAGACGTCCTACCACCAGTTTTTCATTCATTTATCAATGACGCCTATAAATAACCCTTTGTGATTCTTTATCTCGTCCACAAGTTTTTCCATTTCAGTGTATACCTTGCGTCTCCCTCCCAGAATTATAATAGTATTATTAATTTTGAGATGTAGCTAAAAAAACGTTTTTTTTTTTTTACTGAATGAAATGATACGACGAAAATCCCGCACAATAATAGCGTGACTTATTTTATTGAAGGCTTATTCGTTCTTATCGCTAAATGTTTATTGTATCGAATTATGATATATAAAGTTTACAATTGAATACTATTTGTAGATAATACACGCAATGTTAGGAATGTATTATATTATGTTGTGTATGTAGGTTGGATTTTAATTCGCACATGTATGTATTTATGTAATTGGAAATGTAAGCAAGTAAGTACATGGGAGATAAGAGTCAATTTTATTAAATCTTTTTTTTTCTTGCCTTATAAGACAGATAGGCTTACGGTCCACCTGATTATCTTGAGTGGTAATTATTTTAGCCAGGAAAAATAAGCAACTGGCGCAGATTCAGTATATTTTGATAGGGCATAATAGAAATACGAAAGAATAAGTACCGACGTCCCATTTAAACATACCGAATTCTCTAAAAGAATATTACCTACATTTTACTTGCAATTGATTCTTTCGGTTCTTGTTTCATGGTTTTTTTAAAAAAAAAATTGCTTAGATAGGTGGACGAGCTCACAGTCCACCTGGTGCTAATTGGTTACTGGAGCCCTAAAAAACTGCAACGTAAATGCCCCACCCACCTTGAGATATAAGTTCTAAGGTCTCAGTATAGTTACAACGGCTGCCCCACCCTTCAAACCGAAACGCATTACTGCTTCACGGCAGAAATAAGTAGGGTGGTGGTACCCACCCGCGCGGACTCACAAGAGGTCCTACCACCAGTATAAAATATGGTATAAAAGGTGAGCGTTGGCATTATCTTTGTGAAATTTACGGGCTTCAGTAATTACAGAGTAACGGTAATTGTCAACATATAGTCGATGACTGTCTGCAAGAAAAACGGTCTGCCTCTTTTCCAATCACCGCTGCTTTTCAAACAATCATGACAAACCCGAGTCATTCTGTAACTCAGTTATCAACGTTTGCTAAATAAATACCTTTTCTGAACACCGTAAAAACAAGTCTCAAATTGCACTCAATAAAACTTATTGCCCGCCATTGATGATAATATTTCATTAAATCCAGTGGCACTAAATTGGATAACGAAATTGTCATGTACGCATTCAATGTGACATCACCATGCTTTATTAACATCGATAACAGTGGACGATCAGTTATTTATAAAATGATATAAAGCTTCAGGTAAAATTCATTCATTAAATTTTAAAAGTTTTTTAATTCAAATTTTCAGTAGGTACTTTACTGTAACATCGAAAAGCTGCCAAGGGCGTTGTTAATAAAAAGGAGGAAGGATAACAAGCGGTTTCTAAATTTAAAAAAATCTAATCATATTCTGGAAACTTCCATTGTTTTATTGACACGAGAGTAATTAAATTTGACAATAAAAACTAGGTAAATGCATCAATACAACAACTAAACCATACAGCTAGTTCCACACAATCGTACGAGTCCAATTTAAGGAAACTAACTCAACGGACTTGATAATCATCAGAAAGACATGTGGTAGTAAACAATTTAAAAAAAAATAGCTGTCTAAATTCTTTACACACACATAAACTTTTACATTACATAAAATTATACTAGTACAAGTAACAAACGACTTGAAAATACACGTTAGATATGATGACAGTGTTAGTCCCAGTTCATCGAGCCGAACATTCCAGAAAACTTTAAAACTCTTATAATTACTATGGCAGTAATTCGGAAAATCAAAATATGTTGTGTGTACCAAGGTTAATAACAAAAGAGGCGTGATGAATTGTAATGAAAAAAAATATTTATGTTTCTTTGCTTTCCACTCGCGAAAAGCGAAAAACATACCATTATTAAATATACTATTAATGGACTTTATTTCATAATACTTCTCGTTTCTCTTTCCCGACGCGGCTGTGGGCACACAGTCTAAGAAGGACTCACCAAAGGCAGACCAAAGTCCCTTTTGAAGTTTTACTTCACTAAATCGGCAATAAGCATACGTCACAAGTACTACACCTTGTAAAATTGCTGTTAATTGACCAATTCGGAAGATTATTTCATAAACTGACTTATCTATAACTCCAATACTAATTTTAAACGATAAAGAATATAGTATATATAATTCTCTGCATCTACTACTAAATTTCATTTTTTGTTTGGAATAGCAATCGCGAAGGTAAGCTAAAAACTTTTACGTTGTGATTCGATTTTGATCTGAGAAACGATTGCTAAATAAATATATTTCCAACAGCAAAGATGAAATTCCTGATCACCGTCGCTACCATATTCGCCATGGCTTCCGCCGTGCCTGCCAACCGCGGTCTGGTGACGCCTGGCTTGGCCGGCCCTGTTCCCATCCTAGACGAGCCTATCGACGTCGGACCTGCAATCATCAACGAATTCGAGCCAATCGACAACGGACCCGCTATCGTCGACTTCCCCGTTTCTCCTTCCCCAGTCGTCATTGGCCCCATTGCCCCCGGCCAGGCTTCTCCCCTAGTTCAGATTATTGTTAATGTAAACCAAGCATTAACTCCATCTCCCGTCGAAATAAATCCCGAGCCAGTACTCGTTGAAGAGGAAAGCGAAATCAAACCTGATCCCGTAATCATTGTTGATGGTCCTGAAGTAACGCCCGTAATCATTGCTGATCCCGCCATTGTTGTTCCTGAGCCCGTCATTGTGGCTCCTGTTGAACCTCTGCCTGTGACACCTGTCATCGTTGGTGTCCTCGAACTTCCCACCCCCCAATGAGTACTAGTTAATATGACAACTGATATTGTTAAAATTTTAAGTAATTGATTCAAAAGAATTCATAAATATTCTTCACACATTTATTCTAAAAAATTAATTCCGTTTAATAAAGATCTGTTACAAAAATGTACATTTAGTGTCAATTCATTTTCCGGACACAACCATTACGTACGTACCGGCTTCGATTCGTGGACTGAGACAGTATATTTTAATGATGAAATCGTTCCATGAGTTCATATTGGTTAAAAACTTAAGTTTTGATTCCTTGTGGAGTCTACGTAGTTTTTAAAACTTTCAATTGGTGAGTGGTTATCGTCGCTCAAGACCTGGAAATCCGCAACTACAGGGGAACATCAATGCCGCTATGTACCACACAGGGATCTTTTTAAACCTCCTTTGAAATAAAGACATGATACAATACTTTTTAACAAGAGGAGGGAAATTCACGGTATTTCTTTACTCCAGAGCCAGATAATAAGTGACAAAAAAGATCTCTGGGAACAACTCAATCAGAATGAACGCAGTATTTCTGTTAGTATGAATGAATTCTGCTCCAATGACAAGGGTTGTGATGGTAAAAAGAGGTGACGGAATTCTTTCAAGCAATGTCTTACTCTGCACGAAACACACTGTACAAAAGACAGATCTAGTACCACCTGTCTGCCTTGTTGGCCTAAAGACCTTGCCGCTTAACCTAAACGGTTGAGCGAGCTCGAAGGTTCAACCAAGAGGCAAGGGTTTGTTAACAAGCGCTAACAGCACGGGCAGCTACTTTCCAAGTGTAGAGAGATTAAAATTGCAACCCAAAGAGAAGATCCAACAAAATAACCCAGCGAATTGTGGGAGGATGCGGAATTTTGAGTATTAAGGGATTGTGATCGACTCGACTCCAATATCCACTAGCAGCCTTCAAGTAATTCTGGTTAATGGACGTGCGTTCTAAGTATTGTAAGCTAATTTGGGCTATATAGGTGCGTTATAAAGTCATAGAAACAATGGATTTTAAAAGAAATATCCTACTTACTTACTATGATGTTATCTTAATCACGCAAACTTGGTTAATAGATCGTATTGGTGATTGTGAACTATTCGACGATAGGAAGATTGTGTTTAGACGGTATAGGAATATATAGCTACAAATTAATTGTATGGTGGAGGTGTACTAATAGCGACGCGACGCGATCTCGCGGCGTCGCACCGCCCGGATTGGTTGTCTTCTGCCGTGGATAGGTTACGGTGAGTTTTAATACTAAAATTCGTAATGTTGTGATTTTGTTCCCTCTATTTATGTTACGAAAAACTTTTTTACACCTTTAATTCACAGCTGACCAACTTCACAGACAAACTTTCTCTAGCAATGAACTCATGCCTTAATGATATTTTAATATTACAGCTACCGGTGATTTTATTATGAGAGATATTAAATGATATTTTGATACTAACGAAGACTCTTCACAGCTTAAAGGCATTAATGGGAATAGGCAAATCTACTCTATTGATATCTTGGCAAAATTTCAATTATTTTAATTATTCTTGTAATATTAATTAAAGGGGTGATTGGGTTTTATCGAAATCAAAGCTTGAAATCAGTGCTTGTGACGACCTTTTTGTGAAGGAGGATGTTCACGATAAATCATTGAATATCTTGCTGTCTATCTCCGTTATAAAAGAGTTAATAGTTCAACCTAGGTTAAAGTATTGCTACTCGGGAAATTTTGAGACTATTAAGTCGGCACTTGCGGATATAGATTGGGACAGTTTTTTACTAAATTTTACGTTTGATGAAACGCTCGATATCTTTTATAAGACCTTATAATTAATATTCCTAATTGATAAGCACGTCCCTCAAAAGTATTGTGCCCCTAGTTTGTTCCAACCTTGATAGCCGTCCCGTTAAATAAAGTTTTGAAGGACAAATACAATTTTTTTTTTTAAATATCAAATATACAGCAATACTGACGATTATCAAACGTTTTCTCTGCTCCGTAAGAGAGCTATAATATTGGAAAATGACTGTTTTAGAGTCTATATCCCGTCGGTTGAAATATCTATCATAAAGAATCCTAATTTTTTCTGGAGATTTGTTAAAACTAACAAAGGCAGCGCAAATAACCTGCTAATCAAATTTCCTCGTTACTGCTACTGCTGACCGCGATACTGCTAATCAGCACCGGGGTGCTAGTAATAGGTTGGGGAAAAAATCTTTTCCCATTATACTATGTATGACCTTGTAATAAAATCTTTTTGGCTATACTATTTGCATCTGGCTGGTTTTGGTATCATTAAAAGTTTAAATTTTAAAGAAGATAATTCCAAATTCAAACTAGGAAAATGTGTGATTTTTGTTTATTTTTCGTACTTTTTTTTTATTGCTAGATGGGTGGACGAGCTCACAGCCCACCTGGTGTTACTAGAGCCCATAGACATCTACAACGTAAATGCGCCACCCACCTTGAGATATAAGTTCTAAGGTCTCAGTATAGTTACAACGGCTACCCCACCCTTCGAACCGAAACGCATTACTGCTTCACGGCGGAAATAGGCGGGGTGGTGGTACCTACCCGTGCGGACTCCCAAAAGGTCCTACCACCAGTAAATATGCTCAGAGTTTCCCTGCGAGATCAAATGAGAAATGAGGAGATTCACAGGAAAACCATGGTAACAGACATAGCCCAAAGGATTGCGACGTTGAAGTGGCAGTGGGCAGGACACATTGCTCGTAGAAAGGATGGCCGTTGGGGCCAGAAAGTTCTTGAGTGGTGACCGCGTACCGGAAGACGTAGCGTGGGTAGGTCTCTCACAAGATGGACTGACGATCTAGCGAGGTTCTCAACCGGTCTTGGTGGCGAGGCTTGGGGGAGGCCTATGTCCAGCAGTGGACGTCTGTGGGCTGATAAGAAGAGCGACTATGGACTGATAATGGTGATGTGCATTAATTCACATATTGACATAATAAATAGTACTTTAAAAATAAATCTCCGATGGCCTTATACAATCCTTTAAGCACTGTACTATCGTTTAAAAACGCACTTTCTTCATGATAAAATTCGCCAGAACCAACGTTATGAAATATCTTACGGATACCAAACTATCATGGCTTTTGGAATTTATCCCGCCCTCTAAAAGGACTACAACATGATTAAGTAAAAAAAAAACATTTTTATTATCAAACGTATTAAGTTCGGTAAAATCCAAATTCAATAATAATCCAAAACTCAAAAGATTTTCTGCCATTTAATTTACTGAAAGTAATGAATACTTAAATATACAGATTACTAGATCTACCTATCCGCTTCACTGGGCATTTAAAATTAACATTATTATTTCTCACCCCCACAAAGATTCTCATCATTAACGCCCCCACAACTGGTGTAGGGAGTCCAACACTCATATAAATATTAGCTTATCCATTGTATTTGTGTATTTTTTACATGGATACCAAGTTTCACGTCAATGGGATGCATGGTTCAGTAGTTATAACAGAACATCCGTAAAAACGGCTGTAGATTTATATATTAGTATAGATGTAAACAATTTATAATTATGGTTATAAAATACTGAACATTCTGAATCGATTTTTTTTATCAGGAAAGTACCGTCGGGCTTTCTTTCACCTACTTATTGAGGGCGGTAGGCGGAACATGTCCCATTTGGTCACAGCGGGGATTTATGGTAAAACCCAGTCGCTGAACAATCCGTGCAAATATAAATGTCTATTTTTAATACGCTTTTATTAGCTTCAGACGTATGTATGTTAACGGAATTTTTGAACATGATTTTGACCCCCTTCAAAACGTCAGATTAACTCGCAATTTGGTATATTTATTAAAGACCGATGACAATTCAATATTAAAACATGAAAAATTTGAAATTCAACTAAGAAATGAAAAATAAATAATAGTTTAAAAAAAACCTAACAAAATACGCTTTTATAGAAAATCCAACTAAAAAATAGAAAATAAATTTGAATTAAAAATAGTGTAAGGAAAAATGATATTATTGTAAAAAAAAAGCGTGGGGTGCATGGTATCAGTAGTTATAAATATTTTATGAACAGATATGAGTAGAAGGGTTATTTTGATAATATCCTGAAAAGCACTATTTTTAATCAAATTTATTTTCTATTTTTTAGTTGGATTTTCCTTAACGGCGTATTTTGTTCGTTTTTTTAAACTATTATTTATTTAGTATTGGGTTGGAATTTACCTAGGCTCGTCTATCAAACCAAAAATGTCTTTGTAAGTTCCCTGGTGCTTGGATGCAATAAACCCGAAATCGCAACAAAACTATGGCCCCCCCTTGCTGTTGCCCTTATGTGTTACATGTCACACTATACATACACATATATTTTAATGGTGTAAATCCGTATGGCACTAAAGTTTTGTTTTTGAAAAGAAGGATTAATTAGTAAACGATATTTATTTAACACATTTAATGATTAATCACAATTATTAATGACACATTTAATCTTGTAAATTACATTTCCATGTAAAATCTACATGTGGAAGATGTCATTCGGTTTTTTTTTTTATTTTAGAAATGATTAGCAACGATAACTGGTTCCACTCCGACTGGCTCGACGGGACTAACGATGACAGGCTTAGGGGCAACAACGGCGGGGTCAGCCACGACCACGGGGGACACGATGGACACGTCACCGACGAGCACTGGGCTAGGGGCCACAATGGCGGGGTCAGCCACGACCACGGGAGACACGATGGACACGTCACCGACGAGCACTGGGCTAGGAGCCACAATGGCGGGGTCAGCCACGACCACGGGGGACACGATGGACACGTCACCGACGAGCACTGGGCTAGGGGCCACAATGGCGGGGTCAGCCACGATCACAGGGGCTACACTAGGTCCCTCGGCAACAATTACCGGGCTAGGTACTATGATGGCAGGATCAGCAATGATCACGGGAGAAACAGCAGGCTCTTCATTAACATTTGATTGTTCAGGTTCGACGCTTTCGACGGGGGTAGCGCTGGCAGCAT